GCAAAGAAAATATTCCCACGGAGCAAGAAACTTAGGGGAAATTCCTCCAAACTTTTTGAATCTCTTACTTATCTTCAAATGAGCTAAGAAATTTCTCTCCTCTCCAATATCAGCGAAAAATTCTGAGGTTGCCTCAAACAACACTAATATTGCTCTTTGGTCTAAGATGTTGTGTCTTCTGCCAGAAAGACTCGAAAACAAAAACGAAGGAAAGAAATACTTCAATTAAATGTACACTTAATCAGTACCTCAGTTGATATTCATCAGTAGCAGGACGGAAAGCGTTGCCTTCATCCGTTATTTTTGCAAGATCGTTATGAAAGATAGCGTGATCAAACTATTGTTCGTTTTCTAGGCAAATCTTCGCGTGTGGAAAATTTCGTATTGGTTCCGTGACATACTTCCTCGGATAATCCGTTTTATTTAAGAATTGCTGAGAGAGAATACGCAACTCGTCACTTGTAATATTCACAAATTAACAGATTCATGGCTTTCCCAACAGGAACTCAGCACGTTCGTATTGGATATGAAATCTTAATCTGTCAGCGAAACCTTCGATTTCTATTTTTTTTAAACTGGTAAGAAATAACCTACGAGAACCCTTCTGCAAAGATTTGCTGTGACACCAATATAGATCGTAAATGCTGCTAATGCGTTTAACGTGGGTATCATCAAGTTGTCTTAGAAGCAAAAATTGTAACAGATTTTGTTTTAATCAAGCTATAAATTTTGTATGCGTCAGCAGTATTCCTCCTGTAGCGATAAAACTGACATATTTTTGCTAAAATTGAAAGTTTTGCAATAGGATTGCCCCTTAACGTCAGAAATAGAGCGTTTCGCTGATATTTTGAAATTAAAAATTAAATGGTAATGATGATAATTTTTTTTATTTAACAATAGTTTTTAACGTGCAAACCTTTGTGAAACAATTCCGAAGACGTGCTGTGAACAGCCACAGAGATACCAATGACACAGAGAAACATTTTCTCGCCCACTATTTCTACTAAAAGGTATTAAATAAGTTTGCAAACAAATCCATTATCTCTGCAATATTTTCCTTGCGGTGTGAGGGCTCACCGCAAAAATTCCCTCACTCTTCCGGTAAAACAACGGAAAACTTTCTGATTGTCTGAGCCGTACCGAGGAATCAGCCCTGAGGCTAAACGTGCTAGAACGGCGTTGTTATTGAAAAGTTTCGTTTACAGGTCAATGTATGGGCAGTAATTAGAGAAGCATCTATAATATTTTTAGCAACCTTAATGCTAATCAAATACAAGTTCTATCAATGTGATCAGTGAAGCAGTCCACCGCAGAGTTTTGTTATACGAAATTCCATGCGCTGATTGGTCGGCGGTGTATCACGATGTCAAGAATGTGTCAATCAACGCCAGCTGTTTAGTGAACATCGGAAACGCGTCGCCTCACGGTAAACACACCTTTGGTGCTCTCGAGGCAGTTTCAGTACAAAAGTCAATTATTACACAATCTGGAGGATCTTGTTAGGAGGTCTTAAAGTACAGAACTTGTTTAAGTGTGGGAGTTCATCCTGTTTGACTTTGCCAACGAAGACTGTGGGTCGAAAGTAAGGTGAGATTTTGCCAAGATCAAGAAGTCAACCCTATGTTTTATTAGTTCGACGGCTGCATAACGATAGCGAGTCCTTGACTGTGATTGGATTTGCCTTTTACCGCTTTTATTAGTAAGGTAAATCTTTCAAAAGTGCCAATGGATATGAGTTGTTAAGACGCACCGATTGCGTCTCAGAGATTTGCTCTGAGAGAACAGAAAGCGAAATTATGGAGACCGCAAATGAGCAAATTTTGTCCTCTTTGCAAAATTTTTGTGCGCTAACTTTATAACACGTTTTGGAAATTTAGCGGGAAGTCGTTCGTCTAAAATTCTGATGCTTTTGCAGTAAAGAAGAAGAAAATATATGCCTAGTGTGAGCTTTAGTATTGATAATAGAGGTAATTCTTGAAGTAAGTGAATGCTCTATAGTGGTGATCCATCAAAGATATCACTGGTAGAGGTTGGATGGAAGCTGCTCACCTTGCTTTTGAATGCTCGAAATTACTTGTCAATGACGTTTTTGATACACTTGAAAAACATTGATACGTTGAATAATTTCACGGTTACCTATGGTTCTTTTCCTCAGAGATATTAATTTTTGTTTTTGCTCCAGAACACGCTCGAATTTTGTCAAGAGCTGATTAAAATTCTCTGCTTAAATTTCTCATTTGCGCGTCCGCTTTGTTGTCATTTATCATCAAAATTATGCAAAAAAGATTACTTGAATATAAATGAACTTTTACAAATTAAAATTATTATTCTGCTGGTGTATATTGGAAGTGTTTACATTTGCGCTTCAAATTGCGTTTTAAGAGACCAGTCAATATCGAAAAAGAGCTTGAAAAAAATCACAGACTTTTCCTCTGCCGGACTTCTGAAACCTTTGGGATTAAAAAGTTTTATCGCGGTTTTGAGGAGATGACATGTTTTCTTCTAAAGGTAATTCTTGAACTTTACAAAACACCGTGTTTTGCTTGTCATGTTATCCTTCAACAAGCAAGAGGGCGTGAGTTTTCGTCGACAGCAGGGAGTTGACTGTATTATTAGTGAAGAATTGTTAAATCGTGGCATTGATCAAGAAATCTGTCGAAAATTGTGGCGAAAATGCTAGAAGGAACGATATGGGGAAAACAGACTGGCCAACACTTCATATTTAGCCATTGTTTCGTCTCGTTGACTGATAAGATCGATTTTGAATGTGTTTACGGCTCTCACAGAATTTGCTCGCTGTTTAGTACTTGACGGTTTGACGTTTTAAGCGGAAGGAAAAGTCACGCAATTAATTTTACTCTGTGAATTGCAATTGGCGTAAAGCTTTCACTATATCATTGGATTATTCCAGAAGGTCAATTTTGTATTTCGATCTTCGAACCCGAAGACTGTGAATTTTAAATGGATGGTGAGTATAACTTAGAATATTTAAAAAAACACCAGGGCAAACTGACTTGAGAAGGTCATTGCCGTGTTAAACGCGTTCGGAGATTGTTGATCGATATGAAACGAGATTACAAAATGGTGTTAATTAGCTTCTAATGAGGATGGCATCGAGAACATTTTCGTAGGAAAGAATTATTCCAAGCACAATAAAAAATTATCTTTTAGTATTTATAGAGGAAATATCGTGAAGAAATGTCACTCGCATTTTATTTGGGAAGACATCAAAACTTTGAACAGCGTTGGACAGATTTTTGAGCGGCTTAGTTTCATTTCGGTTATCTCAGCATTTTGATCAAATATTCAAAATCAGATATTTTAGGCACAAGCGACAGTCAACGAGGAAATCAAGGCGAACTAGAGGCAAATTGAATGTAGATATTGTTATTCATTTAACACCAAACTCTTTCAATGTCATAATGAAGTTTTATATCGTGTGATGAAGTCGATGAAGTATTTGAAATTGACTTGCACATTAAAATTAAAGTTTTGAACTTGCTGGTTTAATTGTTAGTATTAATGATTAAAGAGGCGCTCTTTTAAATTTAATTAAGAAAATTGATTTCATAGGCTTAAGTTTTTTGTGGACTTAGGATTTAATGTGGGATTATTTGAACACACATTATCCTTTTGTCATATCATTATATGAAAATATCGCCAAGTTTTATTGCCTCAGGACTTTGTACTTAATTCAGTTAATTAACTTTGAGCTTTAGTCAAATTAACTATTTCAAAAAATTTTAAATTTTTCAGCAAGTAATAACATTTTTCTGGTTATGAAAAATTAATGATTGATGCAAACTGTGCATGTAATTTCATAACTGTGGAACTACCAGAGTTTCTCACCACAAAAAAAGTATGAATTTAAAACATGGATTCTAAGATACTGTTAAAAATGACTTACTTTAACTACAGTTTGGGGGTTTTCACTCTCTAAGGAGGTAAACCGTTTTGCAATGGATAATTTTATTTTTAACCTTTCTAATTTATATGAAGACAAGGGTGATCTTGGCAGTAATGAAATACATGTCATTCATATATCACAGTCCTTCTCTCTGATTTGTGTGAGCATCTTTTCACAAACCAGGAGAAGCATTCCCCTTTGTTACTATGGCTCTCATGTAGAATACAATTTAACCTTGTTGCTATTGTTGACTTACAAATTCTTTTAAAGCTATAAATGTTTAGTTCCTTGCAGATAGGTGATACGTTGTGGTTTTTTTGTCTTCAAAAAACCTAAATGAAATCCTTTACCTTATTATGTATGATCAGAATTTCTGTGGTAATCTTTGATACTCAGGGGTTTGTTGAAATAATATGAAATCAGGGGCAGCTACTAAAAAACTTTCCAAATTCCTGCTGCATGATTGTTGCCTCTTTGCTATGGATGTGAGAGAAATGTTATCTATTTCAAAAAACAAGTGTTAATAAGTCTACCATTTCTTTTCATGGATTTACTTGTTTAAGTCTGTGATCACTTCTCAAACAAAAGACATTGTTGTTTTGGGCTGGGTTTGACAATAGGGTTAAAATGCAGTCTTAAATTGGCTGAATAATTTCAATAAGTCTATTATACTAAGCATATCTCTCATTTTTTTCTCGTGGGATCATTTACTTGTCCTCTCAAAGAAGATATCATTATGTATGGTGCAATTAACCAAAGTGTGGGCAGCTTGACCTGCAGAAGTTTTTGAGGCAATGGCATGTACACTCACTTAAAACCTTTTACACTAATTCAACCATTACACCTTTCTCGTCCTAGTTGAGGTCTATTTTGAGATGAATCAAATATTGCATGCATCAATCCTATTGTTTATAAAATCCTTTTGAAAGGATCAAGTCCTTTATCCATAAGCTAACTTAATTATCATAAAAAGGTTGAATTATAAAAAGTGAAGTAATGTGATTTTTTTTTTCACAGATACATCAATGTGCAGATAAATTTCAAACTTTAGGAGACCAAGTCAAGAGTTGTTTAAAGATTTTTCACCAGAAAAATGAACTTCAGAGTATACATTTTTTGCCTGTGCATAACACTAATATGTGGTAAAGAACTGCTGGAAGGGCAATACAGGAGGCTGCCAAATGCTGTAGCTGTTGTTGGAAGACCTTTTGAGTATAATTTACCCCCCTGGGATGGCAGCCAACAGCAATATAAGGTATGTTGAAGCAGATCAACAGTGAATTGGATATCACATAATCCAAGAACTTGTAGCAGCATTGAACAAAGTATTACAGCATCAAATATACCTGCTCTTTGAGTTTAACTCTTAAACTCCCGAGATCAGATTCTTAATTCTCCCCTCTAGCTGCTACACATTTCCTTGTCAATTAGTTACATGAATTTGGGGTTAGATCAAGGTAACAACTTCTACCTGATAAGCATAAGTATTCTTATCAACTATTTGCTGAATAATGTACAGATATTATAGGGAGAAGTTACATGTTAATCACTTCTGGAAGTTAAAGGGTTAAGTAAAATATAAGCTCTGAATGTGAGTTTGTACACACATTGCTGGACTTAAACAATTTCACTCTCAAGATCTCATTTGTAATTCTCCTTACAGTCCACAAACATTTCTGATAATGTTTAAGTTCTGAGGATATAGTATTAGATCAAATAGTAATCCCCTAACTTATATTTTCCTGTATTCTCCTGACATGTCTGCTTAATATTATACTGGTATTCCATGGAGAAATTCTGTCTTATTTCTTATTTCTGGGTGTTCAGTTTCAATAATCATCTTTAAATCACAACAAATTTGTGTGAAATAAGTGTAAATTATATGCAAACATTATTTTAAGGAGGCTCTTCATTCTTTAGCAGCACTTAAACTTCATCTAAACTCTTTTCAGTAATATGGCATGTTGTAAAATGGCAGCCAAAGGCAAAACATGGCAAGGCCTATGTCAAATTTTTCTTATTATAGATATTTGTTGCTGTTTTCTTGTAGGCCTTGGAAAAAGGTAAAACAGTTCTACCCAAATGGCTGTCGTTTGATGAAGCCAGTAACAAACTTCTTGGTGTACCATTATGGCGTGACAAAGGTACAGTTCAAGTGGAAATCCAGACAAGGCATGGAGACTGGAAAGCTGAACTCTCAATCACTGTTCAAGATTTGCATACAGTCTTGGAGAACAAGTTCATCCTATCAAACGAGACAAAGATACCATCCTTTGCTGAACCCAAATGCACCAATGGAATACCTGTAGCAGTTGCTACTGTGCAGTTTGATCTTCATATTGATAAACTGTATGGAGAGGACAGAATAAATCTCATGAGAAAATTGTCTGACTTTGCTGATGTAGGCACAATGGAGCTTCACATGGCAGTTGGCAAAGGACACAGCACAGCATTTGGGTTGAAAGACATCATGACGGTTACAGCAGGGCCAGGAAATGTGGCAGATTCCAAGCAGCCAGGTGTGGTGATCTCTTGGAAAATTGGCTGTGGAATTGACCTGTCAGGTATGTAGTTAGAAGGATCATTAACACTATCATTCCCAGGAGTGACTAAAAAGGAACTTCTCCTCATGGTATCAAAACAATTTAAATCAGAATTGTGTTGACAAGAGAAAGTAATATCAGCCATATTACATTCTTTGAGCTAGGAGTTAATCCTCAGTGCTGATATTACAAGAAATGCCTGGCAGACTGAAAAATTGACACTTAGTTCTTGAGAGTGTACAAGGATATAACCCTTTACATCCTAACATCAGTATGCATATTCTCCACACTGTTCTCTACACATTTCCTAAGATGCTGACAAGGAGACTTTGTTTAACAATGGAGAGCTTTTTTCAGTTGGTGATCATTTCCTTTAGTCTCGTAACCTTAATGTTTAATTTAGGGGTGATATAGTAAGAGGAAGTTGGACACTAGTCACTCTTAGGGTTTAAAAGGTTAAGGTAGGTCTCAGGCTTGTGTAGCATCCAGAACATACTAGACATGTTCTAAGCTAAATAATTTGATGTTGTTCACACTGATGTTTTTGTTTGTTTGTTTGTTTTTTTTTTTCAAGGAATGCATGTGGCATCTCTTTTAAAGTCCAGTTCTGAGCATGGGTCATTTAAACAAGCCTTGAAGGCACCTGTCAGTGGGTGGCATATTGCCACAGGACAACCTAAAATTAAGCAGAAAAGGGGGCGCAGACAAGCTCCCAATCTTATGCCAACTCCAACGTGGACCAACATGATGCCTACTCCAACAAGTATGACAGCTCCACCAACTATTTCAGTGACACGCACTACGATAACTTCAACACCAACAATCACTGTTGACACAGAAGCGCCTAAACTTCTTAACCCAATCCCCACAATATCTGTTTTCTTAGGGACAGTGACTCGCTACAAAATCCCTGAGGACACATTTGTAGATAGATGGGAAGGTGTATTCACAAGAGATTTGCGACTGGATATGAGGCATTTTAATGGATCACTTGAAAGCAAACTGCCACCTTCATCATGGATATTCTTCGATTCAAGCACACAAGAAATTTATGGCCTGCCCTTTGGTAATGACTTCACAGGATCACACCACTTTATTATCAGGGCAGCAGATAAAGCTGGAAATATTGCTTCACAGAACATTACTGTAGAAGTATCAAATCGCAACCTCAAGTATAATCATCAGTTTACAATTGTCCTGAACTATAACTATGAGGAATTCATGAACAATGTGAATATTCGTCTGCTGTTGATAAATAAATTAGCAAATTACTATGGCTATGACAACTCCAAGCTACATGTTTCATCCTATACATACATGCATGGCTATCTTTTTTTCACCTTCCAGTTTGAGTTGTTAACCTTGGATTGTAATAGTAGAGAATTAAAGAATCTCGTGGATGGCTTTGGAAAAAACAAACTGAATCCTGAATTTCAGAAACATCTTCTTCCAGAGTTTGATATCAAGTATGGCTATCATGGAGGCATTGAGCCTTGTAAACCAACTTTGCAGCCCAACACTAAACCTGTTGTAAACCAAGCACTTGGCCAGCTGAATGTCTATTTGGGACAAGGAATGCGCTACAAGATCCCATGGGACACATTCTATGATAAGGAAGACTATTACACACCCAGTTTAACCCTAGAATTAAGAACAAAAGACGACAAACCTCTACCATCATCGTCATGGATAAATTTTGATGCTTCTCAACAAGAAATTTATGGCCAACCCATTGATGTAAGCTCTCTTGGATCACAAGAGTTTCGTTTGTTTGCCATCGACAGTGATGGATTGCAAGCATTTACCAACGTAAAGCTGTCAGTTGCAGATGACACCAACCGTTATAATCACGATTTCGGTATTGCTCTCAATGCAGATCATCACTCATATGAAAACTTGATTGAAAATGCTGAAAACAGAGTGTTGCTGGTAGAGGCAATAGCTAATTACTACAACCTAAACCTTGGACATGTACGCATTTTCAAATTCCAACGTGGCCCATCTTTCCATTTCAGATTTGATTCTATTCCATATGATGACTGTAAGAATACCCTTTTACAAAGAATTATTGGTGGATTCTGGAAAAGTAATGAGATAAACCCAGAATTTGTAAATGCGCTCAACGACAACAATTTCATTGTTGACACTGGTTACTACTTTGTCATTGGACCATGTGAAGCCCTCAGTCCCCCCAAAGGAAAGGGACCAGATTTTGTTGGAGCTCGTATCAGGGAAGAAATGTATCTAGGGCAAGCACTATTCTTCCAAATACCTCATGATGCATTCTTTGATGAGCAGGACTTTCATACACCTAACTTAAAGCTGAGCTTAAAAACAGCAGAGAACGATGATCTTCCACCATCTTTTTGGATTTACCTTGACATTGAAAAACAAGTCATTTACTGTTTGCCCAAGAGTATCAGCACAGTGAAGAGAAATAGATTTAAACTAATTGCAACAGATAGTCATAAACAGGAAGGAGACGGCTCCGTGATAATAACAGTCAAGAATGACCCAGGCAGTTACGACTACAAATTCTCTATTCGTATCAAAGACTACTCAGCAATTAAGGATGATGTTGTGATAATGTTTCAGTTGTTGCAAAAAATTGCCAGATACTATGGATGGAACTATAAAAATGTGAGGGTCTTCAGGCAAGAATCTGAGGGTTTTTTCACATTTGGATTTGATACCATTCCTTCAAACAACTGTGATGGTGAAATCTTTCAAAAGGTGAAAGATGGGTTTTGGGCAGGCACAAAGCTGAATTCCAACTTTCAGAAGGCCCTTCGTCCTGAGTTCCATGTAATTTCAGGATTTTACACTTGTCTGAATTCTTGCTCTTGCAACACACCACCAGTAGTATTGAACCCCATCAAAAGCCAGTCAGTGTTTGAAGGGCAAGCCTTGATGTTTTCCATCCCAGGAGAGACCTTTTATGATAAAGAAGATGGAAACACATGGGATCTGACCTTGAGCTTAAAAACAGAGACAGATGAAGAGCCCTCAGCTTCATGGATCCTCCTCAATAAACAACAAATAAAATTGCTGCCAATTGACAAGAACAAAATTGGAACGCACAGGTTTGAACTGATAGCAACAGACAAAGAAGGTTTGGAAGGTCGTGATGAAATTGAAGTGAAAGTTCGAGATGACAGAAGGCTATATTACCACATGTTTAGTATCAAAATTGAAGATGGATCTGCCGGGTTTGATGCCAATGGCAGAGTTAATTTTGTGCAGTTACTTGCCAACTACTTTGGTGTGAACTTAGCAAATATCCGCGTCCGCAGCTATGGCTTATGGCCAGCTGTTCACACAACTTTCCAGTTTGTCCAGACTAACCCAAAGTGTGATAATCCAGAATTGCAACGGTGGAGAGCCAAGTTTATGAAAAATGGACAATTAAATACAGAATTCAGTGATGCACTCAGACCTAACTTTCAAGTTGTGTCTGGGTCATTTGAATTTAAGGATATCTGCGAAGTCCGAGGACCAGAACCCAATAATACTACACCAAAATTATACAATCACATTGACCGCCTCAATGTATACCAGGGACAGGGTCTACGATTTTTCATTCCAAGTGACACATTCTTTGACAAGGAAGATTCCCTCACACCAAATTTGACGCTAGAAATGCAGACAATCAATGGTGATGCACTTCTCCAAACATCTTGGATCCTCCTCAATTCTTCCCGCCAAGAAATCTATGGTTTACCTTCTGATGTTGACTCCATTGGATTACACGAGTTTTTGATGATGGCAGCTGACAAGGAAGGAAGTAAGGTATATGATGCGTTTGAAGTAAGAGTGCTTGAAGACATTGTACGCTACAACCACAAGTTTAACATTTTGATAGACTATGACAATATTACCTTTATGGATAATGTTGGAGTAAGAGTTATCTTGTTGGAGAAGATAGCAGATTACTTTCGTGTAAACTTCACCAGTGTCCGAGTGGCTGGCTACACCCCTGGGGTACTCTTTTCCTTCTATTTTGATTTCATTCCCTATGAGGACTGCTCAAATTCTTTACTGACAGAACTTATAGATGGATTCTGGTTTGGCTCAGACCTAACTCCACAGTTTGTAACTGCATTAGGCCCAGAATACAGAGTCATATCTGGATCCTTCGAGAGTCTTTCTCCTTGTAGGCCTATTATACCAGAAAATCAAGAAGCGATTGGTGACCGCCCTGGAGGAATATGGTGGACTTATGCAATCATACCTGCCATTGTACTTGCCATTGTTCTCCTTCTCATTGGGTGCTGTGTTTTGCTTTTCATGGGATGTTGCAGAAAGCAGAAACTCACAGGGGCAGAGAAGACAACTTTTATTTACAGGCGAAAGCCAGTTGTTCTTCAGGAAGAGTATGAGATCAAGGAACAACTACTGAAGCAGCCAATTGTCTTGCCAAATGAAAAACCACCAGTGCCCCCTGCGTTTCCCCACAGCCCTGTCCTAAGTGGTGACAGAACTCCACTCCTGATGGAGGAAACAAAGTCAGTAGCTTACCAAGCACCAACATTTCTGTCTAGTAAACAAATGTCAAGTGGTGGTGCTGGTGGTGCTGGTGGTGGTGGCGGTAGTGGCAATGCAGGATTTGTGGCAAATGGTGCAGGAGGCGGAGGAGGAGGCGGAGGAGGAGGAGGAGGAGGTAGTGCGGTGGCTGGTGGTGGTTTCAGTGCATTTAGTGGGGCGGCTGGTGGAGGAAGTGGTTTTGGAGGTGCAGGTGGTGGTAGTAGCAGTGCAGCTGCTGGAGGAAGTGGCAGTGCAGCTGGTGGTGGTGGAGCTGCTGTGGGAGGCAGTAGTATGTCTGGTGGTGGTACAGGAGGAGCTGGTGGTGCAGGTGGAGCAAGTGCTAGTGGTTTTGGAGGGGGTGCAGGAGTTGGGGCTGTTAGTTTTAGTATGGCTTCTGGTGGTGGTGGAAGTGGTTTCAGGCAAACCTCATACAGCTACAGTTACAGCAGCAGTGGAGGCAGTGTATCCAGTGGAAGTCGTAAGGCAGCCTATGCAGGCTACAGACTACCTCCAGCCTATGTGCCACCATGAGCTTAATAGAAGAGAAGTTTCTATGCATTACATTTGGGTAGCAAAACTGTTGAAAGAAACATTTTTACCGACCAAAACATGTTTGCAGTTGCATTAAGGTGGCAAAATATGGAATAATATGCAAAGGAACATTCTGAAGAAAGCTGAAAACCTCCTGTCAGGAATGCTGCTTGTTATAAGGAATATATATCAACAAGGACTTTAGTGAATGTTTCTATAGCTTTTTTATTTGTTGATTGTGGCGCACATGTCTGTGAAGTTAATAGCACCAATTATTTAATAAGCAAAGAAACCACAAAAGTGAATACTGTCAAGGATTATTCACTGTAAGTGATATTAAGGCAAGTAAGAGTGCACGAGTTCTAATTTTTGCATGATTGAACTTTAACTCCCAAGATCCGATTAATTTGTCATTCTCCCTTTTAACTTTCTTTGAAAACTTGTTTGGAGAATTTGATATTCTATGATGGCAACAGCCTTAAGCTGATAAGGTTGCATATTCTCATCACATCTTGGCTGGATAATGTATAGAAAGTGTTTGGTGTTTGAGAATCCATAAAGTAACTGCACGTTGAAGTTCTCTTAGGAAACTGGTAGTTGCTACTGTTTGCTCTGAAGAAGTGAAATTTAGAGCTTCTAACAAGAATTTGCATATACTGTTATTAAGAAAATGGTGTAAAATTTCTTAATTTTGGATATTTAGGGTGCAGATATTTGCAGTAATAAGTACAAGTTAGTGGTTAAACTTAAAAGAGCCAATGCTTGGAATTAAATTGCGCTTTTCAATAATTTCAAGTATGCTAAAAAAAAAAAAAAGGCTATTTTAAATTAATTTTTTTTTTGTAGAAAAAATGTATGGAAGAAAGTCTTCTTATTTGAACGGAATGTCACACTGCCCAGCAGTTATTATTATTATTATTGTATTTATCAAAGGGCCTGTCATTCATTTATTTGATGTTAAAATTACTTTGATCAAACACAACCAGTGCAGGAAATCAATTTGTATTTGGATTTATTATTCTTAGTTTCACAATGTAGATATAATTTCAATTGTAGTGGTGTCTTCACAAGGTGAAGACAATCAGTTTTGTACGCTTTAAACTTTGTGTTGTACATCTGAAGTAACTATACTGTGAGACAAACAGTAATAGAGTCTGACATGCCATTTATCTGTGGTGTGTGTGAGTGAAACTTTTACTGTCTTTATCAGTAATTAATGTTTTACATCAGTGAACAGTTAAAATCTATTGATGACATTGGCATTACTACAATTTTCCTGTTATTATTTGTTAAATATTGTTATGTCCATAAAAAGCTGTTTCACAGTATGGTTCATAATTATAGTCTTAAAAAGCAGACTGTTCAAGTAGTATAATTAATTGAAGTACTTCATTCATCAGATTGTTTCTTGGATATATTGGAAACCATAGGAAGTAGATTATTTGTATCTATTGATGAAAGCTTCGCCAATTTTATGTTCAGGTCTCATTAACAGCTGATTTTTGTAGCATTAGGGTTGTTGTTGGAACTTCCTGAGTTGCATTGACTTAGGATGCCATAGTTTGACAGTGAATCTTGTTCATGCCTTTGCTTGTAAATTTAACATGAACTATCGTTTGAACTGTAAACAGTTCAGTGTGGTGAAAAAGTTCTTGCGTTTAAAGTATGATTTCTGCTTTTGGAAATGCTTTGTCTATGGCAATTTTGGAAAAAAAATAAACTTCAAATGTTCAATGTACTTTCTTCGACACTTTTTGGTGTTCAAATAGTTTCCTCACAAATGTTTTTGTCAATAGATCAGCCATCCATAATGAGCGGAAGAATTTAGGTTAGCATGAGTTGTTAAGGGCAACAGAAAATTGTAACATATTGGCCCACCCTTAAAAACTAGCACCACTCCAGCTATTTCCTAACAATTTTCAGTCGCCACTATTACTGCAAACGAATACAAGAACGGTGAGCAGAAGTACAGCACCGTGTGGTTGTGACCTAGAAAAGTAGAATTATAACTTGATTTCCGCAGCCATGTTGAAGGAATAGCATCCCAAACGTAATTTTGCTACAAAGTCTGATTTTGTTTTACAAATGTTAAGCCTGGAAGCGACAGTTTCAATAACATACCTTCACCCGCTCCTCTTGACGAGTAGCCTTGCTCCCAGAGTGCAAGCGAGACCTCGAGGACTGCGTGCTTTGAACGAGTGGAAAGTCAGGAATATGTGTCTGGAACACGCGTCAGGAACTCGTGGGATTTTAGAACGAAAAAAATTCTCAGAATAATCTAAGAAACTCGCAATACTTGAAAATGAAATTAAAATATAGATTTAGCTTCTCTGCGGAAATCACTCGAGATTCTCAGACGACCACAATGAAAATATGTTCAGACTGTAACCACAAGCCGCAATTTTCTGTAAGTTATGCAGGCATTACCCTCCTCCCGAGATCCGGAACTCCCGTTCCTTTTAATAGGATAATAAGTAAAATCCTAAACACACTTGTGGTCAGCGTATTGCGAGCGGATTACCTTTACGCCCACCACTAAACGGAAATGTGGTTTTTCATACCCACCCCATATTTCTTTAATCACAACTCGTCACTTTAAGAACACTTACGAAGCTTATTACAAGAGTCGCACCCAAATTGCAGAAGTTCTTTTGGACGGTCACAATCTCTTCGTGGTTCCGCAGAAGCGGTGATCACGCATTCCATAAAGAAGCCTGTCAGAGAATGCGTGACCAGCTTATGGCAAGTATCGAACATGAAGGCTTTCATCTGACCATCACGAGAGGGTTCTGACCGGACAAGAGACAAACAACCGGTCACCTCTTAAAGTTACTGTCTTACGTAAATATAGTAAAATAACAAGATCAACAAGGAAGCGAAGTGAAGGTGACAATTAAAGACTCAACGCTGTGTCATTTTCATCAAATTGTGCAGCTCGAAATGATCTCTCGTCAGCTGTTCCTATCTAACGTCAGTGCATATGAGAAAGGATAACCTATTCTCGCTGAAATATACCTCCAGAATCCGCAAATTTCTTCTAGACGCGTAAGAAAACCATCGTTATATTGCATTTGCTTGTAAAATTACATAATCTTAAACGCGGGGAAAATTTTGGATCGAGAGTGCCTTCTACACAACGAAACTTGCTAGATTTAGACGTTTTTAACAGAAAAAACTGTATGCTATTGACGCAATTTAAGACGTGTGGATCTTTCAAATAAATGTTGATAACCTATGCTGATGTTTGCTCGCCCTATCAAGAGGTACGACCAAACCTGATTGGTCTGATTGCGCGCAACCTCGGCGGAGCCACGAAAATGGAATCTAGCAATTAACCTTATCGCCGAAGCTAAAGGTGACCTTAGACTGCGAGATAAAAAGTTAGATAATGTACTTCAGTGCCAACTGTTGAGAAACGATAACTGTGATATGACACGTTTGTTTAAAGCAACACGGGTTATTTAAAGTACTCTAGCAGAAGGTGTGTCTACAAGCCAGTGATAATTCTTAAGTCCTTTGTCAGCTACTAAAACTTTACAGTCACAGAACACAATTCATATGGTCTTAATCCACATTTTTTTTTCGCTTAGGAGACTACTTCAATCTGCTAACGAAGTTAATGCCAACATGTAATTACCTTAGAATGAACAGAATCGAAAAAGAGCAATCTTCAGATTAATGTCCCATCACCCTCACTAGTAAATTTAATTTGGCAATTGAGAGCAATTCAATTTTACTCCAAAGACTTACTGAATGCATTGTTGTCAAGAACTGTTTATCTTTCTTTACACATATTTGCCCGACCTATTTTGATTTTGTTTATCTTTGTGTCGCGCATAATTCTTTTCCCCCAGGATATAATTTCGCCTCAATCCCTTTCATTACTTCACTCTTGTTATTTAAAGACAAGACTTGAAAGAGGCCTAACTTTTTTAGTTCTTAAAAGCAAATATAATCCCAAATACAAACAAGGTTCTAACAATTGGCAGACAATCACAACACGCACATTCTGAGATAAGACCTGGTTTTTCTTTTACACTTAAAAGCTGTGTTTGGCTTGGCCGTCTATTTATCAAGACCACAAAATTGTAAGAATACAAATTAATAAACATGTCCTCAAAGAAAAGAAATATTTTGCATAACTGGCGTTATTCACTGACTAACACGTAGGAATATGTTACCGTTAGCCTCCTGTTTCTAAAATTCGGTCAAGCGCAGAGCTAATTTCAAATTTGTCGCGTGAGTGGCATGTGATACGTGATGGTACGGTAAAAACAGCCTTTTTTCATTACAACTTCCCTCTGCATGAAAGAAAACATGGGATTCCAGAGGATTAGCATAGCCTTGAAGTGAATTCTTCGTCAGGCTTATCTTGAACAAAATCCTCCAAACTTTAAATGACCTTTATACTGAACTGTTGAGCACATGTGACGGAAAAATCGCACAGCGTTTGTCCAATCAGTTCTCTTTAGAAAGAGGCAATTTGATACTGGCCAATCTCACACTTCTGTCATCAGAGGTCAACCAGTGACGTGAAGCATACGAAAGCGTAAGGGACCCGCCAGTGAATGAGCAATTGATAACAGCGAGTTAGCGCATTTTAAAGCTTGGCCCCGCGTAACACTACACGGCTATTCAAGGAATTAATTCGATTCCTATTGTTTGTAAACTTTGGCAGATTTCACGCAGAAGTTGACTTCAGGACCGGACGGGCGATCGGCAGGCAAGCATTCTTTCTGTTAGTGCGAATCTGGGTAAGATTAGGTAGAATACTTTCCACTACTTAATCGATCTTTCACTGCGAGTGAATTCACTCCTTCTGGGCCAATTCGATCGGAATGCTTCGCGGTTGAGTTGTCGTTTCGGAATTTGTGTCGGTATTTTGTCGCTCAGAGACTCTTCTTTGCAGTTCATCGCGGCGTCCCTGATTACTCAGGGTGTAAATATTATTCTTGAAGGTTCATCCTAGTGATGTTTTAGATTCCTGTAGGCATACTGCGACTCGATCAAAGGAACAGGCCAAGAAGGTACCAATATAGGATTATTATTATTCCAGTAAGTGACAGCAACCCTTAAGTTTTGGCAGGGCGAATATATCACAATATTTTCGCATCAAATTGCTTCCTTGATTAAGAGGAGAGCTAGCTAAACCTTTGATCGCTAAATTAAGGGTGCTAACCATTATTTTTCTCGCCATATCGTCTTAATTCACAGAAGCCTTGTGCTGTCCTAAAGGTAGTACCCTAAAGAGACCTTGAAACAATATGAAGGTTTTCCTTGTTGGATTGCTGCTAATTTCCGCGGCTCTCGCAAGCGAGCGAAGCAACGTCCAATTGCCTGAAAAATTCGAAAGCGTGACAGCTGTTGTAGGAAGAGTTTTTGTATATAATTTGCCAAACGAGGGTGGCCATGAAACCATATCTAAGGTGAGTGTTAAGTTGTACGCGGGGTGCTGACAAACCCATGTCTATATGCGACATTTCTTTTGTGTTTTTATGTGTTAACTTAAGTACGACTGTCTTTGTTTCTACACAAACATTTCTCTTTTGTAAAATATAGCCATTGATTTTTCTTACTGGCGTCTTAAGGCGGTGTAAATTCGCTGAAAGACGCAAATTTTGCCTAACTGTCAGAACTCTGTCGCCTCAATTATGAAAATTGATGATCTTTCTAAATAATTCTGAAGATAATCTTAAAATCTATGTAGCATTCGTAGTAGTGCGTCAAATGAAAATACAAAATGCACCAAGATTACTAATTGTTCATTTGGGTGAAAGCAAAGCACATTCGAAGTAGAGCGGTCTAACGATAATACAATACGCGCAAAGATCACTTAATGTTCATTTGGGTGAAAGCGAAAGCACGTTTATTTGAAGCCACATGTGTTTGCAATTTTTTTATCAGACCGCATACGACAAGAAGAAGATACTTAAATTCTCGAGTATTTATGCGCAAGCTGCCCTTGGCTTCGTCAGTGTAATCCACGATTTTTAGAGATGTTTGAGTTTCAGAGTTAATTAGACAAACGAACGTGATCATAATTTTGTTATAACTATTAATTGGAAGATTCTTGTTTCGCATGCACGCTCACGGTGTCATTTGCCAGGTTGGAACAAAGGAATAGGGTGTAGATTGAAGAAATCAAAACCCGCTGAAGTGTCAAGCAGATGAAACACAGAGAGCATGCCATTCATAGCGCAGAAATTCTCTTCAAACCGCATTTCATTTGATTTGCTACCAAGAGGTTTTATCGCCAATTCATCTGTGAACGAACTTGAGAATGAAAACCTCCTCTAAAGCTTAATTTATTTGGGGTCGTTCAGTGCACAACGATTTAAAATCAAGCATGTTTCTGTACTTTTTTTGTTGTTTATTTCTAAAGAACAATTCGCGTTTGTCTGCCCTACATGTGGCGTCTGGCGCTGGGCAGAAGTACAAAATATATCACTTCCGGTGAAAACCTAAAAGGATCTTCAATGACCCCACCTGGAAATCGATGTAAAGCAAAACATTGATAAAATTTTCCAAATGATTTCAGAGTTATTACGGTTAATTTTTCAGATAGAAGTTCCAATTATCTCTCTCTCTTGCACTTCGACAATGCGTGATTTCTGAGCGAACTGATAACACTCCTGATAATAGCTCACCGTTTTGGAACTTGCTATTAGAAATTATTGTTACGTAAATTATGTTTTTGCGGTCATGGTATGGTCGGGTGATTTCATCGAGATCATAAGAAACGAAACTTATCGCACGAGTGAAAAGCGTGATTCACATTGTTAAACATTGCGTAACGCGTATAATACACTTCTTAAGAGACTTGTAAATAGTTTAATACACTTCCTTTGAGTCCAATATCGGAAATCATGGAATGGACGAATTTTTATGATGTTTGCCGCAACCTTTGTTTTGCCTTCTTTTTATTGCATGCGGTTCCCTTTTGTTTGATATAAATATATCTGATTGTTTTATGGTCAAGCTGCTCACGAAAATGGTCGAAAAATTAACACCATTGTGCTGGAATGAATGCAAGGAATTAACGATTATAAACTAATGATCTACTTGTTCCTGTCAAATAACTCTCTTTGCCGGAAAAAACTTTTTTCATGAAAATATTTCGTTCTTATGCTAGATCTTTCTTCACTTGATGGTTATTTCATAGCATGTTTTAAATTTCAATTTTTTTTGAAAATAAAAACAAAATATGTTTTCAATGAATCAGGGAGTTTCTCATTAGACAAGTTTTGGTCAAAACTTCACGTGAATCCAGCCCAAACATAAAAGAAATTTAGGAAAAAATTTAATAAACTGCGAACCTCAACAGTTTGAGCTTTCTTTTGTTTGTCTGTTAGCCCTTTTAAGACCGTGTTTTGCTTTCTGTCGGGTCTACCTAAGGATTGAGCCAGAGAATGAGTAAATTTTGACCTTCGAATTTGCAGTAAAGATGTTCTAAATTTATCTGAAACAAATGTGAGATCAGGAAACATTTGAAATGTTTTCGTATATATTCCATTAATCCCTTAATTTGTTATTGAACCATGGCGAGTTGATTTGTATGCAATAATAACTAGGAATTAAATCGATTTAAAAAATAAATTTAATTTGACTGCTTCAATGAATTTGGGAATAGCTGAGGCTGGGAAAATTTTTAAGGGTGTAAAAAAAATGAAAACATATGCTGACAAAAAGCTTTTTAAGGTTAAGTATTTGAGACCAGAGGCAAAGGCTATCAAGAGAAATTGTATCCCTAGCAGTTGTTAATCGAATGTCACGCAACGAAGGTACTGTTGCGTGACGCCAAAAACAAAAACTTGACCTCTGTGACAAGATAGTTAATGTTGGGCAAGTCAGCTCATTCTGAAGTGTCGATAACAAAAGTAGACATAATCCGTATTTATTGTTCCATTAAAAGAACGTTATTGCTAACAGTCTCAGAAGAACGAAAATCTTAATTTACCTCTCCTCGCTTGTCAGGCAATCCAAAGAGGACAAGAGACACTGCCACAGTGGCTGTCTTTCAATGCAGGAAAGTCGTCTTTACTTGGAGTTCCCTCATGGCGTGACAGAGGCGGAATTTCGATCGATTTTCAATCTCAAGATGGAGTTGTTGTACATTCACTACAAATCGAGATCAAGGACTTGCGTGACGGAGCGTTACAGCCCACGTCACGCTCAAACAATACTAAGGAGTTTTCTTATTCAAAACCGAAGTGCCCTAAGGGACTACCTGTCGCAGCAGCCTCGATTATACTAGACTATCACTTAGAGAAAACCACAGGGTTAACAAGGGTAGAGATTATGAACAAAGTGGGCGAGTTTGTCGACGTGGATGTTGGAAATCTGCACATGTTGGCGGGAAAAGGACACAACACAGCATTCGGGCTCAAGGATGTGATTACAGTCACAGCAGGCCCAGGAAATGTTGGGGACCCTAAGCAACCGGGCTTGGTTATCTCTTGGCAGATTGGATGCGGTATTGATATTCCTATGGCTGGTAAGTTTTTGCGTTGTTATCTGGCATGAACTGTCATGCAATTCTGCGTCATGACCTTAAAAACCCATTTGTTTTGGTAGCAAGTGAATCTTAAACCTCCTCGGTACACCGATGGGTTTTTAACAGTCGTGTACTGAAAAAAGTCTAAGCTGAAGAGCACTGTTCTGAGCGTTCAAAGTAGCAGGAACTTTCCGTTTCCAGAGTTTAAGAAATGACGGTGATTTTTCTTCGTGTAATGCTCGTAAATGCCCTTCGGTTGATTATCCATGATCCTCAACACTATAAAAGAAAAAATCAACGAGCTGAGTATGTCTTTCAGTTAACCCCTTTGACAAATGGGAAATTAAATAAGAGGTAATCTACAGAAACTATGTAATTTTCTTCTCTGCCATTCAAGAGAATGTTTGATATCATGACACGAAACTGTCCTCAAATATACGGACGCTACTAAGCTGGAATCTTTCTCAGCGACCTGAACAAGTTTAGAACGCCTCATTCCCGTTTTATCCGTCATTGATGATCCGTTTTAACTTAAAGGAGCTAAAGAAAAAAATCATTTTAACTGCAGTAATGATTTTTTTTTTAATGATAACGTATGCGATTTGGTTCAGTTTGTGCGTTCTAGTTATTGAATAGTTTCAAGATGGAGGCGTCTGTCCGCTCGAGTCGAATTTCTATCTCATTTGAAGAAGATTTTCGAATTGTTAGGTTATTCATTGGAATCTTAAAACGCATTTAGTGATGAATTTGTCCAGGAATTTTTTCATGGCGGAGAAGAAATGATATGGTTTCCCAGTCTGGAGCTACTCCTTTTTACTTCAAAGGGAGATTTTGTTCCATGCCCGATCAATTTTTCACAGCCATTCTAATTAACGGACAAACCCTCGATTTCACTTGATGTCATAAGTAAGTGAACCCATTAAGACACAACTGTTGTTTGACCTGTTTTTATAGGAGTAAGAATAGCAACCTTCCTTAAATCAAGCGCGGAGACTGGATCTTTCGGTCCGGTGCTTGGTCTCCCTGTGTCTGAGTGGCATATATCCATTGGTTACCCTAAAGAACCTCGTCAAAGAACGCGTGGGCAAGTTGCACAGGACAGTTCTCCTAAAGTTGTTAAACGATCAACGAAAAGAAACGTCCGAGCGATTCAAGCAACCCCTACTCCGACTCTGACCGCCGCTCCTCCTACTTCGGTCGTCGCTAGTGTTACAATAACTGTTACAAGGACAAGTTCTGTTGTTCCGACTTCAACTATAGTCCCAACTACAACTCCGGTAGCTCCGACAACCACCGAACAACCGACGACAACACAACAGCCAACCACCACACAGCCACCTACAACGACAGAGAAACGGACCACGACCGAGAAACCAACGACCACTCGGGAGCCAACTACTGCTCAGCCAACAATCACGACAGTAAAACCGACCACCCCCGAAGAGACGACTACTACCGAAAAACGAACTCCCACCACAGAATTAACCACTACCAAACCACCGAAAACGACCGTAAAATCAACCACCATCAAAGAAACGACCACCTCCACAGAATCTACGACAACCGAGCGTACGACCACGAAGGAAAAACCGTCCACCACCGAAGAACCGACTCCCACCGAGAAATCGACTACCGCCCCAGAACTTACCACCACAACACGAATGTCGACGAAAGAAACGGCAACTACTACCGGAGAGTCGACTACTACGGAACAACCAGCTGCCACGACAAAACTGACCACAACCGAGCGAGCGACGACAACCGAACAGCCGAGCTCTACAACGACCACTACAGGAAAACCGACAGCTACTGAACTAACGACAACAACAGAACAAACGACGAAAACAGAACAAACGACAACAACAAAACAAACAATAACAAAACAAACAACAACAAAACAAGCAACAACGACATCAACGCCAAGCACGACTGTTCTATCGACCACTAAGAAATTAACAACTACAGAGCAACCAACAAGACCCCCTACCCCTGTAAAATTATCGACTACAAAGCAACCAACAAGACCTCCTACCAAAGTGGTGTCACCAACCATCTCCTTCCCAATGACGGTGAACGAGATTGGTACCATTGATATTAATCGAGGCCAAGTGTTTCGGTTCCATATCCCTCAGGACACGTTTTATGATAATCAAGATTTTTTCACTCCAAACTTGACTCTTGCCTTGAACACGTATGAATTGAAGCCTCTCGGGAATAATTACTCATGGATCAAATTTGATGCCGAAAAACAGGTAATTTATGCCTTTCCGATCGACAAAGAAACAGTCGGTATTCACGAATTTATGATGATCGCGAGAGACAAAGATGGAAATATGGGTTTTGATGCATTCCAGATAAACGTTGTGGACGATTCATCAGTCTCCTACAATCATCGGTTTACTCTAGAAGTCGATTATGATTACGAGGAATTCTCCAAAGACTTTGACAACCAAATGGAGCTTGTTACAAAGCTTGCCAATTATTTTAACGTGAACTCGAGTAGCATCAGAACCATATCATTCACTGCTGGATCTGTGGTAATGAAATTCCAGTTCGATTCATCAGAGGTTCCCTACGACGAGTGTGATTTTCCTCAGAGAGCAAAATTCCTTTCTGAGGATGGTGATGATGTTAATCCTGATCTTAAAAAGGCTCTTGAGCCCGAGTTCCCAGTCGAATCAGGAAATTTTGAAGGTCTCGGACCCTGCGGAGCTGTGGTAGACGTGCTGCCGGCAACAAAATCAGGTCGGTGGAAGACCTACGTGATTATCCCAGTGGTGATTCTTGCCGTGGTGCTTCTTGTGGTGAGCATATGTCTGTTCCTTGTTTTGCGGTCGCGTAAGAGACGAAAGCTCTCTCTAGAAGACCAACAACTCTACGTGTACAAGCGCAAACCGGCTGTACTTCAGGAAGAGTACGAGGTCAAGGAAAGACTTCTTAAACAGCCCCTGGTGTTGCCGAACGAGAAACCACCCCTCGCTGCCCCAGTTCACCCGAGGAGCCCATCCCTTAAGCACCAAAACGGCGAGCCGCCCCAGTCCTCATCTTATCAGGCCCCGACTTTCACTTCATTCATACAGTCGAGCAATCAGGGAACACCCAACGGAAACAGCCCCCGGAAACCCGGGTATTCGGGATACCGGTTACCCCCGGCGTATGTGCCCCCTTGAGGACAATTTACCACATAGGACCGTTTGTTACTATCGCGTGACTTGCAAAAAATGAAGAGACGAGACTTAGTACCAAAACTGAATACTGAATTTATTACTCGTGTTAACGTAGTAGAAACTCGACGATTTCCATCGTCTGAAGAGTTGTAAGCAATGTATGTTTTCGGTAATCGAGCTTCCTCGCTCAAACTTGATATTCTCAACTCTTATTGTGCCGACTCTAAAGCGAAAAAGACAGCGAATTTTGGTCTAAGTTTTCTTTGCGGAATTTTTTTTAACCCAGTTTAGTGTTCTGCGCATACCCATCAACCGAAAACTAGAATGAAAAACAGGCTTCTCTGTTGATTAGGAAAATAAGTTTTTAAATCCTTTATAAGCCAGGGTTGTTTCAAAAATAACATTACCTCACGAAATTCTAGTATCTGAAAAAGAAGCAACACCCTTATTGTCGAGGATTTCCGTAGTAATTAAGCGACTATATATAACAATTTAAGCCTCTAAAAAAGGGCTTACCACAAATACTCCTTACAAAAATGCGTCAAAAGGAAGATAAAGAAGGAGCGGTGCAGAGAGAGGATTCAAGAATTCCACATCGTTACGAAATTATGAAGCTTATACATTTCGAATCTCACAAATATCGTTCACAGTTGCATCGGTGTGGATGCTATTTTGTTTTTAACCCGCTTATCAAAATGTATGTATGTCTACAATTAGGTTATAATCCTTGTGCCTGTTTAACTAATTTTTAAAAACGCATTAAGAGATTAAATTGATAACTTTTTCACTGATACGTTGTGATATTTGTTGATCTTCAGCCAGAGGTCGACATTAATGCATCGGCTAAGTTTGTTTTGCTTGCCCTGCATAGAAATTAAGCAGTTTAGACTGAAGAACCTCGGGAATAAGAACCTTGTGAAACTACGCCATTTTAAATCCTTTTTAATCTTCTTCATCGAAAGCTATGATGGTCTTTTTACGGCCTTCTCAAATTGTATTTTTGCGACTTTCACGCAGACGCAGTTTTCACATTTGAGTTACAAACAGCCCACACAAGCCAGTAATTCACAGAATTTAAAAAGCGTAAAACATTTATGGTGAATCTCATAAAAAATGATAAATCAACACGATACCTGTACTTGAATGAACGTTTAATTTTCTTTTGCTTATTTTCCTTTAAAATTTGGCGCGCGGCTGGCCAAGATTGATCTCCTCGCGCATGCCCGACGTCTCATCGCGATGATGGAACCGGTTAGGATTCGAATCCTACCTCCGTAAAAATAACGACGGCGATCGACCGAAAAACGTCATTTACTTTTGTAAAGTTAATTTCTGAGCATTCAGTTGCTTACATTTATTTTCAACGTAGCGAGCAAAGGAGCTGCATGATTTCGTAGAAACGGTTTGTGATTCAACTGCCTCACTGAACTCGGCGAATGGTGAGCGAGGAAATGGCGCGGGGACAGTAATTAATCAATAACTCGGTCCTTGTTTCGACAAATTTAATCTTTAATTCAACTGTTAGTGCAGCATTAGTACAAAACCATTATGCGGACAAATCGTCCTTGTTGTTAGAGTTCATTATATCCCACTATAAGCTTATATACAAACGTGTTTTGAATTAAAATGGTGTCCCTGTGGCGGTAACTTGTGTCCCCCTATTATTATCAACTATTATTAATTATTATCAATTCTGTGCCTCGAAGTTATTTTACATTACAATCTTGTCTTCGTAACTGAATCAAATTCGTAGTAAGTCCTTGTTTTGTTCAAAAAGCAAACGATCAAAAAAAGTTTTTTCTTAAAAAATTTTGGTTTACATTTTTTCTTTGCTCTCCACTCTAGTCTCTTTTTGTTTCGTTTGATTATTTTTTTTTCAGCTCGAAAGGAGAAGCATTGTGGCAACTTCATCCCGCAATTTCTTTTCCAATTATAGCAATTTAGTTTCGGGGTCTCATTAAATTGTCTCGCGGTTAAATTGAGTGCGGTGTGCTGAGTGGACTTAATGTTACGCGTAGAACAAAAGTGCTTATTGAAAAACAAACATTGAAGCATGAGGCTTTTGGGTTTTTTAATGTAACACTGGCCGGGCGTTGTTCGCTAGCATGGTGTTACATAACACGTCACGCTGCACATGGTCACGCAGTCCTTGGACTAATTCTAAATCTGACTTTCTTTAGTTAGTAATAAAAGCGAATAATGCATAACCGATGGTGTTCGGAAAGAAATTTGCTTGCGACCGTTATAAGCCATTTAAACCACGAAAATTTACAATTTAGAACGGACGTAATGGCTGTCAAAGGCACACTAATATGTTCTCCTCCCCTAAATTTTACACACGACACTTCTATTGCATCGAGCGAGTACTATGTCACACTATTCTGATGTGACATTCAAATTCCACTTAATTCAAGGACTAAAATACACGCTCGACTACAAGTGATGATGCTTGGACCGGAAACTTTAAAACTAGCGTGCAGAATTTACCCTTATTGCTCTACGTAATGTCCGATTTATCGCTTTTGTTAAATCCTGAAAGCCACTTCGATACATTCCCGTCTGGCTCCAATAAGCTGGAAACTCTGGTTTTGATCAGACCGACCATAGAATTATCTGTTTCGATGTATTCCTCTTGTTCATATTCCTCGTCACCGAGAGTGAACACGACGGGTGGCTTCTCTCGGGTGTCTCTCGTATTCCGAGAGAACAGCGACCCAACATCGGATAGAAGCGAGTTCCCTTGCTTTGCTTTGCTCTGTGGTTTGGTTCCGTTTGGAATTCCGCCTTTGCTTTTTCCGAATGAAGTGAAAAAGTCGTCCTTTGATTTGGCTCGTTGGTGATTCCAGTTGGTCTTCGCGTTGAATTCGTCGTCGTCCCAAAAATCGAGTGTTGATTGGCTAGAATAACTATTAGTCCCTAACCCACTGAGAGACGACCTCCTATGCTGCGCGCGGGTGGGGCCTTTGCTGTACTGATGTGCACATGGATTGACATATTCTTGATACCTTACTTCATTTAAAGTGTAGGTTTCTATCTCGGGATCATTTCGATCTTTGCCTGCGAGGGCATGATTCCAAAGGGCTGTAGGTTTGGCGAGACACGGTGTTTCCTCGTCAAAATCAGCGTCAAAAATTGACTTTTCGTGTTCTGACTTTTCATCTTGACTGAGCTCACTGGGTGCATCAAACAATGAATCGGGGTATTCATCAAAGTCGCTCCCCATGGAATACTTTCTATTACCTTGTGGTTCATTGTGAAAGAAACTAAAACCGTCGTTATGGTCAACGACAGCTTTTGGTTGATTACCGGAGTATGCGCGTTGACGGTGAGCTGGGGTACTGTACTGCGAAAGCTCGTACTCAGAAGTGTTACTTTCACGACCAAGAGAATAACGGAATTCAGAGTTCTCGCTTCGCGCCGAGTCGTAGCTATGTCGGGCATCATCGCAATAACCTCGCTCACTTCGTGTGTCTCTGTATTCCCGAGGCTTGTAAACGTATGACTCATCGTCATAATCGGATTCGTTGTATGCAGCTTCGTGGGTTACATCGTATTGTATATCTTGTGTTTCCTTCATTTCCTCACCCTGCGCGCCAGTAGAAAGATTCAACATAGATTTTCCAAAATCCATCAGCTTGCTCGAAAGAGAAGGCGCGGCCGATAAAGTTGAAGACGCCCCGCCTGTCATGTCGTTTGGCGCTGCAGAAAGATTAAGCATGGACTTTCCAATCCCTTTCAATTTAGACGATAAACTTGGTTCAGGATTTGAAGACTCTGTTGTAGACTTTGTTTCCTCTTGTTGGCCAGCCTCCGCTTGAGAGATGTTTAACATGGACCTCACACCCTTTATCTTGGTAGAAATGTTTTCAGCGATGTCAGAGAAGTTCATATCCAGTACCGCATCTAGCATGGACGGTTCTGCCTCTTCGGTGTTTCTGTACGTGTAATACGTAGGTATGTTAAGGGGGGGACGTTCGGTGTCGTCATCATCGTCCCACATTTCGCGAACATTGAACGATCCCTTATCCCTATTGTAAGGAAACTTAAACGGGTTTTTTTGATTGGCAGAGTTTTTGCTGTTGTCGGTTGCGGCACTGGCACCCTGTCTGGGGCGATTTGCAGCCGAGTTTGGTACCGTCAAATGTCGACTAGAGGGGCTACCGTTTGGGACATTTGCCTTGGCACCGACTCCTCTTTCGTCCTCTCCGACGCCATCTTCTTTGGAGTTATTGGAGACGGACAGCATGGAAGGATAACGATTGTTAAAATGAACAGTGTGCGATGTTAAATTTGTCATTCCGTCCTCGTTCCTTGGACGAAGGGTACGGAGTGTTCTTCTCTCTTGTACAACTGGACGCTTAGTTCTCATGCGCCTATTCACAAAACATGAAATGCCAACAGGAACTCCGACCACAGCAAGGAGAATGGCGATTGTTATAAAGTGTTTCAGCCAGCCCCACTTAAAAGGTGGGTCGGGTCCTAATAAGTCCGTATCACAGGCTCCAAAAAATCTGAATTGAGCGCTCTTGACTGGGAATCTATTAGTCAGCGCTTTCTTAAACTCCTCGTTAAGCTCCTGTGTTTCTTCGTCAATCACACTAGATTTCAGCTTTTTGTACGTGTTTTCATCACAAGGAGAATAAGGAATGTTACTGAATACAACGGTTAGATTCCTAGACGCCCTATCGAACGACTTTAAGTAAATTATTTTGGGTTTTTCATTGAAAGAGTAACTTGCTAACTTGGTGGCAAAGTTAATTCTCATAGCCGCCTTTGTCATAAACTGATGAAAATTTATTCCTGTAGATAAAATCAGTTCGTGGCTGTGGCTAAATTTGTTAGCTTCTACACGGAGCTCGAAATTAACATTCAAAACTGCCACTCCTGTCTTATAGTCAACGATCATTTTGTAAAAGAATTTGCCAGCATTTCCTGGTAAAGGAAAACCGTAGACTTCGCGTTTTCTTGCATTAAACTGGACCCATGACGAGGCGGGAATGTCTCCGTAATGATATGTCTTCATTGTGAAGCGAAAGTTTGTAATGTCACTTTCCAAGGCTTCTTCTATCTCTTGAGGAATAGGCTTTCGAAAGGTCTGCCCAACATACGCTATCATAGGCTTTGGTATTATTGTGGTTGTCGGTAAAGTAGAGGGGCTTTTTCCCGCGCCCGTGGAACTTGAATTAGCTGACAATGGATGCTCGGTTGAGTTTATGGACACCAGCGAGAAAAACAACTTGAGGACCGCTAGTGCTTTTGACATTGGAGAGAAAACGTCTCAGCTTCATGAGCGTGGACGGTCTGTTCAGCTAATACTTTGGTTAAATCTGCTCTTCAAGGATTTTTATGGAACAATTCCAGTAGTAGACATAAACACCTAGAAAAATTATGGACCCAGATTGTTACGTATTAAGCAAGCTCGCTTCATGGAGGAGGGATGAGGGCGGGTTGGGTGGGAGACCCCATACCCGTGGGAATGGGAGATGGGGGGGAACCCTCCCGTACAACATCAAAGAGAGGCACGTCGTACCTTTTGAGGGGTAAACTTTGTAAGGGCGGGGAGCGAGGAAGTTAAGGCGCTAGAGGGCGGTGAAACCCTTTAGAAGGCCTTGAGGTTTTACGATGTGAAATGACTTGTGTCATTGCTGTTTTTGCAACATAGAAGGTTTGAAGAAGAGTCATTGTTAATGCTGGTTGATTTGTCTGTCGTTTTAGAACTTGTAGCCTCTACACCTTTTTACATGTATCAGGGTTATCGTATTTTAGGTTTTCCACGAGAAGAATACTCCCAACCCAAACATGAATCTGGGATTAAGTATGTAACAACTGACTCAGTGACAACATACCCAGTAAAATCGCAGCATTATTTCACGTCCGTTTCTAATTCAGAAACATAAACACGCGTGTGATTCACGTGTGCAAAACTAAGCAAAATAAGACAAAATATAAAAACCTTTTATCTTTAAATGCAGAACGTAATAGATTCGTCCCGGCGTAACCGTCCTAACTCGAAAGATTGAACTTAAATTTAGTTCTACAGATTAAATTTGGAGTTAACATTGTTAGCTCTTTATAGTACCAGCGAGGAAGTTGTGCTCAGTTTACATCGTTTGAATAAAAGAAAATTGTCTGAAATCAGTATACCCCGCTGTATTTATTCTTGAGTTTCATTTAGCTTCTTTTTGAAAAGGAGTGTCTCAATATACAATGACGCAGATCTATGCAAATATAAAATCGCCATTGAAAATTCTCTTTGACCGCAATTCAATCATTCGTTCTCAAGTGTGGCTTTTCCAAAGCCTCAAACGACTCGATATCACTTCGTGGCTTCCAAACAACCTTTCTCGAGAAAATGCATTGTGAGGAACAATGAACAAGAATTTGTAGGACATTCTTGAACGCGTTGTTTGTGTTTTTAGACCAAGTTTACATTGTTTAATCGGATTTTCGCGATGTTTTGGTTTCAGTTATCTCTCAAACCATAGTTTAGTGCTTTATGGACAAACGCATGACAATTTACATCACTATACATCACAGCTTAGAATATTTTGGACGTTAACAAAATGAAATTTAACGAGCCTTTCAAAACAAAAAATTTTAAGATACTAAGGTCGCCTTTCTAAAACAGCGGAACTAACGTCATAGGGAAATTTTTGAGCAAAAAAATCCACCGGTGAGTCTTTCATCGTTGTTTTAGTATCCTTAAACATCGGAAAAATAAAATAAGCTTTCGACACGAATTTTAGGAGCAATAAAACGTGAAATTATCCTCTACCACTGGTGCACTGTGAATTTCAGCTCGCCTCGTCTATTGTTAATGTTTACGAATTAGATCATTGGTGTTCATTGTTTATAAATAAAGCCATACTCGTTTTGAAGCACTTATCACTAGCAAGGAATTGTTTCTTAATCTTCCCCATTAATTGGACAAGATTTTTTTCCGACCGATCGCACCAGAATATTCGACCTCTTACGGCATTAAAAAAAAATCACTACTTTTTTGAAAAGTAAAGTACAAATATGTCAAGAGATATATATGAATAGACCTTATACGTGATTTTCATATATCATAACGATAAATTGTAGAGGAAATTTGCTAAATATTATACGACAAAGTTAAAAATAGGAACTCGTATTTAAAATTTGATTTGCAAAACCGCTGCAGAATTTGTCGCAGCTTAAATTTAATTACCTCGTTTTTTGAGTCTGTAAGAATATTCTGGACTAAAAGTTTATATTCGTAGAGAATGAATTCAGGCAATTAAGCTTTTAAAATCTTCGAATGTTGTAGCTTTGTTTATTCGATCTTCCGGTTTTGCGATCTCAATACAAGCAGATGTTTCAAGCCGTTACAGTTTGCTAGTCTGGCGAAACAAGGCTTCCCTAATGTCCTTGTAATTATTTTGTGTACAGTACAAAATTTCAGTTTACGTGTGTAGTGGGCAATTTATAATGGTTTACCATGGGCAAGCAAAACATGTTAACTTTGGCTCAACCTTAAATCTGAGCGTTGATTTCAAACCCGTATTTACTAAAGTTGTTTCAAGAAATTTGAAAGCGTCATTATTGTGAAAATAATGACGCTGTTTTCCAAATAGAAAAAATGAAACCAATCTGATTCAAATAGTCCTGTTTAGTTGAGTTTCACGGCTGAAAACTATAATAATTTCCTTGGATGAAAGGCATTTAAAGTGTGTCGTTCAAGTCTCCTTAAAAAAAAGTACAGGAGATAACATTTTCCATAATAATCACACCTGCTTTTCTCGAACTATTGTGCAGAATTGCAAAGGAATTTGTACCTGCGTAATCAAGAATCCTGTAAAATTCTTCTTATTTTTAGCCATTTGTGGTGGGAAAATCTTGTCCAGACTTTTAAAACCACTCTAGGTAAGCTTCGTCGATTGAAACATCATTAAAGAACCATTTTCATACATTACTCACCGGGATTCCTTCGCTTGGAAGATGTTAGTTAATAATTTACAGCGTGGACAAAGCTTAATTACGCCGTCTGTACAAATGTCTATAATTGTTAGCCGTTGGAACAGAAAAATGAAATTTTAATCATCGTTCATCCCTGAGCATGCGCTGAGCGCAGCATGACTAACGTGCACTTGTACCAAATCAGTCAGCGACATTGTTCGAACAAATGTTACTTAATTTCAAATCTTACAGAATAAACATGTTAACATAAATTAAACATCATATGTTTTTAAGAAACTAACTGAGATGCATATATAGTTCTTTGCCAAACAACAAAGTTACATTTAGTATCAGGAATGAAAAAAATCCGTTAAAAGATAAAATTTCTTAGGCTGCTATTAAAAAAAGCCTCCCTCCTGCAAAATTATCAACTGGTGAATTACTGCAACGCTCACTTTGTTCCTTACAGAGGATGGGGTAGAAAGCTCCTCCTTATAAGTACATATTAACCTCTTATAACCGATAATAATTTGAATTTCATGGTATGTAATCATACCAGAAGTATAAAAACATATTAATGAACATATTAATGAAGGGGGTAACTTTCTATAGAAACTGTGGTGCTGCGACGGCAGGAGAGTATAACAGGCTAATCAACAGAACTGATAACGTAAATAAGCCACTGCTAAGAGTTTCAAAGCTGACGTTTCGAGCGTTAGCCCTTCGTCAGAGCGAATTAAGAAGCATAAAACCATACCCTCGATTATTTGCTTCTCATATATATATATATATATATATATATATATATATATATATATATATATATATATGTGTGCAGATATAAATATACACGTTTTCAAAAACGTGACAATATCTATTATATTTGATATAATTGTATCAACATATATATATATATCCATACATATTAAATTTGTGTATCTTTTGTTCTCTTGTCAAAAAGTGTCTCTTTTTGATAAGGAAGTAAAAGGTTTATATATTTAATACATGTTTTCAAATGTGCAACGTTTTTGAAAACGGTTGTATGTATATATATATATGGATTTTTTGCTTCATACTTGGAGACAATGTAGATAATTAGAAATTGTCTGTTGTTTTTTGTGGAACTTAGTTAAAAATAAAAATACGTGGGACGTTATTTTTTGACCGTAATAATTTAAAAATTTACTGTAAGTGAAAATCAGTGGAAATGAACATTGAGTGTATATAGCAACATCGAGACTGTTTGACCGGTGAAAAAGTTCTTCGAGATCTGAAACTGATCGTGGCAAGCGGGGTAAAATGGTTAAATCTGAAAGACTAGTTTTAACCCTGTTTTAAACCGCTTAATTGTTAATATTGAGGTGCTCTTTCGACGGCTGACGGTAAAAATTCATCTTGGCTGACGGTTGACGGCTAAATTTCTAAGGCCGTCTGACGACTGACTAGCGAACTGAAAGGACATTCTTGAACGCGAACTGAAGCCAAGCCAGACTGGAATTTTTTTTCTTCACCCCTCATAACGTTCTTTGCTTGGAAGCTCTTAAGAATTAAGATAAACTCTTGGAAGTTACTTTCGTTCACTTCATGTTATTACAGAAGTGAATAGTTCTCTCCTGCGCCTCAGCTCTGTTGAGGGGAACAAACATCATTTGATTCCTATCGCAGGAGGTAACGGGGAATGTTGAAGAAAATCTAAGACCACTCATACTTTAAATGAAATTTAACTTACCGTGAGAAAGTCCACACTGTATTTGCGAAAAAGTATCAAATAAGCACGGCCCATACGCGCAAGCAATATATCCCTTCACATACAAAGACTAGATCGACAACTTTATATGTAATTTTGCCTTTAATGATTCACGTAGTAAGCCGGGCTCAGGATTGCGTACAACAGCGTGGACTGAGTCATCGATCGATCTTCCGCCCACAGACTACTCAGCTGATAAGGTTTGCGTGTATCTCCTACACATGAAAATATTATGTAGCTTAAACGCGGTAACTGGGAAAAAAAAAACATTGACAACCACATTTAAGCCGTCACATGAAGTTAAAAGATCGACTGGTGAATATTCACCGATCAATTTACGACACGCAGCGCATCCAAACCCAGCTTGAAGCAAAGAATTTCCTGAAGGGAAAAGGGTCTACTCTTTCATTTTCGAATTCAATCATCATAACCAGTCGCGAAACTTCGATACATCGATAATTGCACGCCGGCAATTTCTAAAGCCAGAGAGCTTTAGAGTTCTGATCTCTAATTTCTTCCCCACGAGTGACGTATTATTAAGTTTTTTTATGTTCCACCTCTTCGCCATTTTGCCATATTAGGATGGCGGAAAGCGCAAAATAACCCACGCTACATATTACGCTAAAAAATAGGCCAAGAATACAGATGGAAAGTGGATCAACAAAATGTAATGGTAGAATTTGTTTTGTTTTGTGGGCTTGAGTTTTTTACGAAACGAACATTAAACCTATCAAACTGTTTATTTTTGACTAAGAACATTTTGATGGTTTCGTCTTTCATGCAAGAAATATGTGATCCATACGATAGCTTTCAAAAACTAAGCTGAAATAATTGAAAGTGAAATAAAAGTATTATTAATTATTGTTCGACGGTTTAGCATGTAATACGAGAGGATATTTTGCTAATTGCTGGTTTTTTTTCCCTGCCCCTACAGGGCTACAAAAAATACTATACAACGTGCTAATATCCACGCGCTTTTTTTGCCAAAACATCGAAGAAGCTGAGGTGTTTACAATACCATTTGACACTAAATTTTTGAGCCGCGATGCGAAGAGGTCAAAATTAGGCATTACACTAGTTTCAGGAGGCTGCAATTGGGCCAAAACACCTTCGAACATTGATATTCAAGCGCTCTGCTGCCATTAAAAATGGTTTAATTTCAGGATTCATTTCTCATTTAAAACTCGGCGAGACTCTCTTTTGAAGCCTCTAAAGATTTATTTATTTCTTTTTAGTACTAATATTGTGCGCACATCTAAAACCCTTGAAGGGCTTGAAATTTCTTCAGTAATTTTTTAAACTTTCTATTTTTCTTCTTCATACATGAATTAGTTATTATTGATAAAACAGGTGTAACGGAAATCGTCCAAAAAATAACATATCATACAGTTGTCGTGGTAACCAGTGTATTTCCTTCTCAGCGCTGTTTTCGATTCTTTATCCGGCTGGCGAGTAAAAACTACACCAGACGTAGTTTATTGTTCAAAAGTCTACAAATAATTCAGGTGAGAGAAACTCAAGAGGAAAAACTACGTAATTTCGTCGCTACCAGTTCGAGCTCTTTCTCAAAAAATATGTAGACTATTGTTTTGACGCACAATATTTCTGGTCTCCACTATAATGCTTGAATGTTTCGTTGGCATAAATTGTTACGGTTCTGAATATTCGTTACATTTATTTTCAATATTTTCATCTATTTTTCCGACATTATTATTTGTTTTTATGTATTGTCATCTTTATTGTTAAAACCCTTAGAAGTCTCTGGCTTCTTAAAGTATTGGTATTCCGTTTAACAAAACTGATTGCAAAATTGTTAACGCGTTGCCGCTCATCAAACAGTCGACTTAGTTGTTATCAACAATAATATATTTGTTAACAAAACGGAAAAATTCATAAAGCGCTTGCTTCCTCCGTTCGTAGATTAACTTCATTTAAAAACATTCAGGAAGTACTGTGTTCTTCGAGGGAAAAACCGCTCTAAGCCGAACAATTGCAAATAAATGAAAACAGCCGGCGAAATAATGATGGGAATTTTTTTTTTCAAGAATCGTTCTAGAAGTCTTAACATAAAAAAAACGTTGGCATTTCTTTAGATTCCTTTAAAATTGAAACAGATTTTGGAGAATAATCTCAAAAAAGATTTCTCAGTACCAAGGGAACGTAGACTATGGGTTGAAATATTGTTTCAGGTGACCAGTTATGGTCTTATTTACTCAATACTGTCGAAAACATGGGTTGATAGTTGCTAAAATGAACAACACCGGATATTGTAGCTAACTTTTTGAAGAGGACAACTTAGTTTGCCGTTTCTCTTTTCCCATGTTTCAACCTCGATACATTACAATAAACTAACGTCAAGCTTCACCTGTTAGCTAGAGGTTTCTCTAACTCTCTCCATAAGCGGTTGCCGATGGTGTAATTGGCGGCAGTACCGTAAGGCGAAACCCAAACACGAGGACTGTTTGCGAGCTGAACAGACGGCGGTGAGAAGTCTTACCGGCAACCGGTAATCGGCTTTAAAATTGTAACCCCTGCCTTGGCATTGATTGCATTTGAAAAGGATAGAAAAGTTACAATGTCCTATGCCACAAAATTCCACATTTCAAAATATCACATTTTGAATTTATAAACTGGTTTTAAACCTTTAAGAACCTCTAAGAGTTACGAGCATCTAATTTCACCCTGAATCAAACATAAAGGTCGTAAGAATAAAATAAATAATAACCAACTAAAGAAACTCTTTATTTTTGTACAACTTAATTTTTTTTCAGTGCCATAGGAAATGTATAGAGAACAGTACGAAAAATATGTATTATGATGTTACGGTGTAAAGGGTTAATTGAATGCAAGATTACGCTTTTGCTTCTTCTGTAATGAGTCGTCTATTGTTTACCATCCTTTGTTTCTAGTAAACAAACCTTAACTCGAACCTTAAATTAAAGCATCCATGATTGCCTATCGCAATTAAAACAGTGCTCAGTTCGTGTCGCCTCTTTGCCGGTGGAGGAACCAACCACTCAATTTTTTGTATTGCAACCAGAAAAGAAAACATTCTTTGAGAGTTTGACAACGTAAGTGTACACATACATTGTATTTAGAACTTTGTTCAGACTAGAACTTTTTTGTTATTCAAGAAGTCGCAAACATTGCCAAGAAACCTGTGAACTTTTGATGATTTCATCTCGTGTGTTTGCACTTTTCTCTTTCTTAAAATCGTTCAAAACTTCAAGCCCTGATATTCCTCGAAGTTTTACCACTGTTCTTCAACAGAATAGAAGGCTAGACTTCAAATATCATCTGTAAGTCATACCACAATTAGGTCGAAGGAAAATTCTTAAAATTTGTTCGCATGACAGATCATAAATTTTTGCACTCTGTCAAGCAGGGCACAGAGTTAGCTAAAACAGATTCTTACAGATACTTTATAGTTCATTTACATCACTCATGCTGTTTTATTCAGAGAACATTTATATAGAAGATAGAGCATATTCCTGGATGGCAGAAATGTGTCTTATTTGTTTCATTATTCATTATTCTTGTGTATTATGTGAGGAGTGTTTTACACACATGATTGAAGATGTGCATTGTTAGTCACAACCGAGTCAAAGCGCAGTCGGCCGGTGCGGTCAAAAATGTTAACGCAACCAAAATTTTTTTTCAAGAAAGTATGATCTGTTTTGCAATAGTCCTTTATATCTGGATAACTACATTTAGTGGTGAGATATGAAGACTGAGTGTCATGGAACAAAGCATTTTGCGCTGTATCACAGTCAAGTGCTATCAGTAAATAGATACCAAGTTATTTCAACATGTCTGACAAAAAGCAGTTTTCTTCCATTCAGTAGCGTCTTATTAACATTCGAGGGCATGTCAGGTTCGTTCCTCTTTTTTCAATATTTTAACTTTTTATCAAGGGCTAGGTGACATGAACCCCACCCTCTCCCCTAACCCCCTCGTCCCAACCCCTCTTCGAGGTAAACCTTAATTGTCGATGTCTTGGAAATGTTCACACGGTCAAAAAAAAGGTTCTCTGTCAGCCGAAATGATATAAGTGACATCTATTCCGATTTATGCTTTGCTAACTTTGTTTTCTTTTTTAATCGAAACGCCAGGTTAATTGTACAAGCACAGGAGCAACTGCCTCTCACGGCTGCAAGCACCAAGATGTCCCGTTCAAAAACTCTCCTTCGAGAAATAATTGACTCTAACCACCGAAAACTAAACAGACACTCGCGCTTTGCTCCTCCGAAGACGAACACTCTTAAACACCTGCAGAACGAGTTCAGAAAAACAATTCCCCGCCCGCGATATGCATTTGTCACGTTGGTGATGTGTGGTGACGATTATGTTAAAGAAGCACTAACCTTGGCTTGGTCTCTAAGGCAACAGAAAACAATGCACGAACTGATAGTCATGGTTACGCCTGACGTCAGCGTTTCAGCGATGAAGCTACTGCGCAAACTCTATGATCGCGTAATCAAGGTGCAGTACATTAAAACCAGAGTAAAAAGTGCCCTGAGAGGGAAAAAGTACCGAAGCGAACATAAATGGATAGAATTCAGTTTGACAAAAGCGCGCATGTTAAAACTCACAGAATATGACAAAATAGTTTGGTTGGATGCAGATTCGCTTGTTCTCAACAATATCGACCACCTCTTTGACCTTTCAACTCCAGCTGGTGTGTGCTCCAGCATCAGAAATCATGATTATTGGCATGGCTCTAAGATACCCGAGTTAGAAATCGAAAGTGCTGTTGAGAACAATTATGGTGTCCATGGATGCATCATGGTGCTGACACCAAATTTAGATCATTACCTGTTGGCAAGTTCTTTGCCTCAAGTTGGAACCACTGCTAACTTTGTCGGACCTGATGAATTTTTCTTCACGCAGTTGTACAAGACCGAGTGGCATCATATCCACATCAAGTACGCATGTACAAAGTGGTTTTACGAAATGCGAGACGTAAAACCGAATGTGATTCATTTCTTTGGCGACAAACCATGGGAGGACGAGAGCGACTGGGACGGAGTAAGAAAGTGGAGGGAAGCAGCGCAAGGCATGGTACGAGTCTGTCCTAAAATGTCGGATTTGTTCGTGACACTAGGTCAGCCGAGTTCTCGACGAAGTCACCACGAAGTAAGGTTCTCAGCGAGTTGTGAAGTATCCGGAGTAAGGACGCAAAGTTCAACGCCGCCTAAATTGCGTTTCGGGAACTCTTGAAAACGTCAAGATAGCATCATCATCTTTTTTCGCCAAAACGAGATATCGTATAAATACTGGTTTACCTCGCAAATTCAGAGGGACAGATGGTACACATCAAGCTGATATGTAGTTAGCACCATATTCTCTTACCAACGTTGCCCTTGAGTCACACATCAAGGTCACGAGAACAAGAAAATGATAACCTTCTTAAGTTGATTGTTAAACAAATTCTCCTTGTCAGCACATTAGAAATGTTAGGAGAGTATTAGGGAGAATATAAATACTGATGTCTGGGCTTAAAGGGTTAAAGCCTGTCACAAATACACCTAGTAATGGCCCAGTTAACCATCGAGTTTTTTCACGCTTAGTTCTGAGGCATCGGAGCGCAAGAATCCAAACAATTGAAGATCTGGAGTTCGAAACCTCGAAAGGGATTAAAAGTTTTCCTTTGTCACACGCTTCTGACACAACAAATAAAGTCTTTTTATGATGAAAATTAAAGAACTTACTGTCAGTCTAGCTAAGGAGAGCTCGTCGATTGACTGTTGTAAAACCAAACCAAAGTACCGGTTAGCACAACAGCGAATCAGAAAAAAAGAAAAGTCCCAAGTTATCGATAAGAACTGAAGTAAAATCCAGTAAACTGCCCAAGTAGCGATTGGGTTTAGTTATGAATCTGATTCATTGCAAGGGAGAGGCGAGTTTTCTGAACCAATCACAGAATGAAGTAAAGAACACGTAATGCAATCACGTTCGATACTAAAAATTCTCTGACTGTCGAGATCTCTTTAGCCGTTTTCCAGTGCGTACCCTAAACAAGAAAGACATTCAGTGTACCGTCTCAAGAGAATTCTTTATCTTCAGCCTACTTGTTGAGAACTCTTAACCTATATAAATATATATTGACAACTTTAAACGTTTAACCATGTATACTCCATCTCGAAAGCTTGGAAGAAATATGTTCTCTATTCAGTATTCTCCCTATTCGGTGTTGGTGGAGGACGCAACATGAATTCTCTTTGATGACTACCTCTCTTGTCTTTTTGAAAATGAACAGGAATTGGTTTAAATACACTTTAATTTGTCCTTTATTGAGAGAACCAAAGGAAGAACAAACACAATGAGACCACCTGCCACATGCATCCAAATAAGGGAATGAAGACAGTCAATCAGAAAGCGAGGACGAAAGCGCGTGCCTGTACCAATGTCCATTCAGATGCGCGTCAACTGGTGCCAAATGTGGGCCGGAAAGAAATCTTCAAATTTCTGTATGATTAGGTTTAACGGTGTTGATATCCAGCTCAAGCACTGGAAATAGAACAAAGAGAAAACTGCTAAAGAAAAAAAACTTACAAGCAAAAAGGAAAAAAAAAAAATCCTTAAACAATGAAACAATACCACAACAAAAAAAGCTCCAAGGGAAAGCAAAAACAAGAGGCCAACTTATCATAGCTTCAATGATTCAAAGATTTTTGCGTTGCAAAAAACATTTAGCCTACGAGAACACTCTGATTATTAACGCTGTAGGACGCAGGTTTCTCCACCCGCGCGAATATTTGAGACGAGTCCGCGAGAGGTTTCCTGGGGCCTGGCACAAATGCTTATCAGTCCAAGACCCCTCGCCGGCTCGCGTTGCTCAAGGCCTTCCTACTTTTCCGCGGGTAAAGAAACGCTCGAGCCGAAGAAACACTCGCGCCGATGAAACGCTCGTGCCGAAGAAACTCTCGTGCCGATGAAACGCTCGTGCCGATGGAACGCTCGTGCCGAAGAAACACGCGTGCCGAAGAAACTCTCGTGCCGAAATGCTATTGATGAGAGCCTGCTTAGAGGCCACATAAAATACTGACTAGTTCCCTTGTTTTCTGCGTTCATTCGCGTCCACCGTTTCGCTGTCGAAAACATTTTGGTCTTGCACTCGCGTTTCCATTAGAATCAACAGGTCCCTGATAGTAATGTGAGCCTAAGACAGTGGTCCTTATTCTTCTTCACTTACCGTTTTGGCCGCGTTAGCCATGGGCTCAGGGAACTGATGCGTGAGAAGAGCCAGCATTGCAGTGAACGAACAGAGGGCAGCGGTAAAGAGAATGAAGAAAGGAAGTTCTTTTTTGGGATAAACGGACAATTCGTGATGATCTGAAACAAAACAGAACTACACTATAGTGAAAGTAGACATGTCTTCTTCCATATATAACACTATGTAATGTTATTTCAAAAGAACAGCATCATCTCAGCTGAGAACAGCAATCCATTTAAAGTTTTGTGCTCAGTCACCAAGCTTCTGAACCAGGTCGAGGCTGAAGGTTACCTACCCATGATTCAAAGCTTATGGCCCCTCATATCGATAACTCCTCTGTTATGATATTAAGTGGTTCCATGTCAATGCCATGACAAGGTCAAAATAAGCCTTACTCCTGGAAAAACCTGAAAGGAGAGCTGGGAAGGAATAGACTAAACCTTACTTGGAAGAAGTTCTCTGTCAGCGTTTTCGGTGCATGCTGGGTACGGATGAAATAAATGTCCCTTCTCCAGTGGGTAGGGGACGAGACGGAATGCTGCGTAAAGAAAAAAATATGTGGTACGTAAAAACTTCCCTTCCTTAACCGAAAAAATAGAGAGCAAATTAGCATAAGGAAGATTACCGAACAGTATTCAGTATGAAAATACAAATTATACAAGCGGTGAGAATTGCTCACTGATAAGAGACTGGTTTTAGCATGACCACTTACCCTGGTTTGGGTTTCAGACGGAAATAATTTTGCAAATCACGCTGGGGTGCAAACTGCTCTATTATGCAAATTTAAGGGTAATTTTGTATTGGTAACTGAGTTGATAACCTACAGTGGCCACCGTTAAGAGTTTCAAAGCTGACATTACGAGCGTTAGCCCTTCGTCAGAGCGAATGGTCTGCATTGGTCAGCCGCGTTTTCCAGCGCTTTGCGCAATTTGCTTGATTCAAGTGTGAGTTTTCATTAACTTCCAGTAACAAATTTTTCATCGTGGTGATTGATCATTGCCATTATTTTGGCCTTGGTTCTACGAAACTCGAAAAAGTCACTTAAATCTACTCAAAATTCCACAATACATTGATTGCATTGTAAGACAGCAAGATATTCTTATAAAATCGTGGCAGTAAAAAAAAAAGGAAAAAAAACACCCATACTTCCTTCCCAAGTACAGTGCAGTAAATTGAGCGCGCCTTCCACTCTTTTCCAATGAGGTAAATGGAAAAACGCGTACGCTATCGCTTCGCTGTCTCCTCGTTTTAAAATATGCTCTGGAGGAAGAATCAAACTCTTCTGTTCCAGGAGATACTGTAAAAAAAATTAACAATAAAAACAGAGAAGATAAAAAAAATAATGAACTTAAGAGTGTGCGTGACAGGCAACAGATCCGCCGCCAAGAAATTTTTGGATGGTTTCCTATTTCTCATCCAATCATAAGACAAGCAGCGACAGAAGTGACACACATAGCCGACGTTTCTTTGGTTTTTCAAATCTCGCGACAACATTAATAAAGAGAAAATTTATTGTCAATCGTCTAGGTCCCTTGGCCAATCAGAGATCTGATTAAACGACGTAAATTATTTTGGAAAAAATTATGTCTGACTTCCATTCCACTTCTTAATCAACGTTTAAATCATGTGACCACATCCTGCCAAGGCTAACCAGTGTTTTGAGAAAAATTCGACTGAGAAAAATACTTTAACCACTAGAAGTAATTTCTCTGGTCAGTTTCCCTCAACAAGGTGGAAATAATAAGCAAGGCTGGGTGCAAAATAATTAACGATCGGCGAGAAAGCAACAAAAGGGGCACAAGTGATTAATGACAAGGTAACAAACTAACAATTGGCCAAATTCTTACTTTAGGAACATGAGGATTAAACTCCACCGCTCTATGTATGGCTTCTACTGCAGCCATCTCCGCTGGACTTAGCCCTCTTTTGGCTGCAATTTCAGGAGAGAATCTGTAAAGCAAAGAGGAATAATTGTGAAACCCTAACCCTCCTAATCCATGAAAGGAGTCTCTGGAATCTGGTGCTTTGATCCTTTCACTCCCACCATCCGAAGCTTTCTTCTTCTTCAAGTTTTAGACATTTTCATAAATGGGTAAAAATAATTTGTTATTATTTCTATGTAATACCCTTTAACTGATCAGTGTTTCTCTTCTCGTTCCCTTTTTTGTCATAAACGCAATGATACTTCGAGAAGAAGTCACAAGTTAATACACTGTGGGTCTGGGAGGTCAACAGTATTGGGTTGAAAGAGAAATGGGGTTGCCATGTCAACTTTAGCCTTAAAACCTCTTTCGCCATTTGAAAACTGGTGGTTTCCCGGAGCATACAGTCAGCGACATTAGGTAAATTTAATACAATTCATTTCGCTGAAACCCTGACGCCAAAAAACGACATAGGAAAAACTGCTTCTTTTCACAAAAAACATCGAGTGAAAAGAACATTCTTCACCTTCAGCCAGAATTTTAATGCAATTCCAGTTACAAAATATTTAACATAAATTCCTATTCATGCCACTCTTTCTTTCGAGAGACCTGCCACCTTTGAGAAGTTTCCCATTTCAAAACAAAAGCTCATTTAACAACTAGCAATGCACCCACAAGCCTGTTTTCTTACTTGTCACAGACAGCTCTGGCCTTGAGAAGTGCAGCAGAGTAACATATTGTAGCCGACTTTGGAAGACTTATATCTTGACAAGGAAAAAAAAGCAATTAATATACTTTAGCGGGACAAAGAGTAAAAAAAGACAAACCAATAAACAAACAAAAATTAACAAAAAAATTACAGATTTAAAACACTTACCATCATATTTAGCTAAAACTTGCTGTTAAAGAAAAATAGAAATGCGTTACAAGCAAGTATAAAGACAAGTGTATAACACTCTGACATGGGGAGTAACAAATCTTTTATTTATCTTTACAAGAGTCAAGCAGCTCTCTCGTTTATTTCATTACCTGTACTTCTGAGTAAGCTTGCATTTCAAGCAAAGCCTCCAGAAGATTCTCGTGGATGTTAAGAACACTCATAAGAGGAAACTCTTTCATGAGCTGCAAAAAAAAAAAAAGGAATGACTCAGTAAGGTAAAGACTCAAGTAAAAAAATAAAAAAAAATAAAAGCAATAGATCACATATATGCAAATTGATCTGAAGTGGTTACTGATCAGTGACAGAGCTGTGCTTCAAGAAGTACTTCCAAGCGCATGATAGCTTTTGTCACAGAAAACAGAAGTCTCAGTACTTAAAAGTATCAGTCTGAACTTGTGCCAGGTGGCTCATCTAGGCAGAGCTTATCCCAGTTTTCATGGCAAGACAAGACTACTCCCCCCCACCCCTCTCCCCTATTTTGCACAAGAACACAACACGATGACCTCTCAACCCATAGTCCAGTGGACTCAGCATTTGGCCACTGCCTTTCCCCTGGCACCTAAAAGCAAAAGCTAAGTCATCATCAAGCAATTACAATTATGAATATGTAAAGTTTAGAGAATCAAACATACATCTCTCATCATTTTAATGGCTTCCTTTACTCTTCCAAGTTTTCTTGCACACATGGCTAGTCTTCGTCTTATATAAACACAGACATTGGTGTCTCTTCCTAGAATAAAAACAACAAAAACAACATCAACAAAACTAAGAGGTCTAATGGTCTCTGCACTTGAAATATTCTGATGCACAAAGGGGATGGCTCATTTCTATCACTTATGAGGGGAAAAAGCTTCTGAAACAGGCTGACAATGAACATAAAGAGACTACAAAACATCATTTTCTAAATCAAGTTCTTAAGTTTGAAAAAAAAAAAAAACAAAGCAAAAACAAAAATAAAAACATGATCTAAGCTCATTATTGAAACAACATCAAATTCTTGTTTTGCCATCACAGCAGAATTTCTGAAATTATTGCTATTACTACTATAATTATATTATTATTACTTTTTAGTGATCATAGTGAATAAAGAATTGTTATTTTAATATTATTATTATGATAATGATGATGATGATGATTATTATTATTATCATTTATTATCATAATTATAATCATCAACAACAATAATTATCATTGATAGAATTGCAGTTATAAATGATTATCATTGTTGTTTTCACTAACACAATTTCATCATCAAGAATTTTCACTCACTGTGTAGGGCTTCTTCTTTTGTGTCTGGGTTCACTGTGGCATTGTTCCGTAACAAAGCTTCACTGGCTTTCAGTGCTTGTTTGAACAACTTTTCAGCCTGGAAATGAGCAAACATGGATGATATGGAGGAAAATCTCCCTTTTTACCCTTAGTTAAGTTTTTCACTCCCAAGACCTCATTGGCAATTCTCCTTACAGTCTACCATAGAATTCTTAAGATATTTGTTCAGAATATTTGGTATTGAATCATGTAATGATGCCCTAATTGACATTTTTCTGTATTCTCGTTGCTTCTCTGCTTAATAATGAATTGATACTGCACAGAGAAATTCTGTCTTGATCACTCATGAAAGTTAAAGGGTTAAAGCCATTGTAAACCTTGGATTTAGTTGCAAGAGATAACCTTACTTACCTCATCAACCCTTCAACTCTCAGAAGTGATTAACATGTAACTTCTCCCTTTAATACCCTTACATTATCCAAAAAACAAGTAGTGAGGATACTCAAACATATCAGTTAAAACTTGTTATCTGGATCTTCCACCAAATTATTGTAATAATTTACAAGGAAATGTGTAGCAGCTAGAGGGCAGAATCAACAATCAGATCTTGGGATTTTAGGGCAAAATTAGAAATTCCTAAGAGGGGTGTGCAAGATAGCCAACCAAAGAGCTAGGGGAGGGGTGGAAAGGTATTAAACTAAATCTAACCCTTCTTAGAAGGGGTAGTGATATTTCCTAGACATCCAATTTTTTTTTTTTTTATAATTCAAAAACATCTCTTTTTTCCCTCACCTCTAGAATTGTTTGAGCCTCCTCTTCAGCTAATAAAATAAGTGCTGTCGGACTACTGTTTAAAAAAAATAAACAAATTTATAACAATATATGGAGAGTTGTTGTTTCTGATACTTTTTTTGTGATTACTGGAATGCTAACAGATTTCTATCGATATTAAGTTAACCCTTTTAGTCTCAAAAGAGATTAACATGTAACATGTCTCTTAAATATCCATACATTATCCAGCAAACAGGCAATCAGGATACTCAAACTCATTGGGTAGAAGTTATCTTGATCTAACACCAAATTCTCCTTACAAATTTACAAGGAAATGTATAGCAGCTAGAGAGAAGAATTAACAATCATAGTTTGGGAGTTAACACTTTTGGCCAAGAACTGAAAACAGTCTTTTCATGATACATACTTAGCATTATGTTCTAAAGCTTGGTGAGCTGTTTTGATTCTCTTTTCTTGATCTCTTTCTCGCCATGCTCTTAACATTACTAAAAAATAGAACATTTAAAATATTCAGTATTAATACTGGTCTGTTTCAACACCCAACACTGAAAATAATTCATCAAATAAGTACGAATTTCCGCATAGAATTATGAAGAGAAAAAAAAAAGCCTGCAGGTAAGAAATAAGTTTTAAGGAAAATTAACCTTTGACCCTTGGGAGTGATTGGCATTGAATTTCTCCTCACATTATCACCCCTGAATCACTCATTACATAGACAAGAATAAATAATGGTAATTGAACTTCATGCTGTGCATTATATGAGTGTTTTCAAAATTGAATGAGCATGCTGCACAAGTGTGATTTAAAATCACAGGTATGATTTCAGACCAAAATTGCACAATCTAAAGTTCAATTATCACTTTATTGCTACATCCATTTTGAAATAAAAAAATTCAGTCACTCAAATACAGGATTTTTTGGTCTGTACAAATATTTTACTGCTCCAGTGCTGAGCTGGTTTCTACAAAGTTGAAAAGTTGTCCTTCATTTTCCTCTAATTTGATTTGTAATTTTAACAAAGCTTTGAAATCTGATTGGTTGTTTTCTTTTAGTAAAGCAGTGTCATTGGCTGAGAAAAAGACATGACTTAAAGGAAACAAATGGTGTGATTTTTGAATTAATCGCATTGATGAGAGCCAATGACAAGGATCACCACTGATTTCAAATTAGATGCAAAAAGGATATGTTCACCAATCTAAAGAATCTCTTGATTGTCAAACAAATTCTCCTTGTCAGTACATTGGAAAATGCATAAAGAACACTATAGAGAATATACATTCTGAGGCCAGGGTATAAAGGGTTAAAGTATCAGTAGAAGCAGACAGTTGTTAAATGTCAACACAATTTCTTAATAACTTTTTGTGCTAACTTATCATGACTGGCAAGTCCTTAATACTTCCATATAGCCCTCCCAAACAGTTCTGAACAGCTTTAGATGCTAATACTCACACTCATCAGAGGGATCAGAGCTTTCGGCATCAGCATCACAAGTAAAGAAGGTCTTCCATGAAAAAACAAACAAACAAACAAACAAACAAACAAAACATGTTTTAAACAAATTCAACAAGTTATTGCAATTTTTTCAAATACATCTTTATGCTTGACATCAACATTCATGACATGTACTCAGTTACACTAGAAATTTTCCTCTCAGTTTGATCACATATATAATTACTTGTGAGGTGCAAAAAGCACAATAAAAAATGCTAACCACATTATAGAGATGTTAGGATAACTTTAAAACTTTGCATATAGTGATCATAATTTACTGCCTCAGACTTTCCTTCTTGGTTTAATAAATTGCTTCAAAAAGGAGTTCGATGGGACTAATCCGTGTAATTATGCATCATGGATAAAAGGGTCAGTTTCTAAAGAAACTGTGTTGCTGCGTTGGTGAGAGAGTATAACAGGGTACTTTAGTATTATCAACTTTGAAACTCTTTACTGTAGCCAATTTACATTATCAACTCAGTTGATAATACTGTATTACCCTGAATATGCACTATGTTTATTTTGTAACAAAATTAATACCTGGTGATCCTGAGCTGATAAATTCATGTCATAATAAGTTAACGGCTCCTTCCCAGTCACCCAGTAATACCTGTCATAGGTAAATGTTTATTAAAGTTTTTTCAGATCTAATGGTGTACCAGGGTTGGAAAGACTGAAAGCAGCACACCCACCTATTATACTCGGCGCCTCGGAATAGATTCCCAGGATTTCTCCATACTTTACACTCTAAAAATTCAAAATAGAATGTGTCTTCCATATCAGTGAATAGACAAGTACTGCAAAATTCTGTAGATAGGTTTTTCTGCATTTAGGATAGAAATAAACAGAACTTGATGATTTCCATAGGAACTACAAAAGCATCTGCTAGATTAAAGTGGTTATGCACTATTTGGAAACATTTACATAACTTGCGTGGTGATAAGTTTATGAATAATAAACTTTTACTGAACAGCTGTGAGGAGATAGGCAAGCTAATTAACAATTCGAAAAAGATCAGTTTTAGAAAAAAAGTTACCAGAATCACTTAACAGCTTAGCATTATCTTTCAAGTCATAAATGACACGTCATGTTTATCTAATACATGTGTAAAAGAGATATGCTTTTCATGCCAGACACAAACATAAATTGAACTCCCACTCAAAGTTTGTTAGCATGTTGCATATTTTATACAGCGCACCTGCAACATTCTGCTGTGTATTCTGTGGAGTACTGTCAGAGCTTCCTAACAAGGGTCCCAGATGTGACAGGGACACATGCTCTATAAAGGATGTTCCATACTTTCGAAAGTACCACCACTCAAATATCTGATGTAAACAAATGCGAGTAACATTATTCAAAATTGTTCACAAGTATCACTAAGAATTTTATCTACACAAAAGAATTCCTGTGGTCAGTTTACAAACTTTATAACCCCTAAACATAATTTTTTTACAACAAAAAAGGTTTATGTGGTAGTTTGGGTAAATACAGAGTTTTTGAAAGAAGGTAAAAACAAAAGATAAAAAAAAGTAAGCGTTGTGAATTTTTGGTAATCATTTGGTGTTATTTTTCTGCCAAATATCTTGCATAAATTAACTTATTGGTCACACTAGTTTGACCAAGTTGGCTGGTTATTGGCTGATTTTTTTTTTTCCTACTTCTTTACACACTCGAATTTTGTCTTGGTCCATAAAGACCTTGATAGAAAAAAATGAATAAAAGAAACAGAGAGCTAACGATCTAACTGCTTTAGTATAAATCTTCCAGTCAGTCATAAGTTAATAAAAAGACAGGCTCGTGTTTTTATTTTATTTTGTTTATAACCACACCCTGTTAGGCCACTCATGTTACTCCCTCTCTCAGAATTGACTGTATGCAGGGTAGCCAATCAGATTGTAATATTTATGATAGATGACTAATAAATCTACTAATTTACTGCATGCTTGGTCAATAACACACAGGAATACAGACCGATAAGACTTCAAGAAGACAAAATTATTTGTACTCACAAGAATAATTCCTGAGATGAATGACGATGTTCCCGTAAGAGCCACATAGAACTTTGGAGTCAGTGTGTTGAGAAACAATATAGCTGAAAAAGTATATCATTTATTTCAATTGTGGTAAACCCTATCATGCAGCAAATAAAAGTATATGAAGTAGTTTGACTATTTGAACCCTAGGAGTGACTAGTATCTAATTTCTCCTTACAAGATCACCTCTAAATCAAACATTAAGGTGATGAGAATAAAGGAAATGATCACCAACTAAAGATGCTCTTAGTTGACAAATTCTCATTGTCAGCACCTTAGGAAATGTTTAGGAAAAGTAAGGAGAATATGCATACTGATGTTAGTGTGTTAATCCTTTAACTCCAAGATCAAATTTTTAATTCTCCTTATTGTCAACCATACAATTCTTACAATATTAGTTCAGGGAATTTACTACTGGATCAACTAATTATTCCCAAATTGACATTTTTCTTTATTCTCATCACTTACCTGGTTGTTATTGTATTGATATTTTGAGGAGAAATTCTGCTTTGGTCACTCATGGGAGTTAAAGGGTTAATGGTTAAAATTATTTCAGGTTCTAATGATTTCCAAATTGAACCAGTGGCACAGTGCAAGTTTGATTTGAAGACAGACCAAAACTGCACAACACAAAGTTCAGTTAGCACCATATTACTACCTTTTTAAAATCGCAAAAAATTAAGTTGCTCAAATGTAAGACTTTTTAAGTCTGTTCAAATATTTTATTGATCCAGTACTGACCTGGTTTGTAAAAAATTGCAAAATTTGTCTTTCATTTTCGTGTCATTTTATTATATTATTAGTTTAAACAAGCTTTGCTTATTCTTGTAAAGGTTTCTCACTGGCTGGAAAAAAAATGCAATTTAGAGCAAAAAAAAATGGAGTAATTCATGAATAAATTGTACTGATAATATATTTTATATAATTTCAAAATGGTAGTAACAAATAAAAGAATAATTCAAGGATCAAATCAATTATAAGGCTAACACTGGTTCACTGAAAAGTTTCAATTACCTAACACTGTTTAGTATGAAATTTTTGGCAAAAAGTAACCAGATATGTCATTGTCATTGTCATTGTCATAGCTGATAAATGGATCATCACCTTATCACTTTTAATTACTGACATACGGATCAGAAATTTTTTATAAAGAAAAATAAATACGAAATATGCGAGGAAAATTCACCAGCAAAATTGGTAAAATAATTTACCTGGTTATGATAACACTGCATGTACTTAAAATTTAACGTTTTAAGGTTGACGTAAAGTCCAATATTCAACAGACAAAATGATGTCCCCTCCCACTCCAAAATAATGGAGGTAATGAGTGGAAATGATTCAGCGTACAACCAAACACTTACACATCGAAGATCAAAAGGTCACTCGACAAATCAAGTTTTATTAGATATATTTTTAACATAAAATATGGGAAAATTCGTCGAAACGATAAAGTTTCAAGATGAAATTGAAATTAGTTTTATGCGAAAATTCGTTTTATTAACAACAAATGACGATTGCAAACAAAGAACGCGAACCGGTGAAAACAGCTGACATCACAGTGTCATCCTTTCATCGGTCTCAGTTGTCATTTACTATTTTTTTCTCGTAAAAAATCCACGTCTTCAACAAGAAAATCAAGTATCAAAAAGGAAAAAAATAAGTAAAAAATTTGTTTTTATTGAACATTTCAATATGATTGTGATCTGACCTTCTATAGCAGGGAAGAGCAATCATTTTTTAAGAAAAATTAGCACGGCGCCAATTTCTTGATTTTTCCCACTAAACGAAATGAATATCAACGACCCACCTAGATTCAAGTTTTCTTTCAAGCGAAGAGGCGTGCGGAGCACATAGAGAAGAAAAATGACGAGAAGGAACCAAAATCCCCACAGATAGGTCCAAGACCAGCCAATCCACTGCTTAATTTTACCAATTGATCGCTGAACTCCGCTCGCTTCATCCGCCATATTCATCACAATAAGGTTTGTGCGCCTGCGTTGAGTGTCAGAGGTCTAGACTCGGTCTAGACTTCAAGGGAAGGCGCGCGGTCGGTAAATACTGCAAAGGGAGAAATTCGGGAAGGAGACGAAGGTAATACAGAATCAAAGAGACGCGACAATGGCTTAGGCCAGAACAGATAAAAACAGAACACAAGAAGGGGAAAAAGAGCCTTCTGAAAAGGTTTTTCCGAAGTTTGACGAGCAAAGCAAGTCTTATTTTCCAGGCGCAAGAAACAATCGTTTTCCCGCCAGGATGGTGGACGCGAAATTCGTCAAGACAAGTTGCATCAGAAAGAAGAAGGAGTAAGAGGAGACGAAGAATGAGAAGAAAACAGAAGAAGATGAAGAAGAAGGAGATTAAGAAAAATACAAAGAAACCTCCATTCGTGCAATTTTAAGTTAATAAGTACAAGTTTATTTCTCCATGACTACAAATTACACTAATGATCGAGGGTTTGTGCTATTGTTGTAGGGTTTGAAAACTTTACTTGTGCGTACTTTTTTCAAAATTAAAATTAAATTAAGGTTAGATTATGACGCAACATAATGGGTCCAAGAAAATTGGACTATGGTGCATCATCTTAGGTCCACAAATATCGGACTGTGATGCACTAGTATGGGTCAAACGGTGTTAGACTATGATGCTCTAAAATACATTCAGCATCGTTGGGCTATGATGCATACAGCGATGTCGGACTAGCAATCAGAGTACAGGTCCACCAGTGTTGGACTCTAATGCACCAATATGGGTCTAGCAGGGTTTAACTATGGTGGGCCAGTATATGGTATGAGTTCCACAGTGTTGGAATATAATGCACCAACACAATTTCAGCAAGTAGTTGCTAAACAAATGTTGTTTTGATATGATTGCAACAATGTAGGGCTATGAGGCACCAGTGTAGTTCCAGCAACGTTTCTCTGTAGTGCACTAATAAGGTTCTAGCCCATGCTAGACTTCCATGTACCAGTATGTGTCCAAAAATGTGGGACGATATGCACCAATGTTCCTGAAACAATTTTGGACTGTAATGTGCCAATATGGGCACAGCAAGGTTAACTTTAATGCACCAAGGCGTTTCCCATAAAGCTGGATTTTGATGCACCTATAGGTATCCAACAATGTTGAGGAAGACAGTAAGTGCAGAGTAAACCTCGGCGAATCAATTGTTAGATGACACCTATTGCAGAATATTTGAGGTTGAACTAGCGTCACTCATGTTGTTACAGAGGACTCATGACCTTATCACTCAAAGAAATGACTAATAAAATAGTTTATCTTTTCAGAATTAAAGTAGTACTTTCCAGCAGATAGGTAACGAGTTACGAGAAAAATATCAACAACAGGATTTTACTTGATTAGACAGCAATCTTTCAGAACCAAAACTATGTGAAATGTAGATAGTAAGTAAGGAGTTACGGTCAAGTTAAGTTAAGGAGTTCATTTCATAGCCACTGACTTTAGGGATGTGACAAAGAGCCATGTTATTTAATTATTAGTGGTTGAAATTAGAAAAAAGTTTCAGTGTTAAATTTCAAGCGTGTTCGATTGTTTTTTATAGGCCGCATTTTCACCAGAATGCTGCACTAAGGACCATCACACATAACATACATTTTTTTCTGAAGTAATACCGTGGGAATCGTGAAATAAATCACGCGAGATTAATTGGTATGTTCAGCTTCGGTGGGATTTGAACTTTCTGACCTTATGTGGTTTCATTTCCTTTGCAAAGCAACCGCCCACGTGATCAGCACTCACGTATCCTATTCCAAATTTAAATAGTCGCGTGCCAAAGACTCTTTTTAAAACGTCACTTTTACATGCATTGTTAGATCTGTCATCAAATGCCTGAAAGGCAAATGGATTGTGATCAATACATCGCCATGATTTTTCAAATACTTTCTAGCGAAAAAGAAGAAGATGATCAGCGCGAAATCAAAATTGAAATTGAGTTTTGTTCCAAATGATTTTTAGTTTCCAATAGGTAGCCAAGCTCACGGCGGTGTCTTCCGGTTAAATTATCGCGTAGATCAAAGGCAATATGTGAAATTTACAAAACGTCTGATCATGAACACTGAGTGTCTGGAGCGAACGAAGTCGAGTAAAATGGACAAGTTTCTCCAGAAACAACGAATGCTCGACAGAAATGATGTAAATCCGAAAAATTTAACAAAGAGAATGTTATTTGACAAACCCTGTTAGTTGCAAGTCCTACAAGGTTTACCACGTACTTATATTAACCGCAATGTCATCTCAAGCTTGTCAGCCGAAATATTTCCGGAGTGTACCCAAGTCTCCCTTCCAGATAGACAACGCCTGCCGACTTAAAATAAAAGTCGTTTGTATAAAGTGCAGAAAGAAAACGCTATGCTTTATTCACATCAGACGCTCTTATTTTCTAATGAAGGGCTAGAGCAGTAGAGGTCTTGGACAATAAAGAATGAAACAAACAAACAAACAAACAAAACAACACTTACAAACAGGCCACTAGATAAACGAGAACAGAAAAAAACACAAAGGTTGGGAGGATTGTTTATTCTGTACGAGCGAGAGGGAATGGAAGATTCAAAGCTTCTGGGCGTTTCTGACTCAGCCTTCATCAGGAAAACCTTCAAGTTGGTTACTTAAAATTTTCAAGTCTAACTTTTCGTTTTGTGTGAAAGATGAGCAGGAAAACTAGCATCATATGTTCGCTCATGTTATTTTTAATTTTAAGTGCGGTTTATCTCAGCTTTCATATGCCATCATCTTTCCAAATAAAGGCCACATCACACAGAGGGGGGTCTAACGTCAGCATTCTATTTGGGGCCAGTGGAGTACTTCAAATTTTATGGTTTTAGCAGCGCGTGATTTTAATTTTTGAAGTAATACATTTTACATTTAGGTTATAACTCGAACTGTTAATTCATATTACTGCTCAAACGTGGAGTATGTGATAAGTGAGTGTCAAAATGAAACGACGTAAAATGCCTTCTTTGAAGCACGTTCCGCATGAACTGGAGGTGACATTATCTCCGCAAATTTCAGTTCTACGAAGAAATACTCGGCAATTTTTAAATTGAGGAATTCTGGAGCTTACAACTTATTACAGGAGGTCTCTGGCAAGAAAAATTTGCCAAATCATAAAATTTCTATCGACTTTCACTCACGTGTGCTGCAACACGTAATGAATTGTGTACAAGTACGGATTGTGAAATGGTTCGTGCCCTCCGGCGTTAGGGCTTGTCGTCCATAACAAGCAAATAAAATTTTCAAGAGGAAAATTGTCAAATAAATTTGTCAGTGACGGTTGTCAAGGAAAAGTCGCTCGTCTGGAAACGGCTTTCAGAAAGTCTAAAGCTCTGCCGGATACAAGTGCACTGTCAATGTCACGAGAATGCCAGAAAAGAAAGGGGAAACTAAAACAGGAAAAACTAGTTCGAAAAGCTGTTGAGAGAAAACATGTTCTTTGCTTAATTTTCGTGTACATGCACTTTACGTTGAGATTTAAGAGTTATCGAGCAGACATTTTACTGCACCCCGCTTAAAGCTTCTCTGTGCTTGGGAATGGCTGAAGCATAGATGTCAGGGAAACACATGCATCCCCGATGCATGCTCGAGGAGTTTCAGTGATATTCCAAGTTGCTTCATGATATAGAAACCGGAGTAAACTCAGGGCCTACTTTTTCAGTGTACACTGTCACATATTATTCTAACCACGGTCGGAATCAGAAAATAGCTAACGGCACTGAAAGTCGTAAAGATTTTTTTGACTTAACTCCTCAGCAAATCCCTCACGCAAAGGCAAAAGCGTTAGAGCTGAGGGTTATGAGCTGAGAGGTTTGCATCACCTTCTTTCGTTCACTCACTCCCTCCGCCTCGTCTCCAATTTTAATTTTTATTCGCTCGAGTTTGACTGCCGGGATTAGAACATAGGCAAGAGCATACGTTTCCTTCTAACTGATATCATTTTTCACTTAGCCTTCTCCGCTTCGAATCCGTTTTATTTCTTGGTTGATGTATTTCTCTCAAATTACTGAATGTTAGCGAGATTAGAGAGAAATTTACTGTACTTGCAGCGAGTAAATAACGTGCGAGTTCTTTATCTTACAAGTTGCATTTAATGAGCCATTCTTGGGCGCAAGAAGTTTCTCGAAAACTTAACAAATACAGCAACGAATCCCTGAAAAGATCAAAACACCGTGTCAAGCCTTAACCCATGTCTCCTACGTCAATTTCACTTGTTTCCTTTCAAAACCCGTCATGGCAGAAAACCACAGTGGGCTATTTTTAAACTTTCATTTTCAATTGAAATCCGGCGCTTGTCACGGTACTTTTGTTTGTGTCTGTAAGAATATGCCAAAGTTGACGAGTTGCTATTATTACATAAACCACTTGTTTGAAAAAATTTTATCACTTATTGCTTGAAAGTGCGGTATTTAGAAAGAACAGTGAAGTCTGCGGAGGTTTTTAGTCGGAAAATTAATAGAGTGATAAATAGATTGATTTTCACACATTTGTTGTGGAGGCTCGCGGCTTGCAAACACTCGCCACATCAGGACAAGTTTAAAAGTTGATTTACGTGATATCACTCAAGAAGAATTTAAACAGTAACCAAGAACGTGAATAAATTCATTTAAGAAGATGGTGCCCACCTATTCCCAGCCATGACTGTTGTCTTTTTTGTCTCGACTATTTGGTTGATGAGTTTATTAAAAAAACAGAACAGTACACATGCAGAAATGCTTCACAGAACTCGCTGAAGGAATCTAACCGAAGTTAACCCTTGAATTCAAACACGGTTTTCAAAACCGCCGAATGTGAAGTAAAAATTATGCGAAAGTTGGGTCAACTTTGCGAATTACTACTTGTTTAAACGGTCTGGCTCTGACGTCTGATTACGTCCCAAGAGTAACAACCGGAAGACGTAAAGCCGTCAGTTTTAAAGGTGTCCGCCGTAATTAAATGTGAGTTCTTTCACGTAATTTCCACTGTGGCTTGGCCATAGATTTGCGAAAAGAACGCGTAATGAATTCTGTACAGCTAATGAAGGAGGTGTCTGCCGACAACAACCCACTCTTTTCTCTTGCTGTGCTTTAATCATTTGACTCTTTGCCACACACCTCCGGCCTTTTATGATTTCATTTCCTAATTTCTTCAAAGGGGAGTTCATTTTGCGCCGTGCCTTTTCTGTAAAAGCCAAACAAAGTGTGTGTAGACCATTGCAAAATTACAAACCTTCTTCTCGTCATAAACCGTGTGTGGGCAATAAACTTAACAACGTGTACGCAAACAACCTAAGGGTTTGCAATAACATTTATCTTGCAGTATACGTAATAGCAGTCATATTGTTTCGGTCGAGAATAGCGGTTTTGTGTTCCCGACTTATCATCACTGCTGTCCAGACAAAGATGACAATAAGTTCTCTCTGAAGAAATAGTTTCTGTAAGCACACACTTGGTACATATTCAGTAAGGTTCAGAAACACGACACGAAAATTAATATTCTGCAAAGTTTGTTCCACTTTGAACCTCCCTCGTTCGTCTTCTCTAAACACCGCTTAATGATCTTAACACGATCATTAGTAAAAATGCGACACCCTTTTACAATTGAATGAGGAAAGCTAATTGCACAAAGAAGTCCGCACTCTTGAGGAAATAATTCACAAAAGATAATAGAATTGAACGGTGGCGCGCAAAATAGAACCCCACCTGCATTTAAGACAAAAATATTTCACTTGCAACAGCTCCTTACAATTTTATCAGGCCGAATATCGTCGGTGTGTAATTGCGGGGAAGATCTACCCGAAGTCAAATTAATTTGAGTGTGAACTTTAGATACAAATTATCAGTGTTGACATTAAACAAGCGTAAGTGCTTTAAATATACAAACAAACTGATCAAAGCTCTCTATTGTTTGCATGAAGCTTTAGTATAATGGCTTTCAAATAAAAAGACCTCATTCAGTATCAATTACAAACGTTCCTTAACGTACTTAACATCGTTTTATCGAGACGGCTCGTCAATGGGAACACTAGAGTACGGCAAAAGAGAGCTTTCGACGACAATTTTGAACGGTCGATTTTCTACACTATATCTTCGTGCGCAACTTAGAGAAGCTTGCTCTTGCATGAATAATAGCACTTAAGGGCTTGTTGTTAACTTCAAGAGAGCCGCCCTTAATTGAACTCAAGTTATAGTCTCTCAACCAATCAGCAATCTGTTATGCTCGTACTGTCTTAACCGCTATTGTGAAGTAATTTTAATACCTCAAACTCACATACCAATGGCCTGAGAAATGAAATATATAGTTCCTACAACACAGACGACAGTTTTAATCGCTTGAACCAGCGAAGCACACAGATTTGTTAAATATAACGCACGTCAGGACTGCGTTGGTAAAGTTACTCACAATGCTGACGCTAAATATTTGGTTTTTTACTTTAGCCCTGTTTACATTTCCGCTACTTTCGACATCTCACTGGTGGTAAGTTCTTCTTGAAAACTTTAACGCTAAGAAGATTAAACGAAATCTTGTTACTAATTCTCGATTAGCGCGCGAATTAGTTGGGTAGTGTTGACAATTATTCACCTCGTGAATGAGAAACAGTTGCACTAACTGATATTTTTATTTGTTGTAAATTCTCACCAGGTTCATGTCCCAAGTGTATGCACTGGGAGCCAAAGTCATGTGTAATAACATCGCCGGTTTGGTAACGTACCAAAGACAACTTTGTCAAGAAAACCCCGATGTTATGGTAAGCATTGGAAAAGGGGCTAAACTCGGAGTCGTAGAGTGTCAGCAACAGTTTAAAGACCAGAGATGGAATTGTTCAACGGTGGCGCGAGACGTCAGCGTTTTTGGCAAAGTGATGAGAAGAGGTAAATCTTCGTCTGTGAAAAAAGTCCGTCTTTTACTGAACTTTTACGGGTTTAAGATAATTACGGAAATTTTTTTGTTGATCATTAATTCCAGAGTAATTCGATGGCAATTAATGAATGAAAAAGTCAAACGAAATATTCTTCAATTGATCAAAACGGTGTGGTACTTAGACACAACACCATTTCAAGAGCTCCTCAAAGTTCTTACACTATATCAGACAATCTGTAATCTCACCGCTCAGAGACAACCGCTGTGTAGATGATAACCCTTCTTCGTGTTTTTGCCGCATCAGTGCCGATTCACTAAATAAGTGCCTGATTTATTTATTTATTTATCTTTTTGAACAGCGAGTCGGGAAAGCGCGTTTGTCTACGCCGTTTCATCAGCCGGTGTTGTACACGAAGTAACGCGCGCATGTAGTCGAGGTGAATTGAGCGATTGTACCTGTGATTCGAATCGCAAAGGAAGAAGTCGGAAGGGCTTCGAATGGGGAGGATGCAGCGACAACGTCGCCTATGGTCTGAGGTTTGCCAAGCTGTTTGTGGATTCCCGAGAACAAGAGCGAGACGCACGCGCTAAGATGAATCTTCACAACAACTTTGTCGGAAGACGGGTCAGTAAACCTGCTAATTTCTCTGCTTTTTTATCAGCCTATTACAACCAAAACCAATAGCCTCAAAACAGTGCCTCAAATTTAATAGACTGTTATAAATGTTTTTGGGTGATAATCTTAACACAAGTTTTAAAAGCTCTGTTTATTTGTGTTTTGGCCCGTTCCTTAGTTCAATATGAATTCTTCAAATTCATTCATTTCCCAAGTGTGTTATGACGAACAATACTCTGGGATAAGAATTTGCTTTCAAACGTAATCTTGTGATAATCGTGGGTGTTTACGAGAAAAGGTACGGCCTCGTAAAATTGTCCGTATATTTTTACATTGACGCAATCGAACACTTTTTTTAAAATTTTATCTTGAGTCATACTTGTTTTTGGAAACTCAGTCAGAACTACTCAGCACTTTTCGCAGTTGTGTTTAGCCATTACCTTGTCCAACATTGGTTAACGCAGACCATCCTTGAATTTTGCTTGTTTGTACGCAAACAATCAAAACAGAAAAATTTGGTAGCTTATCTCAATCATTTCGATCGCAGGGCTATTTTAGTAATCCACGCAACACCGTCACTTCCTAATAGAGTGTGTTTCCTTTTTACGGACGCATGTTTAGTTCTGCTTGGGAGAGCAAAGTAACCCTTTTTTGAAAATTAACGTTATGAGCGCAGAAGGGAAATCTAAAGTTCAACTAAAAGCATGTGAAGTACTTTGGCAACGTGATTGAAAGGAATGTTTACAGCACGAAAACTTTCTAAGTTTGTTTGCTGAAAATTTCGCTTGTGATTTCGCTTCCGCGACGCGAAAATTTCCAAAGTGTTATACACAATCTTCGAGCATTAACAACGCCTTTTAGATGGCTACATGGTATACAGTTGTATGCAGTTGTAATGTTAAGATAAGACAATAAGTTACTCTACAAAAGTGTATCTTTGAAACTTACTCATGAGTATTCTTAGCTTTTATTTAACGGGGGACTGAAAAACAATTCGTTTATACTCAAACCTTTTTCCGCAATTTTGTGGAACGTTCCAAGTCAAACTTTCAAGTACCTTTGTCAAATTCAAATGCAAGAATTTTATGCTAAAAATTTCTTTGTGGTCTAATCGATCAAAACAGGCGAATATCAGGGGAAAAAAAGTCACGAATGCGCATATTTCTTTTAAGGTAAATCACGAAACATTTCTGAGGGCAGTTAAGGTAATTAAAGGGCAAAGGGTCATGAATTGAAGTATAGCAAACTCGTGGGAAATTTCATTCAAAGTACGCTCGCGAAGTGTCTCTTAAATTTATCTCAATCGATTAAATACGTCGATAAGCTTGGATATAGATATTTTCCTAAAGTAGGGCGAAGCCTAACTATAGCATGTAGTTGCGGTTAAGGTTTGCAAACTGTCTTTTTTTGTTTTCGCTTCCTGTGTTCTTGATTAGAAATCTTTGAGTGGAATAAACCGCAAACAATTTCCTTAATAATACTGGTATTGATACTGTTTGTAATCAAATGCCCTCACGTTTTCTGGAGGCGATCAATGGACTCTCTGTATTGCTATCAGTATACAATTTATTTGTTTATTTACTCTTGTGTTTGACCAGAATATTCGGACGGAATGTCTTTCCAATATCGCCGACTTTCCGGATTTCTTTCATTTTCGGGAATTTTTAAAATGTTAGTAAAAAAAAAACAACGGATTTTTCAATCAATGTGATCATACTTTCGGAGGGAGAGCAAACATAATTTTTCATCAGGGGAAGACTACTTCAGCGTCTCATTCACATTAAGGATCATCATATCATGAAGAGATCACGTGTACAATAGCAACCCGCACCCTTCGCCCCTTTTTTTTAAACTCTCTTATGACTGTTTCCACTAAAAGTTTGCTATTTCTTGTTCATAAGCCAGCTAGAGGATATTTTCTTTTAACCCTTTAAACGCTAACATCAGTATGCACATTCTCCATACTGTTCTCTATACATTTTTTAAGAACTGACAGGGAGAATTTGTTAAACAGTCAAGAGTTTCTTTAGTTGTTGATCGTTTCCTTTATTCTCATGACCTTAATGTTTGATTCAGGGTTGATATTGTAAGGAGAAGTTAGATGTTAGTCACCCTCAGGGGTCATGGGGTAAAATGATGAATATTACAAATTGAAAATGCGTCAAGTCTTGATATTTCCTTTGTTTTGCACCCTGATAGTGTATTCTCGTGATTAGTGATATATCATCGTGTCTGCCCTTCGTGATTGCGGTGCACAATTCAAGTTATTTAATGGCTCATTATCGAGAAACATTTTTTGTTTTGGCAACTGAAACATTTAGAAAATATTGATAACTTGTTTCTTTAATGGATCGTTATGATATTGTAGATACGATATCGTGGAAGTCAAAATTAGTCTGATAATGTAATCCAAATTTTTGTGAAGGTAATATTTTGAAGAATTCAGTCTGAGGTTATTGCACGTCTGGTCAAATAAAGCTCATAAGAGTGGCCCGTAGCTACTCTTTCTACAGTAATACTGTTGAATCATTCATTGAGATCAAGAGAATAAACGAAGTGGTCGCCAAACCTACTAAGATAGAAGTGTTAAACGAATTCTCCTTGTCAGGATTAAGAGAAATGTCTGGAGAGGAGTATAAATAGTGTAGAATACTGATGTTACGGTGTCGAGTCAGTAAAGGGACAACCGTTTTGGAAAGCTTGGTATAAATGACAATGAAACTTTGTTTACTCGTTAACCTTTTTTGGGGTCAAAATGAGATTTTTTCCTGCAAATATGGATTATCAAAAAAAATATTTCCCTAGTTCTTTACCGAGTTCAAAACTTACCATCTCTCTTATTTCTATCTACAAACATTACGCTATCGACAATGCTGATCCTAACAGTATGCAGGACGCGTGTCATATAAACTTCGTAATAGACCTCGCTCACCTTGGAGTCTCTGTGGCTCAGTGGTTAGAGCATTGGGGATGGAATTGGAAGGTCTGAGGTTCGATTCCTCATGGAATAAACCCTAAGCAATTTTTCCTTTGTCCTATGCTCGTGACAAGACGAAAAAAAACATCTCTCTCTATGGATCATCATGTTTTCGAAGACGCTCGGAAAAAGTCTAGAGCGAATTGATAACTACCGAAAACGTCTCGAAGAGTTCTTCCAATTTTAATTGTTGTTAAAAATAGGAAATACTGCAAGGTACGTTTCATAGGAAAAAAAGTTTTGATTTTTGTCCTTTGCATTAAGAGGTGTAAATCTCTCTTTCAGGCCGTTAAAATGCACACCATTCTGGATTGCAAATGTCATGGAGTATCAGGCTCATGTCAAGTGAAAACTTGCTGGAAAACTATGGCGCCTTTCAGTGTGGTGGGAAGTTATCTTAGAGACAGATACCAGAAAGGCATCTTGGTTACAGTTGATCAAAGCGGAAATGAACTGGTTGTGGCAGAAGGTACTTATCCTGCTACGCCTTCACGTGATAACCTCGTGTTCTTGGAGGAGTCCCCGGATTATTGTGTCCCAAACTCCAACACGGGCTCGCTGGGCACCACGGGAAGAGTGTGCAACAAGACCTCGCCGGGTCATGGGAGCTGTGGGGTTCTGTGCTGCGGGCGCGGGTTCAACACGATTCAAGTAGAGGAGGAGTACAAATGCGCTTGCAAGTTTCACTGGTGTTGTTACGTGAAGTGCAATATTTGTCGGAGAACTGTTGACAAGCATGTGTGTAAATCGCCCGAGGAAGATTCTTCTCAGCACCACAGCTCCGGTCGCCAAGTGTCGGCGCTGGCAAATTCAGAGAGCAGAGATCAAAATAGGCCAAATAATCAGTCCAGGAAAAGAGCTCAAAGAAGAAAGGCCAGGAAGAACAAGAAAAGAGGGGCATCAATCAACAGCCTCGACAGCGACCACAGAGATAACAAAAGCTTATGATAATTGCTTCCAGCCTCCGCAGACAGATGGCGCAGACAATATGAAATAATTTGAGTACAAACTATCGGTCAGTATTCGTCAAGTTCATGCACGATTATGCTCTGCCACGATAAACCCCAAATAAGTTTTTCCTTTGTGGAATCACCGAAGAGTAAGGTAACAATACTAAACATTCTTAATTACAAAATCAAAGCTCGAAATCAAATTGCCACTAAAAACTAAATGAAAATAAATTTATTTTAAAGAATGAAAAAATCCAGATTGGACCAATTAGTATTCCTTATGTTATAAGGAGTTGTATATATATTATATACAGTGTGTTCTCGTAAGTACAAGATGACATCCAAACCACGATTCTTAGTTTGCAAATCACTCGCTATAATATTAGAAAGATTCGTCAATTATATTGACTCAACTTTGAAAGAGTACCTGATTGTTAGAAAAACATAAAATCTCGCGACGACTGCCACCACAACAACTGCCAGACACTGGTTCTCATGCGTCAGTTTCTCACCCTCGCTGTTGGTCACTTGTATTGACATATAGTTCTAATTAGCTAATTGTTATATCTCGTGATTTGATTGGTTGGTGTAATTGCTTACGTAGGACATTCAATTGAATCTCTCTAATAGAAAATAAAATTGTGTTGAGACTTGACTTGAAAGCCTTAAGACATCTAAGACCAGTGTGGCTTTGAAAAAAAATCCTTTAAGTAAAAAAGAAGCAGGAAAAATAGAGCACACGCACAAACTACATTACTTTGGACGGAAAATGCTCGATAGCGATTTTCATTCGAATTTTGGAAATCGGGATCACAATAATATAGGGAGAGTACGAGATTAATTTTAGCGATGTAAATCAGCTGTTATTTCTTTTGATTTTTTTGGTTAATTATTATAATAATTATTAATGTTAATATATATATTCAGACAAAGAGCTAGTACTTGTTAGTTCGCTTTTGCACAAGTGCTTTCAAGTACAACAGTAGTTATGTTAAGAATGGTACTGCCAATAAAGTTTATGACTTCTATATACGTTTGAAACGTGTTGTATGACTAGTTATATTCATTTTGAAATCACTGGTGATCCCTGTAATCTGATTGGCTCTCATTGGTGCGAGTTATTCACGAATCGCACAATTTCGGAGGGTTAGAGCATTTGTTTTGGGGGATGAACAGAGAGGGATCCTATAGACACCACGCTCCTTGAACACTCGCCTCGCATAACGGCCGGGTTCCTCGGGCCAAGTTGGAAGAAAACATTAGAGTGGCATTTAATAATGGAGAAAGCACTCCGCTTTTCAAAGTATTGTGGGCTCAATCAAGCCTTCAAGGACATTTAGTGTTTATTCTTTGGGACCGAACGTTGATTATTTTCAAGATTCGGTGATGAGGTTTGATCAGGTAAATATTCGAACTCGAAACACGACTTAGAAAGGCGGCCTGGTGAATATATTTGCGTAATGACCAAGAGACACAAACTCAGCTCGTAAGTGTAAGCATTTTCTATTTAAACCATCACCAAATCTCGACAGGAGGTGCTCAAAAAGGGCGTTAATGCGTAAATTAAACAGCTGGTAGTGATGTGCAAAAAACCTTTGGGAGATATTTTTACTACATTGTGAGTGAAATCAAAATATTGTGAAACAGTCAGGCTAGCTGTTATCACACAGAACACTTTCTTACCATTGTATTCAGTTATAAGAAATAAATATTTCGTAGACGACAGGATCAAAGGTGTTGAAAGAAAGCTAACCAACCTTATTAAGTAATTTCATTAAGTTGATGTGAACATGTTGGCGTGCCAACAGGAGGAAAAGAATTGTAGAATGCGCCAAGCTTAGCAGAAGGCAACACAGAGTTTTTACTTGTCCTTTATTTAATTTTTTATTCTCTGTATCTTCTCATCACCCAACCACTCAGTGCTACAGTTCTGATCGAATAAACAACAATATACTCAATTCTTTTGATGAAACATCTGATCTTTTTCTGTCAACCAAAGTGATTTGAGAGAGAGAGAAAAGAGAAGATGAACAAGTTATTCATCGGGTTGAGGTAGCGACCGACGTCTTTGCTTAAAAATACTGCCCAGCTGGAAAAACGAGATATAATGACGAAAATTGGCCATGAAGGTAGGAATGTACCATGGGAAGAGATAGGAAAATACGGACCGCGCTAAGAACCAATCTGATTGCAGGGTTCGTTACCGTGCTCTCTGAGAAAAAATATTAACTTTTTGTCAACCAAGCGCGAGGGCGTACTAGGGAATTCTGGCTTGAGGACCGGGGATGTGGCACGAGCAAGCAAGGTTATTGATTGGATTATAATATAGGACTCCTAACAAACTCACCGGAAACACGGCTTACGACTGTTTCCGTGGAAGTGGTCGTATGGTAGGATTCCGACTGAGTAAGAACCAATCAGAACGTTCGCCTTTACCTCAAGCCAACCTTGCCATATGATAGTTGCTGTTTGTTGGAAACTGTACGATACGTTAATTATTCTCAATTTGATCGACATTTATGAGGGATTTCGTTTATTTATACATAACTGAGCAAACCTGTATGCAGCACGTGTTTGTCGTCCCATATATGGCGCTGTTCCACGTGCTTACTACGGGACGGTGAGTATTTTTCCTTCTAATAAGCCGAGAATTGCGAGTGGGAGTCAATCGAAGCGTAATAGCAAAATTGTTGAATCAAGCGAATAAATGGTGAGTTTATAAGGAAGCGTGGTACAACTTTTTCACGTTTTCGACATGTTAAGACAATATTGTTGAGAAATAAGACGACCAGCTGATGCTTTTTTTCAATATTTATTTGGTTTAAATGAGTTGATACCACCGCTCTTTAACCCAGACAAAATTATTCTCCAAATATTCGATATATCGCAGGTACTTTAGACCGCTTTTTTGCCATAAACGACAATTTTTGTATCTGCTTCGAAGCTATCTTTCGTAAATGAAAGATTCGTCAACTGATTTGAATGCACCTTTGACAAATTAATTAAACCTGTAAATGGAATTTCGAGAACTATTCTTTCAGCTTCAAATGTTACGGATTGATAGCTTCATTAGGTAAATCGTTCTTGTTATAATTAATGTTCTATTTTCATCTTACAGTCTGAAATAAAATCTCTCAACATTATCGAGGCGCGAAAAATAAATGGCGGCGTATTAAAGAGACAGAAAAAGATCGGCTTACAAAACAGGAAAATCTCAATTAAACCGCTGATCAAAGACAGGAAGCGATGGATAGCTTGCATTTTTAGGCAAAGGCGGGTAGCGTGCTCCCCCTCTAGCGCGCGATTAACCATTTGCACTTGCCTCGCGATTGCCTAGAGGAGCTTCTGAAATATGCAAAGAATGACATGCCTGTTCTGCAAACTAGCATTTGCAAACCCTCGTTTCCGCCCTTCATGCCACTGGGTATAATGGGCATTGAGTCAGTGTCTTCTAGAAGCCGTAGGTTATGCCTGAACGAATTGACGTGACACATATATTATGGTCGTTATAGTGGCGACTGTTATTTTTGATGTTCAATTAATTGACCACACGCAGAGTCCGACACATTTTTTTTCGTTTCTCGCAGGAAGGCTCGAGATACATTGAAGATGACATCATTACCTAGGGCTTGTCTTTTCACTTTTGCTCTTCTTTCAGTTCCAGTTCTTACGACATCTCATTGGTGGTGGGTTTTCTTTTAGAACAACCGTCTAGTCGGCAAGAAGTTGAAATGAATCGGATTGTTTTGCACTTAAGTGCAAACGGCAATGAAGTCATTCAACTGTTTCACTGTTCAGATCAGATAACGTACCGCCGAGGCCGCGAACTAACGCGTTTGTTTGCTTTTTATAGGTTTATGTCTCGAGTGTTCTCTTTGGGCGCGAAAATCATGTGTAATCTAGACATGTCAGGCTCGTATTTGCTCAGTTATCATCAGAAGCTATGCCGCGAGAATCCTGATGTGATAATTAACATCGGGAAAGGTGCAAAGCTTGGTATAGAAGAATGCCAGGAACAGATGGAGAACGAAAGATGGAATTGTTCTACTGTAGAACAGGACATCAGCGTTTTCGGAAAGGTCATGCAAAAAGGTTAGTGAACTAATTTCTTGAAACGGTTTATGTGTGTTCATTTAATTGGTCTTAACGAGGATAGTGGTATTAACAGTATAGAATAGTAGTGTTAACGACTTAAGTGCAATGTACTTTAAAATCAAACACGATTATCACGATAGAGTGTCAAGATCTTTCTGTTGTTTGCTGGCATCTCAATGTAAACAGATCACGGGCTTCCTCCTATAGGGGAAACCTTACATATAGTTCCTTAAATCGCTTAGAATTACATCCAGTCTCAATTGATAAAAGTATTTTCTTGTTTATCTGACATCGACCGACAATATCGAAAATTAATTCCCACTTTTAATGGCAGTTTATCATTGCTCTTGACAGCAAGTCGAGAGAAAGCTTTTGTCCACGCGATAACTTCAGCCGCAGTTGTGCATCAAGTAACTCGAGCATGTCGTCACGGCGAACTGAGAAATTGTTCTTGCGAGAAGAAAACTGACGGTAGAAGTAACGAGGAATTCAATTGGGGAGGATGCAGTGACAACATTGCTTACGGTCTAAGGACTGCAAAGCTGTTTGTGGACTCTTTCGAAAAAGAGACAGATGCGAAGGCAATGATGAATTTGCACAACAATTTGGTCGGGCGAAGGGTAAGTTAAGCTGTTCAAGTGTGCTGTTTTTAAATAGTTTCCCTTAAAATTCATAGCTTCACCAGGTTTCATCCTTAGCTTTATTCTGACTTCATTGGTGTTTATATTTTGATATGAACGTTTCCTGTTGTTAATGAAGTGTTCAAGTGCTGCGCTGGCGGTAACTTTAAGAAAACGCAACTGACCAGGTCATGATTAGTGTAGTCTTGCATTTGATTGGTTGAGATTTAACGTCTTTAACGTCAGTTTATTGTCCAGTGTAGACAATCGTTTGGTTTCCGCATTCAGCTGATTAGCGACCGCGAAGTTTTGAGTCGAATTTCAAAGAAAACCGTTAGAGACCAGTCACTTGATTTATCGCCTGGGGAGCGGGGAAAGTCCGATGATTTTAGTAGTGTAATGATAAAATTTACCTTATCCCCCTCTAAGGCTCTTTGTTAATTAATTTTATGATTCCCCCTGACTGGTAGTTAATTGGCAGTCAATTCTACAGTCCCCCCCTTTGTACTCTGTTGACAACGACTGATCCTCACCCCGTTCCCCCTGAAATCGTGTAATCTTACCCCAAAATCCTTCACCCCCTCCTCTCTTCCGGAAATAAATAATGACTGGTCCGCAAATCCTTATTTGTATGGACTTTTGATATTAATCTTGTTTCTTACAGGCTGTAAAACGCCACATGGTAATAAAGTGCAAATGTCACGGCATTTCCGACTCCTGTGAATACAGGACATGCTGGAGAACGATGGCTCCGTTTAGCGTGGTGGGCAACTTTCTCAAACGAAAACATCAAAAAGCGTTTATGGTAACTGTTAATCAAAAGAGCAACGAACTCCTATCGGCAAGAGATGACTTTCAACTAAAACCATCACGAGACGATCTCGTGTTTTTGGAGAAGTTCCCGGATTATTGTGTTCGCAACCCAGGCACCGGCTCACTTGGCACCACGGGAAGAATTTGTAACCAGAACGTGCCAGAGGATTATGGGAGCTGTGATGTTCTGTGTTGCGGGCGTGGGTACAACACGATTCAAGTCGTAGAGGAATACAAATGCGATTGTACAGTTCAGTGGTGTTGCCAAGTTAACTGCAAAACTTGCAGAAGAATCGTTGACATGCACTTGTGTAAACCACCTGAACAAACGAACTTTGAGAAAAACATCTCGCACAATTAGCTTCCTATAAGGAAAGACTGATGCAATAATGTACCTTAACACTAAGGTGTTTAAATTAAGCTGAGTCAAACCAAAACGCCATAGTTCAATTTTGCAACGCTATAAAACTTGTTTAGACAGAAGAAAACTTTCAGTAGAATGAGAAAACGAAAAAACTTAATTGAAAGTGGCCGCATATGAAAGGAAACAAACATATTTATCGATGTAGAACATTTCAAAGTGAATTTCGACCGTGTGTTGTCAAACCAAAACCAAGTTATTCAAAAGGGCCAATCAGAACAAAGGAAAACATCTCAAGAAGCCAATGAAAACTAAAGGTAAAAACAAGGAACCTCCTGAAGCGCGGGAAAACGCCGCGACTGGTTTAAGCTTTGAATCTGATCAGTGTCTGATTGGTTTAGAAATAAGCGCGAGTTTCTGGACCGGTAACAAAGCAAAAACAGCAAAATCGAAGCAATCCCGGATTATTTTTAATACTCAAATGAAAATTGATCTGAGCGGGAATTTCAAATAACAAAGTCAAGTATACGTTCGTTTAAGAAACCATAAAGTCATACTCTGTAAATAAAATCATTTGTTGCTCTTTCTGAGTTTACTACTTAAAAGGCTCTTAAATCAAAACAACAGGTCCTTCACTTCGCTCTGTTATTTGAATAGCGAAGAACTGAAAGTGAATAAAATTTAAAGATTGAGTACACCATTTGTCTGTGTTTGTCTGGAATCATTTTGCCATGTCCGTTCGGCCATTATCTTCAGAGGCTCTCAAGTTTGTTTGAAAAATGAGCGAGAAGTAGACACGGAAAGCATACGTTTTGCTCTGTCACGCCTATCGTGATCAAGTTCAAGGTAATGGAGCTTTTTAATTTATTGGGAGACAGTGATGCCAAGGCAATTAGTGTCAGATTTTGAGTTATTGCTGATTTCACTAGGAATGGCAGCATCAACAATTATCATAATTCATCTTGAATGTCGTAATCATTTAACCTTTTTGTGTAACCTTCTTTGATGGAATTCTAAAGGTAGACGACAGCACGTAATGAAAACAAAATATACAAGCTTCTAGAACGGCAATTATTTTGTTGACAAATTTAACTGAGCAGAAGCTCATGGCATGCGGGCAAAGAAATTACATTTTTGAGAAATTCTGTGGTTAAGGATTTCGCCAAACGTCGCAGCTATTTTAAGTCTTATAATAATTAAGCATAATTTGTAAGTTTACAGTTTGATCGGAAATACCATTTTTAATAGCTTTATCTAAGGACCAAACATAGCGTGAGAGGTCGTCTACAGAGACAAAGAAACATTAGCAACCGTAGTTGTGACCATGACAGCATGATATTGGATATTCGGAGACGTCAAAGAAATTCTAAAAATTCAAAGCCCTTGAATTTAAAAAACAATTCACTCAAATGGAATTCAGTTTTGTTACTGATTATTTAGCCCCTAAGAAAATAAGGCAACGCTCATTTCAGTTTATGTTCGCTTTTTGCTGGGTGAATGCAACACCTTAAGCGACAATGGACGCAATTCGGTTAGAAGTGCAAGTTTGCTCAAGGACGAACAATTTCAGAATCGTTCAGTCGCTTAAAACAATGTCCTCTGGTCACTTCTTATCACTCAGATCATTTCTATCATTTTTCTACAACCACTTAAGAACACTTAAGATTTAAGTGTTACCAGCTGGTTTGAATGAAACTGTGTTGCTGAGGAAAGAAAGAAGCCGAGAAATGGAAAGTTTTAAACTACCTCGTACATAACAAAAACCATTGTTGTCTGCTCAGTAAAAATAGCCTTTTAAAAAACACCACTAACAATCAATCGCACAATCGATTTTAAGGCGGCTTCCATAGTTAAGGACATAAACACACCACTTAAGAAAAAAACAAGAGAGTGTCATCTTTTTAAAAAAGAGATGACAAATCGCACTTTCAAGGAATGTCTCGGTACTTAGTCCTAATGTAGAATCGATATCACTATCCTAAAAGCTATTACAACTATTAACATTTTCTGAGAAATAAAATCATCACAGTACCATTTCCAAATCCAACTCGCCCGCTAAAATAAAAGTTTAAGAGGTGGTGCGTCCGAGAACACTTCGCGAGGGAGTTTTCGTTGATATGCCTCAGCGGTTTGACACTGTTGACGAATGTTGCTTCTAAATTTAGCGACATTTATTCGCATAGATTGCAGCGTTGAACCATTCAGAGCAGAAGTGTGAGGTGGGCAAACGAACAGAAATAAAGCAAAGGAGAGCCAAATATGAAGAGAATCTTGACGATTGTGGTTTTCAATCTTCTCCTGGGTTTATTCCCGATGAGAACAGCTTCACGTTGGTGGTAGAAGATTTTTTTTTCATTGACTTTCTCCTGTACAGATTGAGATTCCCGGACATAAACACAAAATATCAGCTTCAACAAGTTAGTAGTTGTGGTAAAAACACAGATCTTCAGATTGTTTAATTGCTTGTTCTTTCAATAAAGGTCCATTTCGCAAGTGTTCCAGCTTGGTTCCAAGGCCATCTGTAACCATGCAGCTGGTCTTCCTAACTTCGAACTGTGCCGGAAGAACCCTAATGTTTTGATAAGCATTGGGAAAGGCGCCAAGCTAGGAATTGAAGAATGCCAACAGCAGATGAAGAACGAGAGGTGGAATTGCTCCACGGTACCTCGGGATTTCAGTGTGTTTGGGAAAGTCTTGAAGATAGGTACGTATATTAAATAAACACATTCGCGATTGGTTTGAGAGAGAGTTGGTACATGGGAGAGTCAATAAAATTTTTGCATGTGATGGAGAAGCAGAGAGTCATCGAACATGAAACGTTTTGAGTTGAACAGTTAAAATTGTTGTCAGTAAACGTTTTGCAAACCAAGGCAAAATTCAATCCATGTAATTCAAGAGCTCATTTGCTGGAAATCATAGAGCAAATAGTTTTGTTTTGTGATCTCTGATTATGACATAGTTTCAAACAAGACCATCGACGGCTGACGAAATTTTTCGGCTTAAAAAACTGTTATGTTATCGGCATTTGTATACTATTGCACGTTCGCTATTGATACTAAATTCCTCTGCGCATGGTGTCTGCTCGCTGTAGAGTCATCATCAACTTTGGCTTGTATGAAAATCAAACACAAATTTTAACTCAGCGGACAACGGAAGAGGAAAATATCGACAAAAAACGTGTTCTTTACTTTAGGATTAGAAAGTTGCTAAGCTTCGAAGGACCTTTTCGCTTAGACTCTTTTCTTTCAAAAATCCTTAACCGAAACATAGATAAATAAAAAAATTGATAAAATAAGTGACAATTTTGGCAAAGATTCTCTGATCAATTTCTGCCAACAGGCCCTTAAAAGACAGCTTTTCTCTCTCCGTAATGATGTAAAAGTTCCTCTTTATGATATTTTTTTCTTCCTTTATGCAGCAAGCCGTGAAACTGCCTTCGTGTATGCGGTTACCTCGGCTGGAGTTGTACACGCGGTAGCTCAAGGCTGCATCCGCGGTGACCTGAAAAACTGCTTTTGCAACCAAACAGAACTAAGAGGAAAACGAGAAGATTTTGTGTGGTCTGGATGTTACGATCACATCGCTCATGGTATTGAAGTTGCCAAGTCTTTTGCGGATTCTGATGAACAGCAAAACGATGCTCGGGCAAAAATGAATCTTCACAACAATATGGTCGGAAGAACGGTGAGTCCTGAAATAATAAATAAACAAACGCCCAAGTGTTTTCAAGCCTTTTTCTATTTTCTCACAAATTGATGTTGTAAAGGATTGATGGAAATATATGTTTTCATACTTCATGCACTATCCTCGCGTCCGACAGAGGTTTTCAGCCCTCGGTAAACTAAACCGCGCCGTCCAATTATCAGTTGTGGCTTGCACGGAGCATAATCCCTAGTAAGTGGGCAGTATGTCTCTTTCTTCGAGAACTGAGCGCTTCTCACGTGGGTAACAGGCTTCTATGAGTAAATTCTGAGTTTTAAGATTAGCTTTCCCACCAGAAGAAAAAAAACTAACAGAGTGCGATCTGGTGAACAAGTTAAAACATTGACCACAGTTTTCTATAATCTGTAACCTTATTGATCGTAGAAATGACGTCAACAATGTCCAAAACTAAAGTAACTGAACCAATTGCACTTTGGTCACATGTGTTTTCCCGCGCATCAGACAGTTAGCTGTTTTCTTTTTGCTTTGAATCCTCATTGGCTTTTTGGGATATCTCTTTTGTACTGACCCTAGCATAATTGTGATTATTCTGGTTTTAGTTTTAAGACGCTTAATCGAAAGGCACTCCTTTCTTTTTTTAGCTCAGAGTTGATTTTCTATCCCAGCAAACTATAATTTCGACATTTCATTTTACTCTAAAACGGTAATTCTCCGTGATGCAAACAATCTCTCATTAACATGAATAGGTTGTTAAAAACTGAAAAATTTTCTTCTTCCTCTTAAGTAGATGGATTTTTTAAGAATCGTAATACAGTCGAACTAAGTGGTACGGTAATAAGTGATCACCCTGTATATAGCGGTCGGTTGTCAAAGTTTCGAAAATTTTTCCCTTTAATCACTGTTATTTTTACCTCTATTAAGCAGCCGTGGTCTCCCTTCACTGAGTCCCAACAGCCTGTTTGTTTTGTCTTCCACCTGTATTGAATGGTCAGTTAACGCGGAACTGATCAAATAAAACTAGGATCCACGTAAAATTTAGTCCTCATTTATCTCTCGATTTAATATTGGTAGTATTAGTAAACAAGTTTTTGTACATTGAGTGGTTAATTTTTAGCATAAATTGGCGTTTTTTATCTTTTCTTTATAATACTCTATTCTGTGGAATTTGTTTTAAGACATTCCAAGACCGTTACAGGTTTGACTGTACAATTTTTGCAGGTCGTAAAAAATCGCACAGTCGTGAACTGTTTGTGCCATGGTCCTTCTGTATCATGTGTCATGCAGACCTGCTACAGAAGTTTGGCTCCTTTCAGCGCCGTGAGTCGCCATCTTCGCGGAAAATATGACAATGGCGTTCTTGTGATTGTTGATCAGAAGGGGGAGAAATTCGTGGTGGCTAATGAGACTAAGGACAAGTCTTGGCGTGACAGCCTCGTGTTCTTTCAGAAGTCTCCGGATTACTGCGTCCCAAACCCCGACTTAGGCTGGCCAGGAACCACGGGAAGGGTGTGTTACAACGGGAACACGACCACAGCCGCGGGTAACGGGACATGTGAGACATTGTGCTGTGGGCGCGGGTTCAACACGATCCATGTCAAGGAGGATTACAAGTGCAATTGCAATTTTGTCTGGTGTTGTGATGTGAAGTGCAGCACGTGTAAAGGAACTGTTGAAAAAAACGTCTGTAAATCGCCCGAGGAGTATATTTCTAAAGGAAACAGTAAGATCGAGAAAGACGCAGAAACGGCGGGTAAACAATCGCGAAAAAGGAAGAACAAGAAACAAAGTGTTTTACCTCGCTCTGACAACAACAATCGAGAAGTGAAGAAGATCAAAGGTTAATATCTCCCACTGAACTGGAGAGGACTGACAAAGGAATGACAACAATGAAGTCGGTGAAAAAGCACAATAGACAGAGAATTCTATGTAGTTGTAAAGTAGGCGAGTTTGAGCAAGTGCTGTATGTACTTTAAAGTCATTGTGTCATCGAAAACAGTAACTTTTCTTTGCTTTTCAATAGAGACTTTGGAGGTTAACAGTTTGGCATAAGAAGCTCGACACTATACCCTGCATTCAGTTAGGCATTGTAAATAAAAACAGTTTTCCTTATATGTGTTAAAACTTCTTTTCGTAGCCTTTTGCATGGAAATCGTGGAAGAAATAATTATGAACTCATTGAAAAGCTTTTAAAATATTAAAATATCAACCAAATAAAACATCAAAATATCAACTTGATGATATATTAAAATATTGTGTCATTTCCGTCAAATTACAACGAAAAAAAAGAAAGAATTGGAATTCAACGTTGTTCGCTCCAACTTTGGTTTAACCTTTAACCGGTCGGTACCATTTCCAGAATAAATCTTTCATGATAGTCGGAGCACTTCAATCTTTATTCAGTCATTGCTAGAATGGATAACGCAGGAACTATTTAATAAAAGGCTTTCAACGCCCGCCATGTTTGAATATTTTTTATTTTTAGAAGTACAATATAAGTTTTCATCAATAGTAAATTTAAGTCAAATAAATGTAAAAGCCCTTTCTAACAAGACAATTCTTCAGGACAAATATGCTAGCTCGAAGAGCATGCTTGTTAAACACCATGGGTTCCCATGGTTGATGTCAACGTTTTTATCCAACATTAGCTTTGGAGAAATTTTTGTAATGTTATAAAAAATATACTAGAACGTTACGTAATATAAAAATTTGGTATTTAATTAAAACAAATAAAAGAATTTTTATGTATTTTTTTCCACGAAAAACAGGTAGAAGTAGTTGACGTCATCAACCGTATATGGCAGTATGCAAAGACATCCAGTTGACCAGCGAAGCTTTATTTCATTCAGTTGTAGCTTTGATCACAGAGAGAAATCTTATTAGGATCATGTCTGATCAAGATTTAGTTACAGCCGCATTCACAGCGCTATTTGGTGGAAGGCTTCCTTCAAATTCCATCCATCAACTTTTCAGTCAAACTCACGTGGGCACGGTTCCCTTATGGCAGCCACCTTTCCCCACTATTACAAATCTAGCTCACAATGGAATAATTGTTCAGAATCCCATCCAAAATATCGTAGTTGACTACGTAGACCCAGCAGAGCTTGATCCTCGATTCAATTTTGATTTCCGGAACGTCATTCTTCCTGATTGGAACTGCTTTAGAGGGAACTATAACTATCCGTATCAACGACCGCACGGTTGGTACAGAATAGGTTTAAACGTTCTCGGAAGATACCAGGACGACAACATTTGGCTCGGTCCTAACGGTCTGCGTAATGCACCAGCCTCTGGAGAATGGCCCGTCTCGTATCATGGTACAAAGATCGAGTTCGTTCCGAGCATTACAAAACAAGGTTTACAGCCCGGCCCGAATGCATTGTTTGGCAAAGGCATCTACAGCAGCCCCAGTATTGAAATGGTTGAATGGATGGGTTATGCGAAGGATTTTAAACATAATGGTAAAGTTTACAAAGTTGCGCTGCAAAATCGTGTCAATCCTTTTCCACTCCGTGTTATCCCAGCCCAGTGTACAGGTGCCGGAGCTGACTACTGGCTGTCACAATCTGGAGACATACGTCCTTATGGTGTGCTCATCAAAGAATTCGCAACTAAATACTAATTCTTAGAACACAACAGCGACATCGATGAATAAAGGTAAAACAAAATATATATAATCGCACGATACAATTTCTTTGACACAAAATTTGTGACTCTCACACATTCTTGCTAGTATAAATACAATATTCAGCCTCATATATATGGAAAGTTTCCGAGTTAACTGATTATGGTAAAAATATTTCAGTTTTTTTTACTTTTCTCCATCATTTGTAAGCAATGATAGTATATGCATTTCACATACAACATAAGGTAGAAAACATGTAAAAGTGCAGCCTAAGATGACAATTTCACCCAAATACTTAAGGATATGGTTTTAAGTAACATTAAAAATGTTTCTTTTCTACTAAGGAAAAATTTAGTTTAATTAAACTAATTCTCTTTCAACATCACGTGAGAAGTGTATGTTCGACCATTTAGCCTTTTCTCTCGACATTGTTATAGCCGGCGTGTCAGAGTTGATCTAGATCTAACTTTTTATATCCAACGTAACGTTTTTAGCGGTTAAAGCCATGCACTTAACCTCACGGGTGGTGTGTGGTTCCTATCAAGCTTTTGTTTACATTTTTTGGTGTAAAAATTGAAGTGGAAACTCCTCAAGTTTGGTGTTTTTTTGTACACCCCATAGATGCTCCAAAAAATAAAGTCTGCATACAAGAATTCTTGATAAGGTAGAAAGCTGGAACTTCACTGGTAGTCTAAGTTAAAGATAGATCTTTTGAATCTATTGAAAACAAACATTATATAAAAAGTTGGTCTGCTTTTTGGGGTCCATCTGTTATATGTATAAACAAATATTTTTCTTATTATTTACTTAGCCACCTCTCATGTGATAGATATTCAGCATTAATTGGCATGATCAATATATATGTTTTGGTTCTTAAAAAAATTATCTTTGGTTGAAAGTTTTTCAATTTGATTTGATTTTTATATTTTATTGTTTCATATTCATTACCATGCTCTACAACCAAAAAAAAAAAGGGAAATTACACTGATTTATAAAATTTAAAACCAAAACAATCCGAAGGATAACAATTATACAATAAATATGACTGAAAAGTATTTGCAAAATAGCTGTCTGCCACAGAGGTAGCATTTCAATTGACAAGATTCATCCACTGTTATTAAAAACTGCAGCAGTTCAAAGATACTGTCCCCTAACATTTATTTTTAATCTTTCCATCAAACAAGGTATTTTTCCTGATAGTATGACACTTGCTAAAGTTTTTCCAGTTTTTAAACAAGGCTCTCGTTTTGCATGTAGTAATTATCGACCTATCTCAGTTCTCTCTTCCATAAGTAAAATATTTGAGAGATGTATTTTTAATCAGCTGATGTTCTATTTTACGAATAATAACATGATTTCCTCAAAACAATATGGATTTAGACCAGGTTTTACAACCTCTGATTGTCTATAATTGACCTTATTGAAGAAATAGCTTCTTCTCTTGATAAAGGATTTTATGTGGTTTCTTTATTCCTAGATTTAAGTAAAGCATTTGATACAGTAAACCATCAAATATTACTAAATAAACTTAGGTACTATGGATTACAACAAAGTGAATACAACTGGTTTCAGTTTTACTTAAGTAACAGGAAACAGCTGGTGCATTCAAATAGTGTTGCTTCTGATACACGTTTTATCTCCACTGGTGTGCCTCAAGGATTGATCTAGGACCTTTGCTGTTTAGTATTTTCATCAATGACCTTCCAAAGTCTTCCACCTTTTTTTCTACTAGATTATATGCTGACGATACATCTTTAACAGCTTCTGGGAGTGATCTTGACAGTTTATTGCGTGAAATTAACAATCATTTACCAGCTGTCTACAAATGGTTATGCAGTAATAAATTGACCTTAAATTTGACAAAAACTAAGTTTCTTATTTTTATGCCTCGTCAAAAGGAAAGCTACAATCTTTATCCACCACTAACTGTAGCAAATGTTCATTTAGAAAAGTCCTTTTGTGTAAAATATCTTGGTGTGTATATTGATTGTCACCTTACTTGGCATGACCATATTGACTACATATGTGGCAAAATTAGCAAAAATAAAAATATAATGGTTAAGTTGAAGCATTATATATCAAAAGCAACACTTGTTAGTGTGTATTTATCTCTTATTTATCCTTACCTTACTTATGCTTGTACACTTTGGGGAAATAATTATAACACTCCATTGTCTCAAATCGTAAAGTTAAAACAAAACAAAGTGGTTTGTGTTATAAATGATGTTCCTTTAATGGAATCAATAACTCCACACTACACATCCTTAGGCCTTCTAAAATTTCCTGATATTGTTAAACTGAACACATGAATGCTTTTTTATGATTATTTCCACTATGAAAAGTTTCCTAATATACCTGTTTCATTAGTATCTGAACTACATAATTACAGTATACCCGCAGTGCATCATCCAATCAAGTTGCAATACCTTTATTTCGAACTAATCTTAGGAGATTTTGCCCCAGCATTATTGGAAGTTTCTTTTGGAACGATATTCCGCAATCCATTAGAGACAAACCATCTAAAAAAATGTTTAGAAAAGCACTTTTGTGCTGGTACCTTGCTCAATACTAATGAAACATTATCTCTTTTATAATTTTCTGAGCTATTTTGTCATTTTTCCTTTACTTTTTTATTAAAAATCTCAATTCCTTTGTTATACATAACTTTAAGGGGCACAATATTAGTTTTCTAGATGTGCCCCTCTCCTCCCCTTCAGCATCCTGACAGATGAAATGAATCATTGATGTTCGTTTTTTGCGATGGTGTCACGCAATAACATGTCACTCGAAGGGAGGCTCGGTTACCAATACGCTCTTATTTTCTTTCCTTCTTATCCCCTATTTTTTATTTCCGGGAAAACGTTTTAAATCCAGAATTTAAAATTACCGTTGTTTGCATTTTTTAAGCGCGATACCACTCATGCGTCACCCTAGACTGCTAAATGAATTATGTTTATGTTACTACAGCATAGAGGAAATTTCACTGCATTAATTTTTAACGACGTAAAAAAATGTGTTATCCTATTTTGTAAATTGTGACGGCTTACAGGGTAGACAGGTGCGGGAGTGGAAAAATTAAATTGGGAGTAGCTTTCTAAAATACTCAGCGCTAAAAAAATAAGTTAGATTAGGCACAGTTTCTAACCATATAATGAGCGTCGCGCCATAAATTTTCCAAAGCAAACTAAAATGGTGTTTTCGTTTGGCCGCCGATTTTTTTAAGAGGTGAGCGTACCAAATGGAAATTAATTGCTCCTTTCAAAGATTAGTTGGGGGATGCTGCTCCCAAGATAAGCGAAGTCGAGTTGCAGGAAAAGCTTCTCTTATAGTCTCTCTGCGCTTATGTGAGAAAGACATCTCAGCACACAAACAGGCTGTGGGCGTGAACGATGTTGAATCGGAAGTCGATCTCATTTTAGCACGGGCATCGATATTCACGTTGCCTTCCAATATTTCGGACATGACTATCTGCCCAGCCCATTGCTCCTCTTTGGGCATTGGATGGCGAAGAGGCTCGCAACGGTGCCGTGTTCCATCCGAATTATCGAGGCATGCCAAGGAAGGGAAATCACGAAAGGGTGACCGTGGTATAAACAAAGCGCTTTCGAAGGCAATCCTTCGACGCACGGGAATATTCCTCTCTGTTGGGTCTGGTAAATCTTTGTAATATTGTTAATTTACAATAGGACGCTATGACAAACAGGACAAATTTTTCGATAGGGAAAATACCCTGACTGAATTTTGAACGGTATGTTACGCCATAGACCAGAAGTTACTAGTAAAAACAAAATTGGCACATTTAAATTAGTACTATCACTGAAGCACACATTTAACCAGCCATTTAATTTTGTAGCGTGAGCCAGTTTAATCAAATTATTTTTTATCAGTGTGTTTTTTTTTGTTAACTTCTTGTCGCCAAAAACTAATACACCTCTTTCGTTATCTCACCATGCGGCCTGGGACCGAGATATTTATTTTGGTCAGGGGCTCAGGGCCACTCACTACACCGCAAAACCGCTCTTAGGGAAGAGTGATAGATTTAGGGGACGTTGTTGCGTTGTTGCGTTGTTGGTGCGAGGGGACGGGCAGGTGATTTGAAAAGCGAAAGGGAGGGTAGGATTAAAAAACTGTTTTTGTCTCTGTCAATAGACCATTTTACAGTTCTGTGATATTTAACCAGGCCTCTGTATGAAAGCGAGGTTTGTGTTGACCTTAACACGATAGAGATCAAAAACTGGTTAGCATAACAATTAAAGGATTTGCATATCAAAAGTAACAGGGTTTGTATTAAAACAAGGTCAACTTGAGCCTCACGTAGGTGATGTATATAATCACGGAGCACTAGACAATTAACTTCCATTTGTTTTAGTTAGCTGGGAAGTTCGTCATTTGAGAGGTTACGCATGACGTTTGTTTTTCCCGCGAACGTCAAAAATTCCATTTCTGTCGTCTGTCTTTAGGCGTGTGTACACGGAATTGAGTAGGTTTGTGCTTGTCGTGAATGTAATTTTATTTTATTTTATTTTTTGTGCAGGATTTTTTTAAGAATTCCATAAATAGGTAACAAAATGAAAGGCAAGCTTGCGTTTGCCGTTTGCCGTTAAACGTCATGCTTAAAGTGCCTATTGATAAATATAATCTTTGCAAGCACGAGGTCGTGGAAATAGAGTCGATAACAACGCATGTATAGTCAGTACTAGGGGGTGACTAAATTTACGAAAACGTCAAAAAGTAGTTTTTCAGAATGGCACTGATTCAAAACGCTCAAAAGAGATCTACAGCGTTTTTTAAGTGAATTCGCGCAGGTTTTTGTTTAAAACATAACACTAACTAAGAAATAAATATTAGTTGGCCCTGCACTCGGTACAGCGATGTCTGCAGACGAATGCCTGTCTGGGTATCCTGTGCACGTTTAGCGTGATTGCGTGACAAACATGAGTGATGACACACGACTTCGTTGGTGAACATCGTTGTGCCATTTGGGGAGCCAAACGTTTTTTAACTGAAACTGTAAGCAATCAAAGCATCTTGGTTTATCGTGCAAAAAATACTTTTGTATATACTGGAGTTGTATGGAAGCAGAAATAAGTCAAGAGTTGCGATGGTCTGCGATGATTTATGAACAGCTTCGAGTATTGTAAATGGTCAAGCCGGACGTTGTAAACACTTTTCAAGTGAACATGGCGATTTGAAACAAAAATAATGGAAACATCACTCCTTAATCACTGGTTTCAGAAGGTTAGGGTAACATATTGAGTTTCTGATAAAGCACAGCTCAAAGCGGTAAGATTTTGCAGAAATTATGGCTTCGATAATAAAAGAATAATTGGATTATCTGCGGTTATTTACACGGCGGCGTTGCGATTTGCACGAAATAGATCGGGCTATTTCTTCGCAGTAATTAAGAGCCCCAAATTAATTTTTATATCCTTGAAAAGAACATCGTTTCCAATTTTCAGAAATGCTCATCTCAAGTGATTCCGAGTTATACCGAGTAGGAAAAATTTTTATTGAAAAACTGCTCCAAAATGAAATTTTTAATCAATCAAATTTTGGCGATTTTCAAATATTCGCCAATAATTCATAGTTATGTCAATAATCCCGTTATAAGATTGAAATCATTTTTTAATACCTCGTATACAAATAAATAATATTCGGAAAGACTTGCTTTCTTTTGCGCTTTTGAAGAATAACGTTTTTGTTGCCCTACTCGTCGGCTTCATTTCGGCCACTGTTATGGCGGTTGGGGCTCGATACAGTGTTTGGTGATTTTCTAGAAAATAAAAACAGTTCTGAACAAAAAAATTATACCACGTTTATAGACTTACCCTAAGGTATCTTTGAGCGAAGTATGAAGGTAGGGCTTTTTCTAGGCATGTGCCACATTTTTTTGATTTCACGCGGTCTCCAGAAAAATTCTCTCTTAACTATTATATTTTTATTTTTGCTAATTTTGCCACATATGTAGTCAATATGGTCATGCCAAGTAAGGTGACAATCAATATACACACCAAGATATTTTACACAAAAGGACTTTTCTAAATGAACATTTGCTACAGTTAGTGGTGGATAAAGATTGTAGCTTTCCTTTTGACGAGGCATAAAAATAAGAAACTTAGTTTTTGTCAAATTTAAGGTCAATTTATTACTGCATAACCATTCGTAGACAGCTGGTAAATGATTGTTAATTTCACGCAATAAACTGTCAAGATCACTCCCAGAAGCTGTTTAAGATGTATCGTCAGCATATAATCTAGTAGAAACAAAGGTGGAAGACTTTGGAAGGTCATTAATGAAAATAGTAAACAGCAAAGGTCCTAGTATCGATCCTTGAGGCACACCAGTGGAGATAAAACGTGTATCAGAAGCAACACCATTTGCATGCACCTGCTGTTTCCTGTTACTTAAGTAAAATTGAAACCAGTTGTATTCACTTTGTTGTAATCCATAGTACTTAAGTTTATTTAGTTATATTTGATGGTTTACTGTATTGAATGCTTTACTTAAATCTAGGAATAAAGAAACCACATAAAGTCCTTTATCAAGAGAAGAAGTTATTTCTTCAATAAGGTCAATTAGACAATCAGAGGTTGTAAAACCTGGTCTAAATCCATATTGTTTGGAGGAAATCGTGTTATTATTCGTAAAATAGAACATCAGGTGATTGAAAATACATCTTTCTAATATTTTACTTATGGAAGAGAGAACTGAGATAGGTCGATAATTACTACATGCAAAACGAGAGCCTTGTTTAAAAACTGGAAAAACTTTAGCAAGTGTCATACTATCAGGAAAAATACCTTGTTTGATGGAAAGATTAAAAATAAATGTTAGGGGACAGTATCTTTGAACTGCTGCAGTTTTTAATAACAGTGGATGAATCTTGTCAATCCCAAATGACTTGTTTGTATCAAGACTTTCCAGTAATAAGAATACCTCTATTTCAGAGACTTGTGTGAAGCAAAATTTTTTTTGTTTCTGAGAGAGATAAGAGGTTGCACTCTTATCAGATTTAGGCAGTTGTGCTGCTAGTGTAGAAGGGACATTACAAAAAAAATCATTAAGGCAGTTGGAGATAGTTTGTTCATAACGTTTATTATCCACTTGTAGTTTTTCCATGTGAGAACTTGGTCGCTTCTTATTTATCAATAAATTGATGTTATCCCACATCTTTTTCGTGTTATCTGATTTGATCAATATGTCATTATAAAAGCAGTCACGATATATCTTATTAAAGATAGAAATTTTATTGCGATATAATTTATAATTGTTTAGGAAAACATAATTTCGAGTAATAAGCCATTTCTTGTATAGTTTATCTCTAACTTTCATTGATTTCTTTAAACCAGAAGTAATCCACGGTTTATATGTTTTGTGTTTAATCTTGGCTTTTTTAAGTGGTGCATGTATATTACTTACTTTATTGAAAATATGGAGGAACCTGGTATAACTTTCATTTACTTCATTGCATTTGTAAATAGAATCCCAGCTCTCTCTTCGTAGATCTGATTTGAAATTTTCATCTTCAAAACTCCGAAAGTCTCCGAAATCGTAATAATCAGGAAAAGGACTAAATTTTGGGTCATACAAAATAGTAAAGACTGGTAGATGATCCGCAATCTCAACTGCGTGGCTGCCACTTGAGCAGGAAGTCGAAATATTTGTAAAGATATGATCAATGCAGCTTTGTGAATTTTCAGTAATTCGTGTTGCTTCAAAGATCAGCTGACTCTTTGAATCTTGACTTGAGTTCCTTTCATTTCTTTTAGGTCGTCACTTATTGAACTCAACTGATGGCGTACAAAAGCCTCAAAATCTTCTTCCACCGTTTCCTTTTGTTTTCCTCTTTTCGAAGACATGTTTGTTACATGTTTGTTAAGTTTGTAAAAGAAAAATTAAGATTTACGTGAGGAAAAGCAAGAAATTATCTCAAGTTGGCAGAGCCAGCAAAAAACGCGGCCATCATGCTCGCTGACCGCTGACCTGAATGGGATCCTAACTAGGAAAATACTCTCATTCATGATCTTGGGAAGGATCCATGCAAAGAAGTGGCGCATCTCACCTACATGTATGACTTTTAGGTAAGATAATTCCAGATGATGTTCAGTGTATCTCTAACATAAAGGGCACAAATGTAAAGTCCCCTTCGAACCCAATGATTCTGGCAGCCATAAAAGGTACATGTAACTATATATTCTACATAATATTTACCTAAGCGCCAAAGACAAGAACCAAGGCACGACCAATTCGTGTAAGGGTTTAATCAAACAGGGACACAACTGGCTGCCGAGTAACTGACATTACAGCTGATGCGAAACCACGATCGATCCAACGGAACGCATGCTAAATCCTAAAACCGCTGACCGGTACTGGTGAACAGTTTTTATCTGTTCCATGATCATGTCCTGCTCAAGGTTCTGAAATTGTTTACATGAAAAAGCACCGTGGCACTTGATAGGAATTCCCAACTATGCAAATAAGCTCTGATTTGAAAAGCTTGGAATTACTGGTAAAAGAAGAATGGAGAAGGAAGAATCGTCTCCAGTTTTGTGAGGACTTAGAATTCCTAGGAATTCCTGGGAATTCTCAGCTATACAGCATTCTTAAAATAACTTTTAAAGTTTTCATTGAAGGTAAATTAATGTCAAATAAATGTGAAAGTCCTGTCTGACAAGACAATTACCCGAATTCTTAAGGATAAGATTTTCTAATTATAAGCGTGTGTATGCTTTTCTTATGCATGATAGCCTGAAAGACAATTTGGTTTGTAGTCGAACTCATTTTCGTTCAAAATATGCTGGAAGAGCATGCTTGTTAAACCCCTGACATCACATTTATTTGGGTTTCCATGGTTGATGTCAATGATGTTTTTATCCAACATTAGCTTTGGATAATATTTTTGTAATGTTATAGAAAATATTCCAGAACGTTCCACTATTTACCTACTCATGTTTAGTACTGCTGATATTGTTTAATATTCTAGAATATCCGGAACTGTTAAGAATGTCTCTTTAAATAAAGTTCACAACAGGCGGTTGTTGTTATCATTCGATAAGCTGTCAATAAAACTGTGTGTGTTGCAGACTTACGTGATTAATAGCAATACAACGTTTGCTTGTCCAGCCATTCTATATGTTGTCTGCGAACCAAAAATAACTGCTAAGTAACTGCCAATAAGCGGGGATCATAACAATATTACTATGCATTTTTTTCCACGAAAAACAGGAATTAGAAGTAGTTGACGTCATCCGGCCATCCGCAGCTTTATTTCATTCAGTTGCAGCTTTGATCACAAAAATAGATTTTTACTAGGATCATGTTTTATCAAGATTTGGTATCCACCGCATTCACAGCGGTTTTTGGTAGAGGGCTTCCTTTAAATTCTATTCATCAACGTTTCAGTCAAACTCACCTGAGCACAGTTCCCTTATGGCAGCCACCGTCATCATCGCCTTTCCGCGCTATCACGAGTTCAGCTCACAATGGAATAATTGTTCAGAATCCCATCCAAAATATCGTAGTTGACTACGTAGATCTAGCAGAGCTTGATCCTCGATTCCATTTTGATTTCCAGAACGTCATACGTCCTTATTGGAACTGCTTTAGAGGGAACTATAACTATCCATATCAACGACCGTACGGTTGGTACAGAATAGCTTTAAACGTTCTCGGAAGATACCAAGACGGCAACATTTGGCTCGGTCCTAACGGTCTACGTAATGTACCAGTTAAAGGAGAATGGCCCGTCTCGTATCACGGTACAAATATCGAGTTCGTTCACAGCATCATAAAACAGGGTTTAAGGCCCGGCCCTAGTGCAAGGTTTGGCATCGGCATCTACAGCAGCCCCATTATTGAAATGATTGAACGGATGGGTTATGCAAAGGCTTTTAAACATAATGGTAAAGTTTACAAAGTTGCGCTACAAAATCGTGTCGATCCTGATCACCTCCAGATTATCCCAGCAGTATTTACAGGTACTGGAGCTGACTACTGGCTGTCAAAATCTGGAGGCATACGTCCTTATGGTGTGCTCATCAAAGAAGTTGCAATTGGATGCTAGTTCTTAGAACACAACAGCGACGCCAATGAATGAGGGAGAAACATAATATATATAATCGGACGATACAATTTTCTTGACACAAAATTTGCAACTCTCACTCATTCCTGTTAGCATGAATATGATATTCAGCGTCATACATGTGCAGAAAGTTCCTGAGTTAAAGGATTATGGCAAAAACATTCCGTAGCGCGCAAATCAAACGAATGTTGTCAAACGAAATCACTGACCATGACGAAGGACCAGCATGAGTCGCGTCCGCTTCCTCAACAAGCACACTAACAAAATGCACGTGTGAAACACAAAGTGTGAGAGCCTAAGAGATTAATCACGATTACACAGAATGAAATAAGCTTGGATGTAAGTGGAATTGTGTAATAGAGAACCGAGTGATTAAAGAAAAGTAGAAAAAGACAGTTTGAGAGTCTTGATGCCTTACGCCGGGCGTGGTGTGCTCGATAGCTAGTTTCCCCTCCCTCCCCCGTTATAGTTTAACATACTTGGTGAAGGATTTATTCATAACATAGTAATAGGGACCTTAAGCAGTCAGGACGGCAACGCCAAGGAAGACTTCGATTAAAAAATAAATTTCTACCTTTAATTAGAATTTCAAAAATGGCTGCATGTGTTTACCGTCTCATACGGCGCCACACTTCAACTTCAGCATGACGTATTAAAGAAGCGTTGAGTTCTAAATGGAAATTAAAATAATTTGCCGTCGCGGTTTCGGTTCGCAGACGACGCAAATTGTGTTGATTTCACGTTGTTGTTTTGCATAGGACGGCTAAGAAATGTACAAAGTTTCCAAACGTACGCGCTGAGCTATTGTTCTGCCTATTAGATATTCTGTTTTTCCATGTCCTCGCCGCCGTCGCCGTCGTGGTTTGCTTAAGGTCCCTATTAAGACGCACAGAACTCCATCCTGGAAACGTTAACGATCCTTTTTGGATAATATTTCTCCGTTAGTGATTAAACTAACAGCCCCATCTTCAAAATAAATAAAATAGTAAATTTTGTGCACAGTCATAAGATCACACACACGAAACTCTCTACACTGCTAATATTCGCATTAACTTCGCCATTAATCGTTTTATTTTCAATGATTTTTTGTACAAGCCGCGCGTAATGTAGATCATGACGTTTCGACTGCATAATGCTAGTCTTCTTCAGACGATGAGGTCGACTGGTCATGCGTGATCTTATAAAGCATGATGTTCTGCTGTGATTAGTTGTTTTTCAACAGCTCTGATTGGTGCATTTCGATCTTAACTGTTTCACTCAGTGATTTGCTCCTTTGGCGGTCCGCTGTCGCACGGCTCTCCTGTTGTTGTGTTTTTTGATCGTGGACATCCACGCTATTGGAATTTCTATTCCACTATCCCTGTTGATGTTGTCAGTGTGAAGTCTTATATGAGTTGCCTCTTTGATCCTGCCCGTGTAGTAATAAGGGTCACGATCAATAAACTTTACTTCGTTCCAGAGTGGCTTGTGTCCGGTGTTGTGGGCATGCTCTGAAACGGCGGAGGTCTCGGTACGGGCGAGTCGGATGTCTCGATCGTGCTCGGGCATGGGTCTTCCAGTCTCTCCGATGTACACCTTGCCACATTCACAGGGATTCCTGTAAACTACGCCATCTTGTTTAGCCGGATCGACAGCGTCTTTTGGTCGTACTAGCTGAGATCTTAGCGTAGTCTCCGACTTGAAAACAGCGCGTACGCCTTGTTGTTGTAGGCAACGGCGAAGCTGTTCGGACAGACCTTTGACATAAGGTAAAACCGTGGTAGCTTTGAACGCGATGGCGGGTTCGGCACTGTTGTTTGATTTTCCGGTCTTGGTAAGTTTCTGCAAGAAAGGAAAAGGATAACCATTAGAAACCAGAACAGATGACAGATGTTTTTTCTCCTCAGAGATGACAGAGGGTTTTATTACGAGACGTTTAGCACCCTCTTTGTTAATGTGTGTTAATCCTAATCGTGTCAAAATCATTTCCGCTGAAAAAACAGGTGTTGGGGCCGATTACTGGCTCACACAGAAAGGCGATATTCGTCCCTATGGTGTGCTTATTAAAGAAGTTAAATGAACTTAATCCTTTTCAAACCATTCCAGTGTTCACACGCTCGTGATTAAGTTTACACGAATTTCGCGACCCTCAGGCAAGTTCACTGATTTACATTTGCCAGTTGCTCGAATGTTTCAAGGATAAAATTCTCCTTAAAGTTTAACTTTGCTTGTCCGTAGACTATTTAAACATTATTGGAAGAACAATTTTGGTTTTTAACAATGGTGGTAAACGTAAAAGCGTAGTGTAAGGAATGCTTAAACTCATGCCGGAAGGGCATGCATGTTTAACTGGCTTTCCATGGTTGATGTGAACGGTAATTCTTTTATTCAACTTAAGCTTCAAAAGCATATTGTTGTATCGTTCTAGAATACATTTCAGATCATTCTGTTATTTACCTTGTCATGTTTGATCATGCCGATACTGATAAGCTGAAAAAAAGCCCCCAAAAAACTTCTAAATATCATTAAATAGTTTTCAGTAATAAGAGAAAAATTTCCGAGAAATCGCCGTGCTCCTAACTTATTATAGTGATGTCAAGCTCGCAACTAGAGCTAAAACTTCCCGAAGTATTTACAAGTAATTAGATTGAAAAAAAAACAGTTTTTCATATAACAGTTTTTCTGTATAGTTTTCTGTTACAAACAGAGTAAATATAATATGAACCTTCCCTAATCTTACCTTGAAAAGCTGTGATCTTATGATCTAAATCATGTTGAACTGAGTTTCTATGGGCTTCCTTATTAGCTTGGACTTGTGATGTAAACTTATCTTTATCTGCAGGATCCAGTGTTTTATACCATTCTGTTCTGCCTGACAAAAGTTGTTCTTTTTCTTCAGGATTCAATGACTTATACCATTCTGCTCTTTTTTGTTTTTGTGCAGAACTGAGCAAGTTAAACCATTCTGCTCTCTTTTGTTTTTGTGCAGTATCCAGTGATTTATACCAAATTGATCTGCTAGACAAAAGATTTTGTTTCTCTGTAGAACCAAGTGATTTATACCAATCTGCTGATTTGGAGAAAAGCTTTTCTTTTTCTTCGGGGTTTTCCTTTTCCTGTAGGATCCAGTGACTTGTACCGTATTGCTTTATTAAATAAAACTTTTTTTTTCATGGCAGGTTCCATTTGTGCATAGCTTTCTTTTTTCCTGTTGCATGTAGTTCTTTCTGACTATGAGACTTGTTTTTTGGCATTACCTTTTGTCTTCCAGCATTTGACAAATTAGTTTAACAACATATAAATTTAATACAATATTCTACATCTTTACTCTGGAATTGTTTTTCCACAATATCCACTAATGACTGAATAAGAAAATCTATGTCATTCATTTTTTCAAATATATCAAGTGTGCCATCAGGATTGAATCTTATATATGTAGTACTTAACACTTTTTGCTTTTGTTTTCATATTATTGTGCTGAAAAATACAGCTGAAGCAATAATTTGAAATCCACATAAAAAACCCAGTATTATCCTTGGTATTATCTGTGACTAGCTTCTGAAGCAAAAATTTGCTACCAAGAGATGTACAGTATTCCTATATTACAGTACTCCAAATTTAAGGCAATATTAATATCTGCATAATATATTTGAAGTGTCCTTGGGAAATTGTCGATAGTCAGTGAATGGTTATCACCATTGAGTTTTTCTTTGTAAAACTTGTCTGCATGGTCAATGATTCTATCTAGATTCTGTGAACTCCAATACCCACAATATTTGCTAGTGGAAAAACAAATGCTATAAAAAGATGTGGCACAACAGCATAACAAGAGAGTATGAATGGTTGTAATTTCAGCATTTAGATGATTTGCTTTGAGGGGGACAGCTAACAGCTGTTGATCAGAAATATCTGTCATATCACATCGTTTTTCATTAGTATGCACACCTTTGAGTTCAAATAAAACATTTGGATTTTGATAAGGACCTTGAAAATAGTTTATCAGCTCATTTAGGGTGTTAACTTCTAACAGTACACAAGTTCCTTAAGGATGGCACATACCATATGAATCTCTACCTTGAGAATCAATTATCTTAAACTTACCATCACCATTACAGTAAAAACCTACTGTAGTACTAAGGATTGTTAAAAGAAAGGAATTATAATTTAGTCCTAGCAAAGCCTGCATAGCATTAGCAAATGACACACAATAATTAAAATCTTGTACTTCACAAGTACCATGTATAGTACCAGTATAGCTTGGACTAATTATTAAAGCTGATAATTAATATTAAACACTATTATCATTTCAGGTACTTCTGTTAACAGTAAATAGGATTGCCTGGATAGACTAGATAGACCAGAATACAATTCATTACCGATATTCATGATATTAACCAAGTCCATTGAGGATACAATACTAATCCTCTTGTTATATATGAGGGAAGCAAGTGACATGGCTACACACTGTGTACCAGCATTTGACCCAAACATTGCCACATTGTCTTGACTGTAAGGAGCTTGAATTGTTTTAGTAGAATTAATAACAGGGCCAGGGTTTGTTTCTATATCCCCTGACAGACTGGACTTAAAATGATTTAACCTGTGACTCAGAGTTTTATAAACACTTGGTACTGAATCAGACCTCCATGCATTCGACCACTTTGGCTTTGGACTTTTTATTACATGTGGATATTGGTTTTGCATTTTCAGTATCCTGTATTTGTTAGACTTTGACTATTTTCTCCTGACTGCAGAAGAGAGATATTTCGTTGTTCCTTTATTCTCACATCTGATTCCATGTGCATATATTTTTTCACGAGCTTTATTTTTAAAAATATGCATTCGGGAAGACTTCGGTATGCTTTTTCTGATGTAGGTTCGAAGTAAACGTCTCACTTTCCTGGACAATCATCATCAAGATAACACACGTGATCACCATGTGAACACCTTCACCCGCATTGGATCACAGTTAGTTGTCATGGTGTTGAGGGCCCAATGACCACTGGGTGCTATTGCGCAATTATTCCATTTTTTAGTGGAGGAAAAAAAAAGACGACAAAAAAACAAAGGCTTTTATGACTGGGCTATCACAGGTATGTAGACTAAAGGCCGCAGAGGCCTTCACTTCCTATGGTTATCCAAACATCGCTTAATCCACTGCTGAATAACAGCAGCCAAAAAGCGATGATATCTCTCCAAAATCGTTTATTATTTTGGAAGTAGAAACAGCTTTTCGCCATATATTTCCTTCTAGCCGCTTACATCATTGTACATTACAGCCTGATAACCTGCTTGCGGAGAAGCGCTAGAAGTACCTTTTTGCAAGGTATATATTTGAACTTATTTTAATTAAAAGTCATGTGCGAAGAGCCTCAACATTGCTGATTAAACAGGCTTCCCGTGGTTGATGTAATTGTTTTTATCCAATTTTAGCATCACAGTAAAACGAAGCTCGCTATTTTTTATGCTGAACATAGTTACCCTCCAGCTTCCATCACAGGTTAGCGAAAACGCACCAACACGTTTTCGAAAAAACTAACCTTTTTAATAATCTAGAAAAACATTTCTCCGCCATCATATCTGCAGGTTAAAACACGAGTTGAGAATATAAGGCAACCTTTCTTGGTTTTGGATGGTGGTGGTGGCGAAGGAACGGCAGGGGAGGTTGCATTAACTTAAAAGAAAACAATTGGCAATGCATGGAATTATAAATTCTGTTTTCGATTTCCGCCAAAAGTTGACCAATCAATTTGTTCGAGCAGATAGTAAACAACCACTGTTTCCAAGAATAACAGGAAGAAGAGTTAAATAATTCTCCTGTATTCGCAGGAGACGAGCTGGTTGTCGAGAGAAGCTGCCGATAATGTCAAATTTGGATTTTCTGAATGCTGGATTTGCAGCAATATTCGGTGAAGGTGGACTCCCTTCGAGTAACATACACGAACTGTGCGAAGCAACCTACATCATGGAACCTTTGCCTTCTCTGGGAGCAACTGGGGGTTGTTCTAGTTTGAGAAGTCGCATGATAGATGTGTTTGTGTTTGGGTTACAAGGCGAAATATTCACTGTAAGGATGCGGGAGACGTACACAGTCAGCAAATTAAAAGCAATTTTTGAAGAAAAGACGGGAATAGACACGAGCGTAATGGGTCTGACTTACGGTGGCAAGAGACTTGATGATAGAGATGAAACCCCTTTAATCAGCCTTGGAATTTGCCAGCAATAGCCTCTTCCTAATTCTGGGTTTACGTAATAGTGGCTTGCAGCATCTTGGTATCGATCCTAGCGGACTGGCTCGCTCCAGCAGCGACAATCGTGAAGTGAAGAAGATCGAAGGTTAATACCTCCCATTGGGCTGGAGAGGACAAATGGATGACAACAATGAAGTCCGTGAGAGAGCACAATAGAAAGAGAATTCTATGTGGTTGCAAGATGAGTGACACTGTGCAAGTGCTATGCTATGAGGTCTCTGTGTTATGGAAAACAGTAACCTTGCTTCACTGTTCAATAGCGATATGGGAGGTAACGAGTTTGGCATAAAGAGCTCGAAATTATTCCCTTATTCCGTTAGGCCTTCTAAATAAGCACAAAGTTTTCCTTATACATATTTTAACTTTTTTTCGTTGTCTTTTGCGTGGAAGAAGTAATTATGAACTCATCGTAAAAAAAAAATTTAGAATTCAACGTTGTTCGTTTGACTTACAACCGGTAGGTATAATTTCCGGGAAAAGTCTTTCATGATAGTCAACGCACTTCAATTTTGATTCAGCCATTGCTAGAATAGATACGAAATAATCACTGGTTATTAGCCCCCTCTCCCCACGTCTATGAACTTGCCATTAGAAATCTAAAATATCGCTCTGGGAATAATCTCTTTCGAACGGCAAGCAGACTGTTCTTTCGGTTAGACTGCTCCATCTCTCTTAATTTAGTTCTTAGAAACGTGTGTTGATTGAGTAAGGAATTAAAAATAAAAAAGCTAATCAACGGACACGAACGTTCTTAGAAACGTGTGTTAATTAGGGAACAACAATGACATAGCTAATTAAAAAACGCAACTTGTTTTTATTATTCTTTATGTTTTTAGTTTCTCTAGTGCAACACGGCTGCCTTGCTACAAGCTAAGCCACCCACCCCCTCCCCACAGTTGTAGGCTCAGTTTAAGCTTACAAGAAAAATAATATTAATGCACGGAAATGTAAATTACGCTTTCGATTTGCGCAAAAGCCGACCAATCAATTTGCCCGCTTGGATGGTAAACAACCAATGTTTCCAAGAAAAACAGGAGCGAAGAGTTAAGAGTATATGAGCCATAAATTATTCATCTATATTCGCTGAAGACGAGTTGGTTTTGTTCATCTTAGTGAGAAACTTCAGAAAATGTCAAATTTGGAATTGCTGAATGCTGGATTTGCAGCAATATTCGGTGAAAATGGCCTCCCTTCGAGTAACATACACGAACTGTTCGAAGCAACCTACATCATGAAACCTTTGCCTTCTCTGGGAGCAACAGCTGGAGGTCGGTCGAGTTTGAGAAGCCGCATGATAGATGTGTTTGTATACGGCCTACAAGATGAAATATTCACTGTTAAAGTGCTGAACACGTACACAGTCAGCGAGTTAAAGACTGTTATTGAAGAAAAAACAGGAATATACACGAAAGTGATGGGTCTGATTTACTGTGGCAAGAGACTCGATGATAGAGATGAAACTCCTTTAAGCCGCCTCGGAATTTGTCATGGCAGTAGCGTCTTCCTAGTGCTGGGTTTACGTGGTGGTGGCTTGCCGCATCAAAGTGTCGATCCTAACGGGCTTGATCCCCAATACGATTATGATTTTAGTACTGTCAAAGATGACGGTCAGATATACATGAGAGGAGGGCATCAATATCATCGACCTTACGGTTGGAACAGAATAGCAGTCAAAGTTGTTAGCAAGTTCGGTTACAACGAATGGCTCGGCCCAAACGGCATACGCACCGAAGGAGCTCCAAACGAATGGGCGGTTTCTTATCATGGCACAGCGATTGAAAATGCTGACAAGATCATCAAAGAAGGCTTCAAACCTGGTCCTAGAGAATTGTATGGTAAAGGCGTTTACAGCAGCCCCAGTATTGAAATGGTTGAAAAGCGTTACGCACAATCATTTGACCACAAGGGTAAGCGTTACTTAATTGCTTTTCAGAATCGTGTCAATCCTCATCGTGTCAAAATCATTCCTGCTAAAGAAACAGGTGTTGGAGCCGATTACTGGCTCACACAGAAAGACGATACGCGTCCCTACGGTGTGCTTATTAAAGAAATCGTAAATGAAGAATGTATCATTTCTTGAACTATTCTAGTGCTCAGAAGACCTATTTTATATCGTCGCTCTCAGGCTAGTTTGGTGGTAGCATGAATGTTTTATAGATAAGTTTTCCTTCATTTTTAACTTTGCTGGTTTGGAAATTATTTACACAGTCCTCAAAGAAGATTGATAATTTTTAAATATAGTATAAAATAAAGTAAAACTAGAGGCCGCAGAGGCCTTCACTGCTTATGGTTATCCAAACATCGCTTAAATCCACTGTTGAATAACAGCAGCCAAAAAGCGATGATATCTCTCCAAAATCGTTTCTTCTTTTGGAAGTAGAAACAGCTTTTCGCCATATATTTCCTTCTAGCCACTTACTTCATAGTACACTACAGCTTGATAACCTGCTTGCACAGAAGCGCTAGAAGTACCTTTTTGCAAGGTAGATATTTGAACTTATTTTCATTCAAAATCATGTAGGAAGAGCCTCAACATTGCTGATTTAACAGGCTTCTCGTGGTTGATGTAATTCTTTTTATCCAATTTTAGCATCACAGACATATTACTGTAATGTTCTGGAGTACATCCCAATAGGTTTCGTTGTTTACCTAATCGGCATGTTTAGTCAAGCTGATACTGGTTGGTAAACAAAATATTATGTAATCATATCAAATATTAATGTTTTAGACTGTTAAGCATATTAATTTAACTGGAGCTAGTTGTAGTTAAGATAAGCTGTCACTAAAACGGTGTGTTGCAGACTAAAAGTGACTAATACAATATTTGTTTGTTCAAAGTTCACTATAGAAAACAAGGCGATGATTTACCGCGTAACTATAAGAACATCTTAGGGATGTTTTTAACCTTAATACGCGAAAGAAAACTGATGAACGAAAGAGTCAGTCTAAGCGCCAGAATTAGAAGAATTCTTTCCTTATTCTGTTAATACCGTTTTCAAAATCGCTTGTGTGACGAAGTTTCTTTGGCGGTGCGTTTTTTTTAGCATATCATCGGTACAAACTAATTTCCGAATAGAGAAACTGAATTTTCCAAAACAAGAACCCACGTTTAGGAGGTTATCTCCGTGCACTTAACCCTCTAACTCTCAGAAATGATTAACATGTAACTCCACCTTATACTATTCGAACATTGTACACCAAATTGGTAATGAGAATACTCCAACTTATCAGGTAGAAGTTGTTATCATGATCTAACACCAAATTTTCGTAAATAGTTTCTAAGGAAAAGTGTAGCAACCAGAGGGGAGAATTAACAATCAGATCTTGGCAATCAAAGGGTTTATTTCTCGTCAGTGATATCCAGTTTGCGATTGAAACTGAAAAACCTTCAATAGAAGATAAAGTTCCAAAAAATAAAAGCCCACGTTTTTGTGGTCATGGCCATGCACTTGACTTCTTGCAGTGATGTCGAGCTTGCGATTGAAACCTAAAACTATCGTCGTATTTACAAGTACTTATATTGAAAACAAGCCTTTCATTAGAATCTTCTCGAGTAACTTGCAACTGAAAAAGTTAATGAGGTAAGTGACAACCTTTCCGTTTTGAACGCAGAAGTCCGCGAAAAATTTAAAATTTCCTTCGTAATCAAGGCATTCTCACGCCGCCATCAATCCGAATAACTTCACCGTTAATCATTTTATTTTCAATGATTGTTTGTACAAGCTGTGCAAACTCCGCTGGGTCTCCAATGCGCTTGGGAAATGGAACTATCTGAGCCATCTTCTGTTGTTCTGATGGTTCTGGTCTTGATTTGGTTAACATTGGAGTTAGGAACATTCCTGGTTTTTGAAAAGAAAGTATTAATTCACTTTGTCGTGCATTAGCAATCACCTCGCAATGAAGCTGCAATTAAAGAAATTGTAGAAGAAATAAAGCCCGAAAACTTCAGGCTTCGACGGGATTTGAACCCGTGGATGCCACTGGCCCAGTTCAGCTTCAACGTTGGTTCAAATGGGACCCTGTGTAAATAATAGCCGGGAAGCTACGTTTCCCACTAATGGCGAGAAGTGTGTGGGTTCTTTAATGTCCTCTGCTAACCAGTAAAGAGAAAATACAGAACATGAGGCCTCCGGTTCTTCGTCCTTATCACAGAAGATCAGAATGTCTAAACATTTGTCAATGTCATAGTGAGTTAATTAAGACCCTGTATGTTGGTCTGATCTGGGGCCTGAACCCTCAACCTGCTGCATGGCAGTCCAGCGCTTTACAACATGAGCTACTCAAAGACGGTTTTTCCCACATGAACTCATTTTACAGTTATTTAGCCTTGAATGGTTATTGCTTCACACAAGTTTGCAGAGAAATTCAATTCATATACCTGGTGCAATTGTATTCACTCTTATACCATGCCGTCCCAGATCTCTTGCTAAAGGAAGTGTCATAGCGTTAATAGCACCTTTTGATGCTGAATATGCCACTTTTCCTGACTGTCCATCATAGGCATGAACACTGGAGGTGTTAATAATTACTCCTCTCTCCCCACCCTCATCAGGTTCATTTGTAGCCATTTGTTGCGCTGCAAGCCGAGTCACATTAAATGTTCCTGTCAAGTTGATCTGCAAGTAACATTTCTGAGAGTAGGTAGTGGGTAATAAAAAAGTTTCACAAGCTTTTGATCAGCAAAAAGGAGTTTTGGAAAGGTCGTGCACATCAGCTATATTAGGTCAAACATGTCTTGCCATTCATTGAGGATAATTTTCTTGTCCAAAATAGCCCCCACCCCTTCCCCCATTCATTTTTCTATGTTGAAGACCAATTATGTACACAAACAGTTCAGTCTTTTTCAGTTTTGAGCAAAATTGGATCGTGGGGGTCCTGGAAAGACACAAAAGAAAATTAAACTTGCTAATGTTTTCTAAACTTTTGTGCTTGATAGAAGTAGCTCACATCTTACTGGTAATAGGGGAGGGGGGGTACCCTGCTTTGGTATATGCCACCAACAGGCTTGATATTTAAAAGTTCCTAATATGAGGTTGTCATTTCAGGAAAATTCTGACATCAGGGGTCTTTCTTGAATTACATGAGGGCATCCATTTCTGAGAGGATTTCTAGAATGTAGAGTAACTAACAGCCACAAAATCTCCCACAAGGAGTAATATGAGTTGACTTAATCCTTGGATGAAAAGTCATTTTGGGTGAACATTCTATTAGAAATGGGGTTACATTAATATTTGAAGAACTAAGCACACAACAATAATAAGTATAACCATGCACCCATCCCTGGCATCTCCCAGAATTTATCCAGGTTTCTGTTGTACAGGGACCGTACAGCAAGTTTTCGAGTGGGGGGGCTAAAGAAGAATGCATGAAGGAAAATTTTTTTGTTAAATTATTTTTTGTTTAATTTATTTTTATTCTTGCAAAAAATTGGGTGGGCTAAAGCCCCCCCAGCCCCTCCCTCTGCACGGTCCCTGTTGTATGAGTCAAACAGGTGAATTCCTGGTCCCCCCATGAGGGATGATATTCAACAGGATTTCCTGATAATTCTTTCACACTTGTATGTGGAGAAGGGAATCATTCCTCCCAAAAAAATTGCAGAGAAGACTCTTAACCAAGAGTATTCAGAGTCAAACCTTAAAAGGGTACCTGCTGTTTTGAAGTGTACACTTTCTCAACATTTTAATCCAAGATGACTTTTATCATTAGTTTGTCAACACCCAATCTAGGAAAGGATTCCAGTAAGCATTTGAATGTCACCTGGTATTGCTGACCTGCTCCCCCCCTTCCCTTCTTATGGAATCAAGTTCATTGATCTTCACCTCAAAAACTGTCTCCCACTAAGGTGAATGTTTACTGATGCAATAGTCTTACTGATGTTATATTAAAAAAGATTATTAAGTGTCATTTGCTTTGGATTAAAACCAAACTGAAAGTACCTTTGATATTTCTTCAAAAATATCAAGAGGGTGGACCTCACCCTCATCTGACAAAGTTTTTGCTAGTTTTACTATACCAGCGGTATTCACAGCAATACGCAGTGGACCACACTTGTTTACAACTGTTTTAATGGCTTGCTTCACATCAGATTCTGATGAAACCTGGAAGACCAAAAAGGCTAATTATACTTGCAAAATCCACTTTCCCCTGATTTAATACTCTGGCAGTTAAGACTTATGAATTTCTTACAAAGAATTATTGTGAAATGGAAAGACTGATAAAGAACCTGGCTTTAGTAAGGACCAGGAAGTAAGGAATTCTGTGAGACAATTCTTGACAAAGGCAGTGCTTGCTGAAGCGACCCTTGCCTCTCTCCAGCAAGCAAGCAAGCGGGTAGCAGAGAGCAAGCAACTTGGTTTTCTTAGGATGCAAAGCAAGATCGCTTGATGAGAAGAGATTGAGATACTGAGGGATTGGTACAGGACAGATCGACGAGGCTCGGTGTGTCGTGCCAGTCTCGACCCAATCTCCCTCCTACAACACCGTATGTTCATATATTTCCCCTGGGAAATCCTCCCCACTGTTTGAACCTATCCTTAAAGTTTTTATCTCCTAGAACTTCATAGAGAGTTGGACACGTAAGCTGATCCACGAGGTTCACTTTCTGTGTAGTCGCATACAATGTTCCCCTCCCTCCACCCCTTACCGGCTTACCCCTCCCTCTACACAACCTGGCCCTATCCGGCCCCATTTTTGGAAGACTAGAGCGGAATTCCTCCTTACATCAGTGGGAACAAATACACATTTCTCTCCAAGATCACCGGCAACTTTGTCTCCTTCACTCGATGGTTGATCTGCTATTACAACTCTACAGCCCTGCTGAACCAATTTCTGCGCAGCAGCTCGACCTAAACCATTAGCTCCCCCAGCGACGAGGCAAGCGACACCTTTAAGCACCGTCGCCATGTTAGAAATCGCCAGCAAGCGCTCAGCGGTGAACCGCACGAAGCACGTGTGCAAAACTTGTCGTGAAAAGGAAAAAATCTTTTTATGAACAGTGAGCCAAAACGGTTTCGTTAGTCTTTTGAAGCCAGTTTTCTCTGCATCTTACGAAAGTGAAGGTGTTTTGAGATGTATCTGCCTGCAGGAGCGGAGGATTCCGACTCAGACGATGACGGCTTTTATATGGGCACTGTTCACAACACGAACAGTAATTTCGGCGTTACAAATGGTGACATAAACAGGAAAGATCATACACAAAACAACTTCCCTATGATTCCTGCAGGCGAAGAATTTGACAATGAAGACGGTGACGAGCTTGACTTTAATACTTTTCAGGCGAGGTCAATGAAAACGACGCCAGCCAAAATTAATAAGACATCAATTACAAATAACGACAGTCAACAAAATGAGATTAGTTTAAACTCAATGTCTGACAGATCTGGAGTAGGCAGAGGTCGAGGGCACCTGTTACAGAGAGGGAGAGGACGTGGGGGATTTTCAAGGCCATGTTTGTTAGCTAACCGCAAAGGAAAATCATCAAGAAGGTTTATAAACTGTCATAGATATTTCTAAGAGTTCCTCCTCCCTTGTTATGTTTGTTGTTAACACTTCAGTCCTCTTAAGAGTGATAGATCATATGATATAAAGGAAATGGTCACCAACTAAAGAAGCTCTTGAATTTAAACAAATTCTCCTTGTCAGCACCAAAAGGAAAGTTTAGAGAACAGTTTGGAGAATATGAAGTATCATAGATTACCTGGAAATTGGCATGAGCCTCTACCAACACCCATGGTAAAATTGGGGCTAATTTGCCTATTCTTTTGATATTTTGAGGCAGTACGTGTTATTGTTGTTTCTTTCCACTGAAAATTTTTGTTTTTAAGATTAATTTGGTCTTATTTTTTGGAGTACTTACATGAAACTGTCCACTGGCCTTCAATCTTTCTGATGTGCATTTCTTGAGGAGATTTGTGTTGTTTTGGTGTGAATATGTGACCTTCTCTGCAACTATTGCTTGTACAATTATCCCCCCTACTCCCCCTGGGAAGGTTAACCTATAGCAAGCAAACAGGTTAGTGGAAGACCAATGGTAAAATCACCCATACTTGACAATATTTTCGAAGAAATCTGCTTTGGAGTGACTTTCTTCTTCTTTAAGAGTGACCATGGGGAGTTTTGGCTATAGCTTATAATTCTAATCAAAAGTCTCTACTTTTTTAGGAGGAATTTCTCATCAAACAATCTAAAAGAAGCAGAGGCTAAGAAAGCTGCTGCCTTGTTAGCTGTGGAGGATTTGCGAGTAGCAGTTGTGAGAGGAAATGCTGCTGCTGTTCAAAAATATCTGGACGATGGTGAGATGCAGTTATGGCTTATTTCTGTGATGGTTGTAAAAAATATCTCTTCCCTTTGATCATATCCATCCTAGATACTCTTCTGCAGCTCTTGAAGTGAAATGGCTTTGTTTGTTTGTTTTTTTTCTGAAAATAGGAATCGATGTAGATGTTCAGCTTAAATCAGGATGGACTCCATTGATGCTAGCTGCTAGTTTAGCCTTGCCAGATATGGTGGAACTTCTTGCCAATAAAGGGGCTAATGTAAACTTCCAGAAAGGTAATAACTGTTTGGTTGGAGAAAGTTAACCCTTTACACTCTAACATTGATATCTATATTCTCTATACTGTTCTGTATACATTTCTTAAAGTTGTGACAAGGAGAATTTGTTTAACAATCACAAGCGTCTTTACTTGATGATCATTTCCTTTATTCCCATGACCTGAATATGTGAATCAGAGTTGATCTTGTAAGGAGAAATCAGATGCTTGTCACTCTTAGGGTTAAAGGCTTTAGATGATGGAATCATTTGCCAGTCCAAGCTAGTATGCATTGAACATGTGGTACACATATTGCTGATCTGTAATGGATTCTCCTGGTCAGCACCTTAGGAAATGTATAGAGAACAGTATGGAGAATATGCATAATGATGTTAGGTTGAAAAGGGTATTAACATTTTCCTTTCATGCTTGTATTCAGAGATGTAAATTTAAGTCAAATAAATGTAAAAGCCCTGTCTAACAAGACAATTACCCGAATTCTTAAGGATAAGATTTTCTAATTTTTAAGCGAGAGTATGCTTTTCTTATGCATGATAGCCTGAAAAACAATTTTGTTATTAGTGGAACTCGAAGAGCATGCTTGTTAAACCCCATGGGTTTCATGGTTGATGTCAATGTTTTTATCCAACATTAGTTTTGGAGAAATGTTTGTAATGTTATAGGAAATATCGTAGAACGTTTCATAATGTAAAAATGTGACCAGCGAAGCTTTATTTCAGTCAGTTGTAGCTTTGATCACAGAGAGAAATCTTATTAGGATCGTGTTTTATCAAGATTTGGTAACCGCCGAATTCACAGCAGTATTTGGTGGAGGGCCTCCTTCAAATTCCATCCATCAACTTTTTAGTCAAACTCACGTGAGCACGGTTCCCTTATGGCAGCCACCGTCATCATCACCATTCCCCACTATCACAAATCTAGCTCACAATGGAATAACTGTCCAGAAGCCCTTCCCAAATATCGTAGTTGACTACGTAGACCCAGCAGAGCTTGATCCTCGATTCCATTTTGATTTCTAGAACGTCATATTTCCTGATTGGAACTGCTTTAGAGGGATCTATTACTAATCTTACCAACGACCGCACGGTTGGTACAGAATAGCTTTAAACGTTCTCGAAAGATACCAGGACTGCAACATTTGGCTCGGTCTTAACGGTCTGCGTAATACACCAGCCAAAGGAGAATGGCCCGTCTCGTATCGAGTTCGTTTGCAACATCACACGAGAAGGTTTAAGGCCCGGCCCAAGTGCAAGGTTTGGCATCGGCATCAACAGCAGCCCTGTTATTTAAATGATTGAACGGATAGGTTATGCAAAGGCTTTTAAACATAATGGTAAAAGTTTACAAAGTTGCGCTACGAAATCGTGTCGATCCTGATCACCTCCAGATTATCCCAGCTGTATTTACAGGTACTGGAGCTGACAACTGGCTGTCACAATCTGGAGGCATACGTCCTTATGGTGTGCTCATCAAATAAGTTGCAATTGGACGCTAATTCTTGGAACACAACAGCGACACCGATGAATAAGGGAGAAACATAATATTTATAATCGCACGATAAAATTTCCTTGACACAAAATTTGCAACTCTCACGCATTCCTGTTAGCATGAATACGATATTCAGCCTCATACATATGCGGAACGTTCCTGAGTTAAAGGATAATGGTAAACACATTCTGGCTCGCAAATCAAACGAATATTGTCAAACGAAATCATTGACCATGACAAAGGACCAGCATGAGTCGCGTCCGCTTCCTCAACAAGCAAACTAACAAATCACACGTGTGAAATACAAAGTGTGAGAGCCTAAGAGATTAACCAGAGTTACACAGAATGAAATAAGCTTGGATGTAAGTGGAATTGTGTAATGGAGAACCGAGTGATTAAAGAAAAGCAGAAAAAGACAGTTTGAGAGTCTTAATGCCTTTCGCCGGGCGTGGTGTGCTCGATAGCTAGTTTCCCCTCCCTCCCCCGTTATAGTTTGACATACTTGGTGGAGGATTGAGTCGTAACACAGTAATAGGGACCTTTAGTAGTCAGGACGACAACGCCAAGGAAGACTTCCATTAAATAATAAATTTCTGCCTTTAATTAGAATTTCAAAAATGGCTGCATGTGTTTACCGTCTCATACGGCGCCACACCTCAACTTCAGCATAACGTATAAAAGAAGCGTTGAGTTCCAAATATAAATTAAAATAATTTGCCGTCGCGGTTTCGGTTCGCAGACGACGCAAATTGTGTTGATTTGACTTTGTTGTTTTGCATAGGATTGCTAAGAAATGTACAAAGTTTTAAAACGCACGTGTTGAGTTATTGTTCTGCCTATTAGATCTTTTGTTTTTCCATGTCCTCGTTGCCTTCGCCGTCGTGGTTTGCTTAAGTTCCCTATTAAGACGCACAGAACTCCATCCTGGAAACGTTAACGATCCTTTTTGAATAATGTTTTCTCCGTTAGTGATTAAACTAACAACACCGTCTTCAAAATAAATAAAATAGTAAATTTTGTGCACAGTCATAAGATCACACATACGAAACTCTCTATACTGCTAATATTCGCATTAACTTCGCCTTTAAT